ATTGAGCGAAAAAGAGAAGAGAGCCCAAAAACAAGGATCAAGTGCAAATTTTTGATAATTAAACATTCACAAGCGCCAAAATGCTTAACACAAGCACAAACCCAGTCAAGTGGGCCGGCCACGCCCTCCGTTCCCTTCTTCTGCCCTCAGCCCCCTGTCCCTGGCCACGCCCACTTCCGCCCAACAGAGGGCCCGAACTTATGCCGGCAATGTAATTAACACACAAAAATTGAAATCTGCTGGCAGGAGGCGATGGCTTCATTGAGGTCCTAGGAATGTCTGCAGATGTTGGCGCATGTATGTGTGTGTGTGGATATCCTGCAGTGTGTGTGTGTGTTTGTGTGGGTACTTGGTGTTTACACACACGAAGTCGCAACAACATCCTTTTTGTGTTTTCGTAATTAAAAATCAGCTGCAGGATATTTTTCGCCCAGATTCTCGCCATCGAAATTACAACCTCAGTGTGCCTGAGTTTCTGTACTCGCAAGTAGGTGGTGTGCACAGCAATTTACCAGCTACTTGTAATGGGAGCCAAAGGAAACCGGCACGCCCACATGATAGTTGTTGACTGATTTTTTCAGCACATTGAATATTTCGCAGATAAACAGTCCTTTAAAGGAGAAAGAGGAAGCATTTTGGCTTTCGAAGTTACAGGAGAATTTAAGGGCTCATAAATATTGGGGCACCAAATTTAAACTCTGATTACGTCGCAAAAATTGTGCTGTGAGATGGTTGTTAAGCCCGTGTATTCCCATTAAACCGGTAACGAAATGAATATTTTGTGCATTTGTACAAATTTCAATGGAATTCTTTAATTGCGTTTTTATTAAATAAGCAAGCCAGTTCAACCAACGCGGTTTTTCAGCGGACATAATTGAATCCGCGCACCTACAGATAAAGTCCTCGGGACAAGGGTGCATTACACGCAGGATAATGCTATATGTTCGGGCATGTGTTCAAGTCGCTTCGTCCCGCCATTCAACTTGCTGTAATGAAGAAGCTTAAAATAATTAACCGGCGAGACTCGGACTCGCAGAGAGATAAAAGAATCGCAGAAGCGTTTAACCGACACAACAAATATGCCTCAATACGATTTAAACAAACAGCCGGCCAACGGGGGGAGTGGGCAGTGCGTTAACATTAAAGCCAGAAAGCGTGAACAAATATTTTTCCGGCGAACATTTCAGGTCTGGTGCATTCGATATGGGCCCTTGTGTCCCCGCCAACCAGCCGAAAAACGTAATTTATTTCCCGATCATTTATTTTATATTAATTAAATATGCGGTTTTAATAAATACATTTAAATCATACACACTCGCATATTTGTATTTACATACATCACTGGGCGGGTTCGGGCAGCCGGGGAAAATCTGTTTTTAAGCTGGAAGGAAAACATTGAGGGATTTCCCCGCGCTGTTCCCGTGGGCTTCTTTATGCGGCGACCGCAGTGAAAACAGAAAATGCAATGAAACGAGTCGAAACGAAATGCTTTGACAAGCACATGCTGTGGGCGGTTTTCGGGGGCGGGGGCGTGGCCTGTTTTTGACAAATTGACTTTGGCGGCAATAATAATAACAAGAATAACAACAGCAACAGCAACAAGAACCGATTTTCAAGTACTATATTCATATTGATTTCAAACGGAACTTGAAATGCAAATGACAGATTTATTTTTCATGCTGTCGTTCTGCTGCTGTCAATCAAATTGTCGAAGGTGTTGATTGATGTCTAGCCTCTGGAAAAGGCGGAGAGGCAGCGGGTGGGCGGGGCAGTGCATTAAGAACATTTCAAACATTTTTGACAGCTTCGAATTTGAAAACTCAGCTCCTTTCTAACGATGCTTCGCAGCACAGTGGTTTAAATGCGGAGTGGAACTCATCAAATATGCCGAAACAAGCGATCATCCCGCTTAATCCTCCTTCAGTTTGGCATATGCACGAAAAAGCCGTCCGCTTTAAAGATGCATATGTTCTATGTAAACTTAAATACATTTAAATACATTTTCGATCCCCTTTTCGCTCACCACTGTATCTCGGCTGGTGGAAAATGCTTGAGTGAGTTTTCCTATTGACGCAAGCCGAGTCCAGGGAAGTAGCTACTGAGCCAGCCATTCAAGCGAGCATTAGACATGCTTAGAAGTGCAATGGAGCATGTGCAGCTTCGATGCTGAAAGAGATTACCCCCCGCCACACAACCCCCCTCGAAATATGAATGCCCCCAGGAAACTCGGGGAAATAAAATCACCACAAAAATCGCTATTAAAATCTTAGCCTACATTTCATTGTTTGCTGGCCCTCGAAAAAAACCCGGTGAGCCCAAACAAGAACTCTGTTCGCAGGTGCTAAATTTGCAAGCGCGAGCTTTGCCTTTGTTTGGGTTCGTCGAGTATAGTAATTTGTTTGCATGTTTATTCATGGAAGCCTCGTCGAGGCAGCAGACAACGTGTAGACGGAAAATAAACACTGGCCGAAACGCACACAGGCCCAAAAGCTCGCTGCCACACGCACTCGAACAATGCGAGATGCTTAAAACAGCCGAGCTCGGAGCCCCGCCCCCTCAGCCCCTTCCGCCCCCGCGACACTCGCGTTTTAAATAATTCAGCGCCCCCGGTGACAACGCCACCAACCAACAGCAGCGGTCACAGCAATACATCTATAACATATATTTTATTGAAACAAAGAGTCCAAGGAGTTTCAGTTACAGCACGGAAGTCACTCCACTTTCACTGTTTCCATTATTTCGAAAATAATGTTTTCAACTGGTTGTACTATTGGCTTGACCTGCGCTGTCTTACCCACTCACACACGCTGCACGAGAGCAGCGAAATTGAAAGCTTAAACGGCCGGGAAGCTTGACATCTCTGGCAGTGCTCGAAAGCGGGGCAAAGTACGAAAAAAGGACGAAAGGACACCGGGACACCGGGACACCAGGACACCGAGCTGAACTAGAGGAGCGGCAAAGTGCTTTAAATGGGCTGCAGGATTTTGGGCACCGTTCCCAGGAAGGATAAGGGTCACAGCGGGGGAAAACGGAGCGAGCAGGACCTCCGCTCATTGGCTTCGTCGAGGGGTTATCCTCTTAGCTTAACCCCATAAGGCCACAAAAGATGTTAGCTTTATTTATGTGTCGAAAATGGTGAAGTGGGGCCGGAATAAAGTGGGTGGCTTTCGAGGACCCACGGATTGTGCACTATGGGAATTCAAGGCAACACAACTCCCTACTTATGTAATACTTTTGTGTTAACTTAGACCTTCGTGGGATCGATATTAGGACTTTCTATCAATAGTTCTGTTTAAATCCTGTTCACAATTTAATTCGTGAAGACATTCCTACATTCTGCATTTAAAATTGTGTTATAAATCAGTGGAGCCTCCCATGGGACACTCTTGATTTTGTTTCCAACATAATTAAAACACTTTCTGCGCAAACTGTGTCAGTCGCTGAAGAGCTTGACTCCGCCCCGTGCAATCCCATTAAAATTTCGCAACGCATCCTTTATGCTGATAATAAAGTTAGTGCTCTACATATCCACGTAATTTCCTTATTAGGACGTCGCTCCTTTAATCCCGACAGCCCACCTGGGCATACTCAATTCCAACTTTTTGCACTTCTGATGCAGTTACTTGGCACAAGACTTTCAAAAAGCAGTGGAGCACCAACTCCGCTCTCCATGGAGAATTCAATTACAAACTTCAGCTCCCCGAGGGAGTAAAAGTGGGGGAAAGTGGGGGAAAGTGGGGAAAAGCGAAGGAAGCGGGGGACTGAAAAAATCATAGAAGTATTTTTTATTTGGCTCGCATATTTCTGTTATTGGTTGAAATTCTATACGGGGGGATTAGTGCCTCCCACCTGGAGTTCCAGGAGTCTGGTCTCCGGTTTCCTGCCCGAACTCGCACAAACGAAATAATCCAATATACATATTGTATTGTGCGATAATACTACAGCTCGAAACGGAGCCGGCAGTCCTGCGGACTTCTTGCTTCTTTTTTCAATCTAGTCCCACACTCCTTTGTTTAACAATGCTTTCGGATATCGTTCGCTTGTTTCCCTCCATGGAGTGCGTTTCATTTAAATTTTTTGCAATTTTTAGGCAGTTTTATGCTTGGCAAAGTCAACAACTGGCGAACAGATTCAATGGAAATCGTTTCAATTTCTCCGGCAAATTTGCATACACACGGACCATGTCTGTCTGCTGTTTTCGGTGCTTTGTGCAAAAGAATCGACAGAAGCTGAAACCCGCCAAAGATTCCATTGAGGTGAGGCCTTAATGAAGCTCCAAATCACTTGTCTATGTACAAAGGAGCGTTCCCATCGCACATCCCTCTGCTGTGCAAACAAAAATTTGCTTATTTCTCCTCCAGCTGGCAATAAATTACTCCGGCAGATAAAAGTAATTCGAGAAGAATAATTGAAATTGTAATTGTCGCAAACGATTGAGTGGCCTTCTTGACTTTATACTCGATTTTGCCACATTGATTTCTTTGGGCAGCTGGTGCGCCGCACTTTGTTTGTTTCTGGGCGGTTTCCTTTTTCTGCCAACTCTGCATACGAAAAATAAAAGATAATGCTGATTGTAAGTGCTGCACAGAGAGAAACTTTTATTTGATGACTCTTGAAATCGGATATTTGGGAATAGATGGCAAGTTATTTCTTTTTGTATGAATGTATACAATACCCCATACGGATGTGTGTTTCGTTCCCGACAAAATCTTAAGCCCTTTTCCTCCGTGTAAGTTCTGAGGTCCATAACTGACCCCCGCCCTTTTCGGGCAACTGGCCAGCCGGGAAATGTGGCAACTGCCCGGCGCTAATGTCACCGTCTGGGCCTTTTTGGCAACCCCGCCAGTTGGCAATCGCACGTGAGTTCTGTTCTGTTTATTTTTATGGACAATGCAAAGTAAGTGCACTCGAGTTGCTCCGAGGACCGGACCCTCTGCTCCTCTCCGAGGGATGTGCATAAAAGTCAGTGGGCTTTAAAGCTAACGACGCATCCCGCTCAATTACGGCAGTATAAACAACTTCATCGGCCGCTCTGCCTCCGCTTCCGCTTCCGCCTCCGCCTCCACTTCCGGTTCCGCTACCTGCGCCCGGATTTGGACGTGGATGTGGGCGAGGTCGGCCCGCAGCTCCGCGCGGCAGGCCTGCCATAATTGTTTGGCTAGGAAAAACAGCAGCTCGCAGATGCCAATCAGCGAGAAGCCGGCTATAATGCCGCAGATGTTGCCAATCGTACCTGGCACGGGGAGCACACACGAACGTTAACGCCGGGGGATGTGGGCAGGACGAGCAGATACAGATACTCACTGAAGGTCTCGTACCAGGCGCTCTTAATAATCTGGCGAAAGTATTGAATGTGCGTTTCGGCAAAATAAATACGCACCACGGCCAGTTCCGTTGAAGTGGAGATCCTTTGGGTTGAGGATGAGCTGGGACCCTTTCCGGATCCGGGAGTGGGGGCTGAGCCGTAACTGTTATTGGCACGCGGTCCGGAACTGCTCTGCCTGCAAAATGAAAATCTTTTACGACGGCAAGGAGTCACTGGGAGGCCGTCAGTGCTGCCAGAATAATGAATTCACAAGTGACTATTATAAAAAAATTAAACAAAAATATATAACAAATGAATGGTGAGGCTCATTCCAATTTGGAAACAGGAATCTCTTCTGGAGAGTGAAAAACAGATTGCACTCGAAGTTCAGCCTGCCACAGAAAAGCTAAACTGGCAGCACAGCAGCTCCCTTCCGATGGGGATGGGGCCATCGCCACCGACTGGCTCCATATGGAAATTGAAAAGAAAGCCCGACATGGCAAATGAATCGCCGGAGCCGCAGTGAATCGCTTCGCAGCGGACTTACGCAGGGCCCTTGGTCGAGATGGAGGAGGGGGAGGGCAGGCCGAGGGTCATGGCTCCGCGGACACTGTAGCGGGTCTCCGTGCAGGAGGCCAGGCAGAGGGGGCAGAAGAGGGCGTCCTGCAGCTCGTGCTCCAGGCCCGTCACGTTCTCGCGACTGGTGATGACGTTCAGCCACTTGACTGCAGGGAAGAGAGGCTGTTCAATGGTTGGCGATTAACTGGGGAGCGGCGGAACCCACACTCGTAGCGCTTGAGGCAGGCCAGGTGCTGCAGGGTGCAGTAGATCCGCTTCTCGCCCCCGTCGATGTACCGGTGGGGCAGGCTGAAGGGGACGCACTCGCAGAGGCCCACCACGCTCTGCGCCCGGCAGGCCGAGATGCACTTGCTGAAGGTGTAGTGCCGCGCGAAGATCCACGGCATCTCGTTCTCGAACAGGCACTTGCGCTGCGTTCAGGCATTCAGGGTTAAATGGACAAATCTCTGTATGGCAGTGAACTGGATAAAGGACTCTCAAGCGAAGCCTACCACTGATGGGCTCATGCTCCGCGCCTCGGGCAGCGTCTCGAAGATCTTGGCCCGCACCGGCAGCAGGGTGTTGAAGCCCGTCTCGGCCACGCGCTCCGCCACTCCGCCGGAAAAGGGATCCGGGTAGCTGTGCGGCTCGTAGATGGAGATCTGAAAACTGGAGCTAAGCAAGATGTATCTGCACAATATTCAGTGACCCACCACAAAGCCATTGTGACTGTTTATCTTGTAGAAGTTGTCGCTGGGATCGGTTTTCAGGGTCAAAACCAATCCCATATCGGGGCCAAAGTAGCGCTGCCGGAAGTCCCTTTTATTAACGTACCTGTGGAATAACGATTTACTTTACTTTGCAATTAAAAACCACCCTCAGGGGTATTGCCTCCCATCGTAGTTGAAAGTGCAGCAGAAGCCATGGCTGGTCAGGGTCTCCTCGAACTGGTCCATGCAGTCGAAGAGCCTCCCGGCAATCCTGCAGCTCACGAACATGTCGCTGCAGTTCGGAGTGAGCGCGTGCATCCGCTTGCGGGTGTTGAAGAAGAGGTCCTGCTCCTCCATGTCGAACTTGTCCAGGAAGCTCTGGAAGCGCAGGGCGCTGTCCATGTCCACTTTGTCCGAGGGGTCGTAGTACAGGTACATGAAGGCCTCCATCTGCTTGTAGAAGTAGCTGGCATTGCGCAGCTTGGGATCCTTGCCACTTCTACTTGAAGAACGACACTTATCAGGGGATCTCGAGGGACTGAGTTAAGGACTCACAGCTCGTGGGCATACTGCCAGGCGGCGCGTTGCGAGATCCTGTTCAAGCTGCAGACGGAGATGGCCGGGAACTCCACCTTCCAGATGGGATACAGCGGGTGGTACATGGTGGTCACCAAGGCGTCCTGCTCGTTGGTGTAGCTGCCGTAGAGGAAGGCAATCAGGACGCTCAGAGCGGTAATGTGGAAGACGAACCAGAAGAAGCTGCGGGTGCACAAAATAAACTTTATTTGACACAAATATGTTAAAACATGTGAATCAGTTCCTAAAACCTCTATAGCCTGACTCCACTCACTCAATTGGGGGTTTTACCATGATAATGGAAATACCTATTTAGCAGTGCTTTTCTGTATCTGTGCGGCCAGCGGTAATGGCTAATGCTAATTGAAAAGGGCCGCCGTCGAGCCGGATGTGGCTGACCACCTACCGCTCCTGGATCCGTCGCCCCTGCTCCACCAGCTTTGCGTAACAATGGAACGACAGGTTCTGCAGCAAATCCTTTAGAGCGGCGGCAAATGACAATTTTCGCGTATCCTCCGCGGAAGCTCCAGCTAAGTGGTTGGGTGGCTGAGTGGATGGGGCCGCCGCACCGGGATTGGGGATCCACCAGGCGGCTCGACCCACCGCCAGGCGAACGGGCTCCTGCTCCAAGGACTCCATTGCAACTGGCATTGTGCCTGCGAGCACGGGCCGATTTTAATGAAAATTTCGCAGTCATGTCGTGCGTGTTGTTGTAATTAGGCCTGGTGCTCCAACTTATTGCCAACAAATTAACTGCGACATGGCACGTGGTGTTCGGCGGGGGGAAAAAGCGGGAGTGAAACAGGAGGTCCTGCTCTCGATTCGTCTTGGCAATTTCCCTTAATTGTCAACAATTTAAAATGAAATTAGTTAAATGCGCGTTAAATGTCAGCCAGCGGAAACATCATCATCATGAGCAGCCTGAGCAAGTTGTTCCCTGTTCGTAGTCCCCCGAAAAACATGCTTTCCCCTCCCCTGGATTATGAGCCCGTAGGCAAATGAAGGACACGTCTTCGTGGTGGCCAAAAAGTACTGATTTCGGTGCCTCCTGGCCTTAGATGATTAGATTACAAATTCCCAAGACAAGGTTACGGGGACTTAAAGGCATTTCACCTTTAATATTGTCTGCTGATTAGCTTCTATTACTCGCAATTAAAAAATAACTTTCCTAAGCCCCTTTAATGGATTCAAGAATTGAATTACCAGCACAATGATTGATTTGTAGGTGTAACTACACTAAATAAGAACCAGTGGCTTGCACAAAGCAATATCCTGGTTATTCTAGAGTAGAGGTAATACAGCAAGGCCAATATTAGCCGATCCGCGAACGGAGTCAGTGGGAAATGCGATTGTTGGAACATATTGACACGGACGGAAATGGCACATTTTCGCCGGGATGGAGAGGGAGTTTTGGGGGCGACAAAGGATTGTGCGACAAATTGCTCCCCAGGTGAGTGTGGGAGCAAATTAATCTGCAAACAAGGAGGCGACAGGGGGAAACGGGGGAGGCAGTCGGCCAAGATAAACGCACAAAGCGCAGAAAATCAGAAAACGTGGCAGGGGGCGGCGTTCTTCTCTCTTTTTGAGGCAGCCAGCGGAAACGGAAATGAAAAATGTGAAAAATGCAATGCGCAGCGAGTCGCGAAAAACGACAGTCGAGAGCGGGGAGCAGGTGGAAGTGAGAATTGCGAATGCAAATTGTCTATGGTGCGTATGTGCGTGTGCGTGTCTGGCGCACACTGCGTATGAGTAACATTGATGCTGACTTGTCCTTTATCTCGGCCTCACCTCTCTCCTGCGAGTCCCTCCCCTCGATTGCAATAGTTGCCGTATCTCTTCGCGGGGATATATACGTGCATATGGCGCAGTAAATCTGTCATATCCGCACAAAAGCTCAAGCCAACCGAAGTGCTTCCCTCCACCCACTTTCTCGCCGGATGTTTCGTTTCAAGTGGGACTTTCCCGCGAAGGACCTCTGCTAGATTGATTTCCAATATTTGCTTTAGATTCCCCTCTCAATGTTTGCCTACAATTACAATGGCTTGCGTTTTCCAGATTGATTAATTACATTTTAAATATTAAACAATTCTGTCAAACAATGGAACTAAAAAAGCAATACAAAAAAATGAAGCCTGCTTTCAGGCGAAAGATTGGTCACGGAAAATAGCTGACTGCTAAAAAACGTTTGGCACTTTTGCTTTCGTTAAAGTGTTTCCTGACTTGTGTAGTAGGAAATTAAAATGTAGTATGTACTCAAATGATATAGCATTTTCCCGACCTGGGACAACATGTTCAAAACAAAAAATGAATTATACTTGAAACAAATATGAATCCCAAGCACCGGAACTCGCTGGAATTCAATTACAAAACTTGTTTCCAAGTAAGCTGATTCTCGACTCCGAAACGAATTTGTTTATCAAATGTCGTGATCTCATTATTCAAGGGTGTTGTAGGGTGGCAAATACATGGAGCTAGGTATATATATAAATTAAAATCGGCATTTGATGGATTCAACTTTAAAGGAAGGCTTCTTTATATTTGCGGTTCTTATTGTAGTACACGGTAGTAAACATCCCTTCCGTTGGTGTCCTGGATACTCCTGTAGTTGTCGACCAGCGGCATTCTTCGTGAGTCCCTGAGATTCCACAGCTTTGCGATCTGCCGACGTGGATAGTCGAGAACGTCGGGGAACACAGTCCACGTGACAGCTTCCGCACAGTCCGGAGTGGTCAGCGATCCTGTGAAAAGGGAGGTTCCTGAATTCAAGGATCTATTCTGCTCCAAGTGAACTCACCGTTGTACGTGAAGAACTCTCCTGTCACAATATTTCCCAACAACTGGCCGACTGTCAGTGTCCCGGTGATGGTGGCATTCGAGTTGTACTCCACGATTCTCGGCAGCTGGTTGAAGATCTTGTTTAGTCCGTAGTGCTGGGAGGTCACACGATCCACGGCCCTAAACATTACCCCTAAAACCGCTGAAAATACGCGTAATATTATATTATTATTATATTATGATTATATTATTAGAGAACAGGATTAGTTACCCAGTCCATCGGGATGCAGGGTAGCCTCGCCCATTGTGTCGTAGATCCTGTTCTTGTGGACAATGTGCATCTCCACGTCGTAGCGCTGATAGTTGATGGCGTGCTCCGATCCCTTGGTGTGCGGGGATCCCCAGTGGAAGTGCACACTTTGGACCTCGAAGTCGCCGGGCAACAGACTGCCGTTTATGGAGGGCCGTTGGCCAGCTCGAGTAAGCGGTATAACCATGTTTGCTGTTCGAGTTTCGAAATAGTTTAAGAGCTAGTTGGTAATTCAAAAAGCACCCACCAGTGTGTCCATTGTTCGTAATCACCAGAGGAGTTTGAAGGGCTTGGTCATAGTTGTAGAAACGCAGGCGGGGAATGGCCACAACTTTCGACTTCAAGAACAATAAGTTAGAAAAGGTTCAAACACCGATTTGCACGAAGTAACTCACATCCTCGAAAATGAGATCTATGGGCGATTGGTTGGTTCCAGTTTGGCAGGTTCCCGTCCAATCGTCGCCCTGCTCATCGTAGTTATACTCGCCGGCTGAGGATTCGTCTGCTTTATCCTGGATAATTGCATCGAGATAATCCTGCGGAATCTCTGAAATGGCACCCCGGACACTTTATAGCCACCCCGAACTGAGCTTTGGGGCACTCACCTATGTAGGCAAAAGTGCATCCGCAGATGGCCAGCAGGCACAAAAAGCTGAAGGAGAACATTTTCAGTGCGAACTTTTCTCGTAAGTACTCTCAGGTCCGTTCCCCTTGGAGATTCCAGACTGACTGTGGGACTCTCGGTTCTGATCAGGACCATTTATACCGCGAAACCGGGGAGAACGCCATCACTTCTAAATGGGTGTGCATAAGAGGCTGATAAGCGCAATCAGCCTGGCTCAGCCTATGGGCGCAATTTACATCCAAATTGCAAATGGCTTTACGGCTCTGCGGTTGCCAAACCAGCTTGATAATTGACTTTGGCTTTGGCCAAGACACTGAGCTCGTAACTAATGCATCCTGTTCTCTTCTAAACTCTATGCACATTGTAGTTAGATTGAGAAAGCAACGATTGCTCCGAATCAGAGTTAAATGGCAGAAAGGAGGAGCCCCATCAAATCTGAATCAAAGCGACGGGTAGTTTCATACAATGTGAATCATTGCACTATTTATCAGTGCTTCGAGAACGAGCCAACTTCGCTAGACTTGGTAAAGGTTTTCCTAGAAGGGGATCACAAATCATTTACATTATGATATATATTTAATGTGATTTTATTTTATGGATCTTATCTCTAGCTGCAGATAAATAAAAAGAACTCTTAAACTATTAAGACTATTGCCTGCCAACAAGTCTGGAAATCCGTCTCGATGAAAGGTAAACTCATTAAGCTTATCTGGCGTTGCCCCAACTGATCTTGGGTAACAAATTTGAGTTCCCAGACTACGTCTCCTGTTTACTTTAAGGGGTTTGTTTAGACTAAAGTTAGTTGCACCGTGAAACCCCCAGATACCGGTGTAACCTATCGGTATTTTAACTTTGAAGTTATGTACAGATTTAATTCCAACAGATTTTCGAGAACGTTTCTTTCATCAAGAAAAGTCTCTGTCTATGATGATTGAACCACTCCAGCTGTGGTATCAAATGCAGCCAACCGAAATGCAGCTTCAATCGGCTTTTGAGTTCTGAAAGCTTCATCTTTGCTCTTGATCCAAACATCCAAACAAGGGGTTATGGTGACCCATTGTCAGCAATGAAATCAGATTCTGTCTTTATTAAACATCTCTACATTCTAAATTGTTTGCTTATCTTCGATAAGATATTAACTCGCAATGTAACTCAGACTTGCTTTCCGATTCTGCCATTTTATTGTTGCTTAGTTTGTGATCATGATGGCTGTATAAATTGCAAACATTCTTTACCAATACAGTCAAAGTTACCGCCTCATAGAAAAGGGAAGTGGTTAGCGACCCCTGGTAGGTGTAGAAATTATCGGGTTCACGCCTCCCAGCATCTCATCATCTCAAAGTAAAGCTGCCCGGAATAGACCTCTTCGCCCCCTTAACTGGAACCTTTGCGACTGCATTAATGACTTGGTATAATGCCGATAATGACCGCTTCTTTCCCTGGAGATGGATTTATTAGGAGGTATAGGAGTACCTTCTGATTTGAAGTTACATATTACTTTAACGATTTTCAGCAAGGCACCGATAACAGCTAATCCATCATCCCTTATACTTGGAGTTCCGATAGACAATATGCAGTTCCACGTCGAACTACTTTTTGTCGATCGAGTGCTCTGATTTTGTGAGTTACAACTTATTCTTTTACTAAGAATCTTAACTCAATAGGAAATTGTAATTTTCCGGCAATCCTCCAATCGGGGCTAGCCGAGTTGAGCAGAAAATTGAAAAAAATTGTCCGAGTTGAGCAGAAACGATTTTTGGACATAAAAAATGAACATCCGAGTTGAGCAGAAACGATTTTTGAACATAAAAAATGAACGTCCGAGTTGAGCATAAAACCGATAACGGTAAAAAACAAAAACATCCGAGTTGGGCAAAATCAATGTCAGAGATGCGTCAAAATCATTACTTATTCATATAATTATTACATATTTATTATTAATTTATTTGCAAATAATTATTACTTAATAATCATATATCATATATGATTATTAAGTAATTTTTCTAAAAAAAACTAAATTAAAAACTGAAAAAATAACCTTTTTTTGAGAAAAATTACTTAATAATCATATAGCATATGTATCAATGCAAAAGTGCGCGCGCACTTAAAAAAAAAAAACTAAAAACAGAAAACATAACCTTTTTTTGAATAATTACTTAATAATCATATAGCATATGTATCAATGCATAAGTGCGCGCGCACTAAACTAAACAAAACTAAACTGAAAACTGAAAAAAGAACCATTTTTTTGAAAAATTAAATTATTTAATTAATAATGATTTTGTGGCATCTCTGACATTGGTTTTTTATGTGGAAAAGGCGTTCATGCGCAACTCGGATGTTTTTATTTTTTTTTTACCGTAATCGGTTTTCTGCTCAACTCGGACGTTCATTTTTTATGTCCAAAAATCGTTTCTGCTCAACTCGGAATTTTTTTTTTTACCGTAATCGGCTTTCTGCTCAACTCGGTATCGCCCCTCCAATCGACTCCTGCATGTTTCCAATTGAAGAATAAATCTTTTCACTCTCTTGTTTGCAAGTCAAATGCGAAATATTCTTAACTTATTACAAACCGTGAAAAGGTGTCCAAATGCATATAAACCGTGACGAAATGAAAGATTACAGCTCTGGCAATTACTCCTGACAAACTTAGGTACTAATTGTTTTCTGTCATTTAAGACCAGTTTTTTAATCACTCCTCGAAGGCTCGATTGACTCGGGGTTATAAATTACGATGTGATGTATGCTGAAAGGCGAGCGGAAGCAATAGTAAAAGCTTGTGAAAACCAATGCTGCATTGTTGAAGATCTCAGATGTGATTGCTTTGATTGTGAATTCCTAGGTATAATTGATTCCATCTAAAGCGCGTGTCTTTTGTCCCACGTCGTTTTCGATTTACATAACTTATCTGATCCAAAGCGAATATGCGGGAGGTGTGCTAATTTCACTGCTTCGGAGACTGCGAAACGGCAAATGGGGAATTGCATCTGTGGAGTGGTACTAAAACTGAAACTGAATACAAAACCCTAGCGGTAGCAACAAGTGCCGGTAGAGAAGTTACTTTAAAGTCACATGAAACATTTTATTGGTCTTAAAAAACTAAAATAAATACAGCACTTGCCCAAATAGGCACCACTCAGATCTTTTCAAGGTCTGTAGAACACGGCCCTTCTATTTGTGGGCTGGATGTCCCGGAAGTTGTTGATGAGCCTGTGTCCCTCGGAGTCCCGCAGCCTCCAAAGCTTCGACACCAGCGTGTAAGACACCGGCAGCACCTGGGTGAAGACGGTCCAGGTGACAGCCTCCTGGCAAAAGGGCGTGGTCAGCGATCCCCGGTAGGTGAAGTAGCTCCGGGGATTCACGATGCCAAGCACCTGGCCCAAACTGAAGCTGCCCGGAACATAGGTTTTCGCCTTGGTCTTCGTGATTCGCGACACCGCACCCAACACATTGTGCAAGCCGAGAAACATGAGCTTGGGATTCTGTAGGGAGATATAATCATTTTTAATATTTTTGTCTTACTTGTCTCTTCAAAATGCAAATGCCGGGAAACTTTTCGGCTGTTTAAAGGCAAGACTAGAAATTTTGTCTTTTGTTAGCACTTTTGAATAGTTTATCTTTTCCATTTAAAATATTGAAATATAAGCCACGCCAAAAGAGAAATAATTTGTCTTTGATGCAATGACACGTATTTTTTTGCGTTAGCAAACCAAAGTTTAAGGTGTAGATTTTCATTTCAGCCGTTCTCGACCGCTGCATCACGTCAAGCGAAAATCTCGAAGAAAAACCAAAAGATATTTGATAGATGAAGTATTCTCGTACCTTTACAATCTTCAACATGACTCCGATGACAGCCAGTCCGTCTTTTTGCCGACTGCCTCGCTCATGTCTTTGTATTTGGCATTCCGATGGACGATGTGCATCTCCACGTCGTACCTCTGCTTGTTGATCGCGTGCTCGGACCCCCGGGAACCGGGGGATCCCCAATGAAAGTGGAGAGATTCGGCCACATACCGGCCGTTCAGCATACCTTCGGTTATGAAGGGCTTCTTTCCGTTGGTCGTTTCGGGAATGTCCATGTGAGCTGCGGGTAATTAGTAGCATCAGTAGCTATTCGTAACGAGCTATTAGCGGTTTTTCAAAAGCAATCTACCTGTGTGCCCATTATTGGTGATGGTGAGCGGCCCCCTGAGCTTTATGTCATAGTTTCCGAAAACGATCCGAGGAATGGAAATTATATACGACTGGCAGAAAGCATGACGATACCAATTAGTTATTGAAATAAATTGGCCCTACCCGCGGAGGCTTCTTCAATTTTCCACAATCATTACCTATTGTAATGCGAAAAGTGGCGCTAAAAGAGTTCCGATTGTCGAAGTGGGAAGCTTTTATGGTTACATACGTCGATTTGGGGTATCACATTAGACTAAGAGGCGTGTTGTAACTCAATTTATTTATTAATAATGATGGGAAATTACTTAACATAATTGTCAAACTGGTGTATTTCCTGGTTGTCGTTGAAAAACTGCCCTACTATCTTGTCCTGAATTTTTGCGTGAATTTGTACGAATTTTATGTAAAAGATTTAGTTGTCATTAAAATGTGTAACCACATTCCAGTCCATACAGATGTAAAAAAGCAAATGTTAAACAGATGCGCATATAAAATGGACCGCATAATTAATACACATTTCGTGATACATATTTCGAATTCAATGGTTTTCTGATTTATTTACTAGAACAAGATTTGGTTCTTTATAGTTTGCGGTTCTGGAATTTAAGCCTGTTTCGTAAAATCTATCAAACTGGAAAACTTTGCTGTTATATAAAATCATGTAACAACTCCCAAAAGGTTTTTTGAATGATCGAAAATGTTATTCTATACAAAGTTCTTCTAATTCGTTTAATTGCTATTCAAAACTTACCTTTTGCACACTTAAAGAAATGGGCGATTGCCTTTCTCCCGAGGCGCAGATGCCGCCCCAATTCTTCCCGTTCGTCTCGTAATTCCAATGCTCATCTTTGTCATCTCCAACTATGTAATTAAAGGAAAGCAAATCTGAGTCGTTTTCACTTTCTTTGAGCCGCCTAGCATTCGGTAATCCTATTAGCCAAGACCGTCCACAAACTCACTTCTGTTTTCGTTCGACTGAATCAGTTCACTCTCTCATTTCTGAGACCCAAACAAGGTATGACAGAATGATTAGTAACACCGGCTTTCCAAACAACAAGGAATGTATTGCTACCAAATGCCGGCTTGATTTTATGGATCAGTTTTGTATAAATTAAGCATTTTGCAAACCTTGAAAGATCGAAATATCTTTAGTATGGCATGCACCGTGACAAGGTTGGGGTTTGTTGTAACTTTAGTTCCTGCCATTGACGAACAACTAATGCACTTGTCTGTCACTCCTCAAAGTTCCCATATACTCGTATACATAGTTCTGGGACTCGAATTACCATTTGGCGTACGGTGATAGGCGAGCGGCAGCAATAGTAAAAGCTTGTGAAATGCACTGGGCTGCATTGTTGCAGATCGCAGATGTGATTGTTCTGACTGCGATACTATAGCTATAGGTGATCCCAACTGGCGCGTGTGTCTTTGTGATCGGTATCTCGACGATTTCGATTTTACATAATTTATCCGACGCGAATGTGCGGGAGATTTGTTACTTTTATGGTGCTGCTGCGACTGCCAACTTCGAACAACTGAAACGGCTCACAAACACCCCGATAACTTTTATAGTTTAGTGGGGTCTAAGCGATGCCCACGTTGACTTGAAGTCTGGGGAGTTGAACGGAATCGGATTCGGAATGGATCGGATCGGATCAAAATTCGAAACCTAAGTGGGGCGTGATTAGCGCCAAACGGTAGCACAAGTGCCAGTCTAATTGCAGCTGTTGGTTTTCGAAATGATAAATGATGTTTCTGCGCAATGTAGACCAAAGAGCTACGGAAAACCGTATGATAATCGCTGGAAATGCGGAAAAGGTCTTGCCAAAGTTGATTGAACTCTTACAAATTCTTTCGACGTTAATTGGGGAATGGGTGCATTGAAAATTGTATACTCAAAACTAATTACTCAATTATTTTGATTTCCACAAAACACTTTACAATAATTTTTCCGATTAGTTTTTTACTTCACTTCCTAGCTTAAACAGTTAGTTAACTACTTGAGTCTTAGTACTGTTTTTATTTAAAAATTTTTCCTTAATATTATTAGCGAACTTTATGGATATTTAAGTCCGTAAACCTCAATAAAAACTTAATTAGTACAATAAAATATTTTTGCTTTTATAGTATCCAAAGACCCATTAAAAACCAGATCAGCGGGAGTTACCACGTGTCAACTATTTATATCATTCGCTATAACTTAAACCAAATTCGTTCCATTATTAAACTTAGTTGCGACGCCTTTCAAATGCATCAAAAGAAAGTAGCTGTGACCATTAGCATTTAAATTGTTATCAATAACAGATATTATCACCAAAAATTTGGCAATTGGTCGAACTGAATCACTGGATTGGCCAGATTTGGCATTAGTTGCCAAACGGGTTTCGACTACGTCACATCCAAAAACCAGGGAAATCCTCTGACCAATTACAACATAAAAGATTTTAACCATAACTTCTAAGCTCAACGTTTCGCAATTCCCGTTGTGGTGACTCACACAATAGCAAGCATTGGTAAAATTGATCATAGAAAAAATATTAACCACTGATAACGTTATAATATTGATGCTGCTCCATGGCCGTTTCACTTTACATCAACCAAAGAAAGCGGCTTAACATTTTTTCAGGCTTTATATTTAACTCTGTTTCGTACTCTGTCACTTACAACTAAGTATTCATGCACACTCATTGTGGATAATGTATATAATGAAAGATAGAATATAACCAAATGTTGATATATGTAAGTTCGCTTATAGGCCTAATCAATAGAAACGTAACAAGCACGCGCTTTCTGGGCAGTCAAACTGCATCTAATTCTGGGCTTTTGCCCTGGGTCAGAGCTCGGTGGCGAAATAGATGCGCCTGCTGGGTCAGAAGTCGCCCACTGCATGGGAAACGAACTCGAACTGGCGCTCCATGCTGTTATCAGTTTCCAAATCGAGTGCATCGTCGATGAAATGCATCTCCACGTGCTCCCGGAAGGCGTTGAAGGACACCTGGCTGGAATACTGCTTGCCGCACATCGGACAGGTCTTCTCCATAGCGTCGGCTTCGTCGGCCTTGATTTTCTCCTGAATAATATTTATCCTCTGCCTAGGCGGCGTTCCATTGTGTCCATTGTGCTGGCTCTCGTAGTTCTTCAGTTCGCTGCTCAGGCTGTCGTCTGTCTCTAGACTTTTGTCGGCCGTTTCTGGCTTCTTGGCGGATTTCTGGGCGCATTCCGGACATGGTTGTAGGGCTTTGGAATAAAAAGTAGTGATTATACCGATATTTACTATTAATACAGGTTGTGTTCCTTACCTATGCGACTTTCTAGCAAAGTCAGCGCCGAGCTGAGCTCCTGCTGCTGCTTCATCGCCTCCCGCCTCATCTCCTGGAGGCCGTCCATACATCTTTTGGCATCCACATTGGCATCTGTTTCGCTGGTTGGGTCCTCAACCTTTTGAAGGTTGTAGGGGTAGCCCAGTTCCTCGTTGCTGGCACCAAAGTCATCGAGGGCTATTTCCTCCAGACTGAGATCCTTTATACCATCCGAGAGCATTTTTTGGCGCAGAAGGGGATTCGGCGAATGCTGTGTGAAGGTCTTCGAGCGCACCAGGTTCTGGTTTTGCTGGGCACGTGAGTCCGCGGAGCTGGGCACTTGCGTTAGCACTTGGTCCTTGGAGATCTGCGATAGGCGAGACCAGAGGCGTCTATTTTCATTAGACACCATGCCAATGTGCTCCTCTAGCTGCTCCTTTTGTCGCTGCAGTTCCGACACTTGTGCTCGCAGGGAGAGGACATCCCCGGTGACCCCGTTTCCGGGTGGAACGGCTTCTGACCTGGCGGAGGACTCCCTCAGCCGCTGGTTCTCCTCCTCCATGCTGGCCACACGGCGCTGAAGCTGGATGCACCTCTCCTTGATCGTTTGCAGAGCAACTTGCAATGCGTAGTTCATTTTCTCGCTGGAGGTGGAGTTTGTGCCTGTGGAAGTGGACGTGGAACTGGCTAGAGAAGCGATTTTAGCAGCCGAAGCCTCCATGGCGATTTACTAGTGTTCCAAAACACTTGGCATCAGAATATTCGCCCAATTGCACTTTGAAATTTGTGTTTTCTTGGTTTAGTTTCGTTTAGTTTTCCTATTGTTGCCTTCTCATTAGTGGGACCACTGAAGCAACTTCAAAAAATACCGCAAATAATACTAATAGTTGGGAATACTTCCGCACGGTGAATATTGGTCAAACAATAAGTCGACTCTGTACACAAACAAAAGTTATATTATTATTATTATGCATAGCCGTTCATTTGAAATGCTTGGGAAGACTTTCATATTACTAAGTTACTATTTTGCTACGATAGTTTTCTTCAAACAAGGGTTCTACTGTATTTTAGTATTTTCGTTACGTTGATTGGAAGTGTGACCGGGCACCAAGCCAAACAGCTGCTTTTGTTTACGCGGCTGTTGAATTATTATCCAACACATTTTCTTCCATGTTTTGTGGCCAGAGACTAGTCAATAATTTCTTTAAATATAAAAGAAAAGTGTGGCATAATGTGAGCCCAATTATAAAGCGCAGCAACTCGAGCTATCACCCACCTAAAATTCTGTTTTTCGGCACCGACAACTTTTCCTTGCCGAGCTTACAAGCACTTCACAAAAACTGCAGGTTAGTGGACGCAAAAAACAAGTTTTATAACACGAATTAAATATTATGTATTATTAGAGATAGCTTGGGAGTTGTTACATCCTTCAAAAGTCCTGCCAACTGTGTACGGAGCTATGCGGAAAGAGAAAAGCTCCCCCTGCAAAAGTGGCCCGTGGAACCATCGGAATGTTCCAAGTTCGATCTGGGAGTAGTTGTCTCCTTTGGTCACTTGATACCTGCAAATATTATCAATCAATTCCCGAAAGGAATGATCAATGTTCACGCGAGCTTGTTGCCCAAATGGCGAGGAGCTGCACCTATTATATATGCCATCATGAACGGAGACAAAAGCACTGGAGTTTCTATTATGAAAATTGAACCCCACCGATTTGATATTGGGGATGTAAGTTAATGGTGACCTATTTCTTTATCAAGTGAAATTTATGTTGCAAATTTTAGATACTAGCTCAGCGGCAGCTGGCCATAAAACCTGATATGTTCATGCCGGAATTACATACATCGTTAGCGATATTAGGAGCAGATTTACTTGTGGATACGGTTAATAACTTGTCTAAACGACTACAGGAAGCCAAACCCCAGGATAGTATATACGCCAGTTATGGTAAAATACATATTATATGTAGGAAAAACAAATTGATTAAACGTTTAATCTTTCAGCTCCCAAAATAACAAACAAAATCACCGAGATTATCTGGACAGAACTCAGTGCGATGGAAATATACGCTCGGCATCGGGCGTTGTATGGCTATAAAAATCTAACCACTAGCCTTTTGGACAAACAAGTTCAGCTGCTAGAGCTACGGCTACCAGAAAATCAACTCCCTGCACAGGAGCCTGGAACTTTTAGCTATCAAAGGAAGCGGATATCGCTGTTGATAGGATGTGCTCAGGACACTCAACTAGAAGTTCTACAATTACGTATAGAAGGGAGAAAACCCATGAGTTCCCAGGACTTTAACAACGGTTTTCTGAAACAAGCAAGATCCCTAAGCTTCACAGACAATAAACTAGTGAAAAATTGAAAACAAAAGTGTGTTTAATGCAAAGTAGATGCGTAACAACTAGGCCAAATCGGAGGGCTTCACTTCTTTAGTATCCGACACCTGCTGCGTGGATTTCTGAAGCAAGTTCTTGGTGAACCACATGGGGCGAGGCTTCTTCATCTCCACGATGCGCTTGTTTTTTAGATCTTCTGAGGACTGTTCTGCTTTTTCGCCTTCATAAAGCACTATAACCTCCTTATCCACGGGATCTAGTCCCAGACTTTCCTGGATTTTTGACTGCATGAGCTCCGTTTCCTTCAGGACTTTTTGGTAGCAGAAAGCTGAAAGCGAAAGTGGTCAGTACTATAAGGATTATCTTCGTTTAAAGGGATCTTACGACAAAGAACCCCCATTTCGTGGTCATGTCCGCATTGCAGGCACGAGCGAATGTTTCGCTTTTCCCTCAGAGGCTTCCAATTGTATTCTGGGTAACCGAACTTTCGCTTCAACCGTTTCTCTACTGATCGCCTGTGTTTTGGGACAGCCCACAACATTCCATCGCCAATTAATTGCTTCAAACTGAATTCCTGGGCGGACTTCTGGCTGTGATCATGCTGAATACCGGCCAACGCAAGGGCTATGTAAACAAAATGTTACTTAGAGTTATTTCAGTGGCGGCTTGTACACCCTTACCTGGAGGATGCCCTCCATGTGGCAGAAACAGGCGCTCCACATTTCTTATAAAGTTTGTAATAGATAAAAACAAATTTCTAGACATTTTGTGTTTGCTGGATTTACGTAAACGTGATTAGGGACGAGCAATTGCCCACACAAAGATATCGATATTCCTACATATAAACAAGAAAACAACGTAACTGAATATCAAACCAACGGTCCTGTCTGATCGCTTTAATAACAGACCAAGACCCTTTAAAAAAAACCGATTAGCGAAAACTTAATTCATTTTTAAAGAAAGCACGAAATTGTGGACCTTATAACCCTTTGTGTCTAATAGAATAGTACTAGCTTGTAAGTTTAATAATATTACGTTTTCCTTCTCTAGCGTTACGTCTCTTGCCGGCTTTTGCGTCACCGCGCACGTTGCAACCCTAAACAGCTGTTCGCACCAGCTGTTCTGCACTGTTACGTCAAAATAAAGTTGTGAAAAGGTGCAAATTGCGTGCGAGTTAAATAAAAACTATTTCCTCGGCCGGAAAACGTGTTACAGGAGACTTTTCTAGGTGGCCCAGTGGTTGTGGGACATGAGAACACTGGCAGCTGGAGGAAGGTAGTGGCTGCCAGGCCAAGTAACCTATATAAGAAGGGCTCGTATCCGGAATATCTCCTCGTAAATAGTGTGACCCACAGGTAAACAGGGGTCATCTAGATAGCCCACGACCTCCGGTGACTGCAAAACTGTGTGGTGTAACGACTGAAGTACCCGTTCAAGTTCAAGCCGACGTGAGCTTCGTGTGTGATCGGTTTCACCTCCGTCGGATACTCACCACACCTGGCGGCGCGCACGCGCATCTATTCAAAAATCCACAAGAAGCGAAAACACTTGGCTGGAGCTTCTGAAGCCAAACGGAAGTAGCCGCGCTTCGCTGTCGCCTCGAAAATCGCTTGTTATCCCCCGAAATCGCAACGAAATTGCGCGTTACCAAATCCTGCGATCCTGCCAAAATATAAACAAAAAACACCTAATAATGCTGTTCACCTGTTGAATTCTGTGCCTGTGTATCGATCGAAAGCTTCAGTTCTTCCCAGAAACCCAAACCAAGCTAATAAAACCCTGTTATAAAAATTCTATCAATCAAAACCGAAAATGGCCTGCTTGAGCACTTCCGGTCGCGTCGTGTGCGGTTCGCGTCGCCAACAAACGCACAAGTTGCTTTATCAGCTATTTGGATCCCGGCCAGGATATACATCCCCATCCCCATCGACAGGATTTAATCCACCTAAAGTTCAACAGCAGGCCATGCGACTCTTCCACGGATTAAGCTTCAGCATGGGCAAGGATTATCCCGATCTGATGGTGAGTTCATTGCCGCAGCGGGATGCACAGAAAAAAAAACACTGTGAGCCTATATAAGGCCTTTAAAATAATGATTTTTAGATCGCCACTGATTTGTGTTAACATTTTTGTTGCGATTGGATTATTTTTAAATCTACTATCAGATAACTTGAGTAAATAAATGAGAACATTTTTTTAATTTCTTCAATTATTGAGATAACCGCAAAGCTATAAACACATTTTATGACTTAATATTGGTTCGCTTTTTCCGGTGCAGAGTGCATTGGCTGCGCTTGCAGCAAGCCAACTCTTTGGTCGCTAATGCGTCTGCGTGACTTTGGCTTTTGCCTGTCCGCTTTTCTTTTCTTTGGCGATCGCTGCAAAGCCAAAAAGAAAATGAAAGTGAAATTGGTCGCTGGCTTTTGGCCGTTGCTTTTGTGCAAGTAGCGTGAAAAACAACTTGTTGCGCCCACAGTCGCTACAGTGTTGTTGTTGGCGGAAGCTGGCGCGTTTATTTATTATTGTGCCTTGGTTTTTTACCATTTTGCCGAACGCCTCTGTTTTTCTTCGTTTCCATGTGTTTTTCCCTGCATTTTTGCAAGGTGAAGTTTTTCGACTGCCTCTCTTTCTGGCCCGATAATTATATCTCTTTCTAGTCTGTCTGTAGTTTGTCATTATTTTTATATCGTTGACAAGTTTGTAGTGTCTTTCTTCCTTTTTTGTTATTGAGTTATGCAATTTCACTAGCTGCATATTTAGCTCTGGTTTATTGCTCGTATTTATCAATATTTATCGCCGCGTTGTTGATTTTCCCGCTGTTTGCAGCGCCAATAAACAGCTGATTCGGGGCCAGTGCCCCCAAAACTGTGCTCTGCCTGCCTTCGAAACTGTGACCTGCGGCGTATACGTAATATTTGATGTGGATTCCGGGCGGGTTCTGTTCCCTAGTTCTGTCAAACCAGCAATTTGATGTTTACTTATCAGCTAGTGGAATGCTATCAGCATTTTATATTTCATGAGTTTTACTGGCTGTTACTAATACAATAACGCAAATCTTTCGCCCTCTGGTATTGAAATATAGTGAATGACGCAGTGAGTGCATAAAAAGGTCGTAAATAACCAAGCTCATTATATTTTTATGGAGGTATTTCTCCATGCTAGGCCATATTTCTTGGGGAAACATCTCTAGGTTATGTTCTGAGAGCCTTTGTTGTCTGTTCAAAAACCCAGAAGGAAGTGCAGGCAATTGTCTTATAATTCAATTTGCTAGTTAACACTCGCCTTCGCCTTAATTGCTTACTAACTTGCGCCTGGAGTAGGCATGTGTAGGCCACAATTAGTGCATCGGTTTCTCACATTTGCTATTAAGTTTATTGTTTTATGGCACGCCATTTAAGACAACCCATTTAGCGGGGGGTGGAGCTCAGGAGTATGACTTTGACTTAATTGCTTTAGCATTGCGAGTGCAATACATTGAATGCAGTTTATGCATTGGTTATTTGGGCAGGCAGCCTTGGCTCAAATGTATTTATTTGTATTTATATAGCAGCAGTTTGGCCAATTCCGAGCAATATATATAAAGGGTTAAGTGCTCGTTAATTCACTTTATTGCACACTTTTGACCCTCGTTAAACAGACCCTGATCCCGTGGGTTAGAGGGGTCTATTGTCTCCAAAACATTTCAGAAATTTGGTGATGATTTACCCCTTTTACTGGTGACTCTACTACAAAAGTAGATATGCAAATAAAATGGTCAATACTAATATATTAAAAAAAATATACACAAAAGGAATCCCTTTATATGTCTATAAAGTAAATAAATAAAATAAACTTAATCAACTTTAAATGAATGCATTCGCCAATCATAATGGAAAAAGTTTACAAATTGTGTATGCAGTTGTCGTTATCGAGTTATTTATGCATTTTAGTTGTTGAAGACCTTTTTGTTATTTCATTTTGAAGCCGAATAAAAATTCATTCAACGCCAAATTGGTTTTATGCCCAACTCACATCCACACAACGTCGAAAACGAGCGCCTGGAAACTGATACGTTCATCTATCATAGGTAAACAATAAACAAAACGCAAATAGAAAGCGCACGTCGCAGCCAAAACCAAAAACCAAAAACCAAAAAAAAAACGCCAACTAATAATAGTCGGCAATAGCAGTCGTAGAAGAAATTCACTTTTAACGGTTTCTTTGACTTTCTTCTTCATTTCATTTGCCAAGCTGCCGAGCTCTCCATTGTTTTGGCCAAAAGAAAACGACCAAAAAACGAAGTCCGAGTTTTTATCTTTATGCGCCACACGAATTTGGCAAGAAGCCGATTGACCAGCTTTTAGTACTCGTTCTCTTTGCCTCGAATCAGTTTTTAAATCATTTTCGTAGTTTCCTTCTCTTTGGCTTAAGGGCCCCATAATTTTCGAGTATTTTTATACTTTTCACTTTCATGGCAAATGCGTGGAATACGATCTCAGTTTGCCTTTGGGCCAAGAATTTTAACGCCTGCGTGTGAATTCGTTGGGTTGATACTCCCAAGGTGGCGATTTTTCAATTAGATTAGAGAGTCTGTGAACAGTTAGACGTTTTAACGGAGCTGCGGATTGATTTCTGTCCAATCGCCGCTTTTTATATGTATCTGCCTAATTTGAATGCGAGGGTTCGCTCTTGTGAAAGTGAAACCGAATCTTGACTTGTTTTCATTGAGATTTTTTAGAAATTTGGGCACGAACTCAATGCCCGATAAGGTTGGCTGTGATTTTGATAAAAGTGGCTTTCAAGTAACCGTTTCAGATTATTAAATCTTCTTAAATATTATTAATTAGATACAATAAGGTACCGAGCTTTTTAATATGGAATTTCTGTTTTTAAGTAAAATAATACCAACGTTTTATATAGTTTCCCAATTCAAGGCCCCGAGCCGCATTCCTTTAAATTGTATTTCACAATCAGTCATATTTCTCTTAGCCAACCTCTGGTGAGAAAGTCATCAGGTCGAGCATGAATATGCGAGAAAGAGCCGAGCAAAAAGTAGCAGATATGCTAAAGATACATCTGTCGTATGCACGAGATGGTCATATCGTAAATCTCCGTCTTTGTGGCCGTGTCTTTATTTCTGCAAAGCACTTTCACTGACCCAAGGTCCGAGTGGCCGAAGAGGAAGCCCTGCAGAAGAAGCCGAAACCCCTCCGAATAATTCTCTATCGGAGCGAACGAATATTATTTATGTTTAATGTGCACTTACTGGTGGCTTAATTGGCTCTCGGAAATTGGATGTGGGCATGCCTAAGCGGATTGGCTGACTTTCGTTCAACCTGTCCCATACACCTGCAATGGTCTCTTTGATCGCTCAAGTTTGGCTTTGGTATTTTTCGGCCCGTACTTGCTGACCCAATTCCAGAAAGACGCATGCGTTTTGGTGTGTTGTCCTAAACTGGTTTCGGTGGTTTCGGCCTTTCTGCCGCATTTCCCTCTCTTTCGCGCCAAGACGGTTAACTGTTAATGATTTCGGCGTTGTTTTCCTTAACAACAAATTTTCGATTTCGATTTGAAAGCCGAAAAAGAAGCGCCTTCTCCTGCACAGAAAGAAATGTTGGTCAAGCTTAAACATAAATTCGATTTAATGCGATTGAATACATTGCTGATAAACGATTAATCATGGCTAATCGAAATTGGCCTTTTTAAGCTGTGAACTGTTTAGCTCGACAAATAGATTTAAGACATGTTTATCTATTTAACCTGATTTTTTTCTGTGTGCGAAGGGAGCGGGTTGGGCGGTAGAGCAAGTTTGGTTCGGATAGTTTTGACCAAGTTGCATAACCCGGCCAAACCCATCGAGTCTGGCCAGCTGTCAGCCCCGCATTTCATCAATGTCGCTCATTGGTCGACTTTCCTGCCTCTTGGGCGTTCGGTTAAAATATTTGATGTTTTATCAGTGATTAACATAAATTTGACTATCTTCGGGCGACTCGCATATGCTTCCCACACTGATTGCCTCACTTGTTCGAACTTCGAAGTGTTTGCCCAGCATTCTGACTTCCAGTCTGGGCTCTGCTATTTGGCCAAGGGTTTCACCTAATTAACATTGGAATTTGGTTAAATGTTCACCGATGTTTACGATTCCGCATTTCGAAATATCTTGGCCAGAAATGAAAACGAAAAATTAGATTTGCATTTATCGGCGGCACGCGTCGCATTGCAGTTTGCATTTCGGAGTTTGTTTTTTTCCTGTCCGCGCTCTTTATGTAATTTTTTGGGTTGATTTACACCCAAAGCCGCCAATGCAGGATAAACTTGAATTTTCAGGTTTTCCACCACTAACTGGTTTCCAATTTGTCTGCAAAAACATTTTGCTTTTCCCTGGCGAACCTTAATTTTGGTTGCATTTTAGTGTTTTTGCCTTTGACAGATTGTTATAATTACCAACTGCACACTGACACCTCCGAAAATTATGGTTGGCAACAAATATTTTCGGCTATTAAAAGGTTTTCTCAGGCTTTTCGGGGTTTTGCATTCGCTTGGATGCCGAGGCGTTTAAAAACGTATTCGCTATTGCAGTGGCGGCTTTTAGAAACGCGTCTGCGTCTTAAGTCGCCTTCGTAGTCAAATATCACGCAGCCGCCGCGTTGGACAAGCACGCACTAATTTCAATTGTAAATCGCCATTGCGCAATAGCCAAAGTGACGGGGGAATTCCATGGCTGATTCGATGGCTGATATATGACTCCGGAAAATGGTTGGCTAAACGGGATCGGAAATCAAGTTTATACCAATTAATGAGTGAGAAATCGCTTTCAGTGCGTCCACTTTTGGGATGACAACTAATTATTTCTTAAATGCAACAATGAGGTTATTCCCTCGGGTGAAGCGGTTATCTTTAATCGCAGAGTTACTGAAATATACCTGAGAAAACCAATGTAAAAAAGGCATTAAATTAATAATAAATCGTTTAAATCTATAAATTGATTGAAGTCCAAAAATGTAATGGTTTTTGTGATCAAAGTATCTTGAGGGTCGATGATTTGAAGACCTCAATTGGTCAATCGCTTGCAGTTGTCACAGTTTCTGATGAGCCCTATTGCGATCGCAATGAAACCGTGACGCAGTTAAGCATTCGCAATTGAGACATTAGCAAATAATGCCGATAGATTATGCTATCCACTCGAGCTGCTGCATCACGGAGCGATTTTCAGAAGCGTTCTCAATGCCGCGGCGAGCACTTTGTCAAATACAAATTGCCCAGTTCGGAGGCAAACACTTCGGCGCTTCAGCATTCACACTCACTTCAGCTTGGATGCCTGCGGTGCGGCTGAGTCGTTAACACGCATGTTAACCACTTGCCAGCGAACTTGGCTAATGAAGAAGCTCCCGCGGTTAAAATCGAACGGAGAAATTACGGAGCCGATCGCATGCCCCTCGAAGCCTCCGATCGGCCATCCAACGCTTGGTTATGTCAGCCGCAGCAATACAACCGCACCGCACCGCAGCGATGACAAAAAGGGAAAGTAAGTCCAAAGCCTCGTCTTCGCGGCCCTCAGTCGCTCGCTTTCGTGGCCGACTCTCTGCGTCCGCTTTTGGCCAAAACCTCACTGCTCACTGCTGGCCGCTTCCGCTTGCAAAGGCCTGTCAGGTTCGATCGGTGTTTCTTTTGGCCAGCGAGAAAGAAGCAATTAAAATTGCTGGCAAGTGGATCGATTGTCGCAGCAGGGTTTTACAAAAATTAAATACATTCCTGTATATTATATATGTACACATAATATATAGTACAGACATGTCTCAAGGCAAGGAACATTTATCCACACTCTCTTCCTGGATGGTAATTTCGGATAAGTCAAGTTCATTAACGCCAAAAATGGTCTTGAATAACCCTTGAGAACAATTTGTAAGTGAGTGCATTGCTCACTCGATTAATTTGCAAATAAATGTAGGCAGTTAACAACTATAATGTTCTCTTCGCCACGCGGAGTAAGCATAAATTGGTTAACTTGATGACTATAATTGAATAATTTTTAGCGTGTTTAGTCGAAAATCGCTGCCCGTCGACCAGAGGCAGCTGTTAACACTTTTCGTACTTAAAACCGACCTCCATAAAAATCGCAACATGCAATGGCAATTTTCGAGCCTCGCATATTGCCATATTGAATAAAAATGGCTTATGATGCCGACTGCGCCGCATACAAATGGCCTGAAAACACGAGCGAATTCCGGCCAAACAAGAGCAGAAATCACAACAATGAGGAGGCTCTAAGCAAACAATAAGTGAGCCGTAAGGCAATCAATAACCAATGCAAAATGTTGCAATTCCCCGCTTTGTTGGGCTTTCAATCAGAGCTGACATCAATCAGTGCGAGTTTTGCGTGGCACTCGGAGGTGTTTAAATACTTTCAGCCGTTAATTGTCTTCATCTTCAGATGCCTCAATGGGCCCGGAGTGGGATGGGTTTCTTTCGCACTGGATCGGATGACGCCTGGAGAGGATTGTGCCGTGGGAGCGCCCTGTGGCGCCGAATTTTCAGTTTGCTTGATTCGCTTTTGGCACTTGTGTGGCCGGCATGAGCACACACTTCGCTAAATGCTGCAATTGCTTTGATCACTCCGCCCATTTGCTGCAATTTTTCCACAATTAAATTAATGGCCTCCAAACCGGGCGTATTTAAATGAAAATTTGCAGGAGCGCCTCCGATCGCTAAGCAAATAAAGGTAAATTATTTGCCGCATTGTTGCCGCGCAGATCATTATTATTATTTCCTCTTGAATCGACGTGAAAGTTGGCTTGCCAATTGTTGCGGCTCCTCTTTCGTGGCATTGCATGTGGGCCAAAAGGAGGTTAAACTGGATGTCTTCGGGTGTTGGATTGCGCCTGGCTAATTGCGGTTTAACCTTATCGACTGATGGGAGATTATCTTGAAAACTGAACTCCACCTCTTGGAAACCCTAGGTTTTGGAGAGGTTAAATCTGAACTAACATTTTATCAATTACCTACAAGGCAACTCTTCACCATCAGTATTTTGGAATGCAAATACAGTTCGAACTTAAGTTAACTTTTGTAATGAATTGAATACTTAACTTGAATTTGCAGTAGTTTTCGCATTGCCCAGACCTGACTTTTCTAGATATTTCGCTACTTCCTTCCATGGTTGCACAATAAACCACATTGTGAAACTGAGTCATAGTCCTCTGTTCATCTTCAGCAGCCAAGTGCAACGAAAGAGGCTACTTCCTATGTTATTTCGCTGGTTATTTCGAGCGCTTCGGTTTTCGGTTGTGCACGCAAAAACTCGGAAACCCAAAATGTAAATTCGCATATTGAAATTGCGAAAGCGCAGATCCTATGGACTGCCAGAATTGTAAGCCCAGAGCGTTGACCTGGCCTTTTGCTGAGCATTTGATCCGCAACCCAGCCAAGTGGCCAACGGCAGCAGTTCGTGGGGTTTAGAGACACTTAAAATCCGTTCGGCTTTCGTGGGCACCTGTAAAAAGCATTTAACAGTGCTTAAAAGTCATTCAACGTATGCGGCCAACTCGAAATGGCCACAATTAAATGCATTTCTGCACGTCCCACCGAAGAAATGGAAATGTAACTTTTGTTTCTGCTACTTTTGTTTCCTTGCCTTTGCGAAAATTATCAACTAATTTTAATTTGGCGCACATATTGAAAACGAAAGCTACCGCGACTCGCATTTAATTGGATTTCTTCCGGCTGCTGTTGAAAATTGTAAATTGTGATGCGTCGATTTTGTAATAAGCCCTCAATCGCGATCGGTTCGCTTTCTACTCGCCAAAAGCTAAGCCCATTCCGATGTTTATGACACATATTAAATATGAAACTGGGTCATTACAAGCTCTTTTCAATGGCCAACAATTTGTTTGGGTATTTTACGACGCTCTGGGCCCCGAAGACCAAAGCGAACCAGTTCGCCGTCCGAAACCCACACGTGTGATCCCAAAGATGATGATTGTGATGATGATTGTGATGATGCTGCAGAAGATGCGGATGACGGTCGATCGCCAAGGGCGGCGAGTGATGGTCGAAGTCACTGGTCGAAGTCAGGACCCCGTGCACCCAAGTGGGTCAACCAGAAATCCGCTCACGCCCAAGTCCATCTTAGCCAAATATTTGGTGGTGCAGAAGTGTAAAAGTTGCCTCCGTTCGCCGACAGCTGGCAACATCGAATTTACATGTTATCATGCCAACATGTGTGCGGCTCTTATTGGCAGACTGAGTGGCTGACTGGTTGATTGGTTGACTGGTTGACAGGCTGCACAGAAGCAAACAATTGCGAACATTGCATAATGACTCGTAAATGCTTTTGAAAGGGAAATCGAATCAAGCAGCGCTTGCACCTAAGGGAAAATGTATCAATTCGATAATTTCACCCAAACTTCCTAACTCACATTCAACTATGATCTCTATTTTCTTTCTGTGTGGGAAATGGCACTATATTCTATGGTGGCAACACAATTTGGCCGGCAATTCAGCAGCGCGTGCTGCTCTTTTGTATACAAAACAAAGGGTTTGCGGCTTTTACAATACAGATATTGGCGACAAGGTCAAGAGTCGAGCGAGGGCGTCAACAATCGACTCCAATTAGTTGGCCATTTGCGGCGGTTAGAGCCCGAAATTTCTGCCTAGCCGCCTGCAATTTTCCAGTTATTAATTTTCGGCAGTTCGAAAACAGAAATTCCGCCGGCGGGCGAGGCAAAACTTGTTAGTCGTGGCAGCTCCGCAATTGAAAGTTGTTAAGTGACTTGTTTGCTCCTTCGTTATTCACACTTTGTTAGTAATTGCAGCCTTTACCCGAAATCGCTAACCGTTCTACAACTTTTCTACCCCCAGCAAAGCCCCCACAAGTGCAGTCATACCCTGAAGTACTCCCAGTGCTCCAAGGCGAATACGAGGCAGCACAGCTCGGTCCACACCCAACAGCCGGCTGGTCCTGTGAGGGAGTTCCAGATCGACCCCTACATCATCCTCGACGACGACCTCAAGTACTTCTACGACGACGTGAGATATGTGAGTAGACAGTCCAAGGATTCCATCTAAAACACCTTTACAGCACAAGTAGTAAACAGAAACCAAGCTAAGCAAATAAATAATACTTTTATAGCTGCAGTATAGAGATCAAATTTATTACTTATCAATGTGCAGATTGATTGCTAACAAGCCTTGAAGGAATTGAACAAATCATGTCAAACCACAAATAATAATAACGTTAATGTGTTGTGAGAAATTCCGTTTAGAGTTTAGCAGGTTTTTTCCAGCTCTCCACTGGGGGACTTTTTGCCAAATATTTGCTAATTCAATCCAGATTCTAGAGTAGGCTGGGCTAATTTTTCTCCATCTTTACCATCTTCCAGCTGCTCAAGTCGGGGACTTCCCAGCCGGAACTGGACACCATCGCCAGCTACTACTTCGATGGCCAGGGAAAGGCGCTGCGACCCATGGTCACCATGCTGATGGCCAAGGCGATAAACTATCACCTGAACAACGAGTCACAGTGAGTTTTTGGGAGTACCATACCACAATATCAATATCTGTAAAGTATGCTCCTGATGGAGAAACATAATGTGTGGAAATTACAATCCAATGTTCAAATGCAAGACTGACGCCTGAAAAACTAGCAAATAAATATGTTTTTCACTGCGTACCGTAGAGTAAATGATTAGCATGGTTTTGCGAAATGCGCGCATTTCGGCCAAATTTAAACATAGACATCGTAGACCTGCACACTCGGAGGTGTAGTCGCTGCCCCTGACTCCAAGTCCTAATCATGTTTTCCATTGCCTTCGCAGCCAATTAGTACACAAACAACGACAGATCGCCCTCTTTTCGGAGATGGTGCACTCGGCCAGTCTGGTCCACGACGATGTCATCGACCAGTCGGACTTCCGGCGCGGCAAGCCCAGCGTGAACGCCCTGTGGAACCACAAGAAGGTAAGGATAGAGATCGGAGATCCGATTAGCATGATAGCCCGTGTGGCGTGGCATCATCGGTGCCAGCGATGTTTGCCAAATCCAAACAAACCAAGCCAAACACGCGCCCAGTCGCTCGGCAACCGAAACAGCAATCATTCAGCTCCCAGAGCCTGACTTTGACATCAATTTGTTGCGTATTTCGATTCGAAGTGTTTATTGACTTTGTCAACATCTATCTTGCATCACTCGAAAGGCCTCAAAATCGGACGGCGATGCTTAGTCGTTGGCTTTAATAATAGATCCCGAAATATCTCGACACTGCAGTTTCCCTTTCGACACGTCTCCAAATTGAAATGCATAAATTAATCCAATCTTCACAAGCCGCAGAAGCGGTAGTTTCTTGTCTCCGATGGCATCTTAGTCATAAGTCGGTTGAAGCTTTGTTTTTAATGCCGTCGTGCTGTCGGCTGTCGAGTGTTGCCACACATAACTGTCCTCCAGCGATTGTGTTGGCCGATCTTTGTTATGGCCGCTTGTTTCTGACCATGTCTCATCGCTTTTGCAGGTCACAATGGCTGGTGATTACATCTTATCGATTGCCTCGATTATGATAGCTCGTCTGCGCAGCGATGACGTGACGATCGTGCTGAGTCAGGTAAGAAAACTCCACAAGGATTCGACTAACAAAAGTTTCGAAAGCCCAAAATATCTTTAAGTTGTGAGGAATTAATTACGTCTCTGATTAAAGAAGCTGACAATTATTTAGTGCAGTTCATTTGGGAAATACTTTCAGCTCAAAATCAGCTATCAGCTATAGATCATCTTACGAAAATAACTTCGCTGCCCGAAACCAGTAGAACACTCTAGAGTTTTTTGCACTCACCACCGAAAACAAACAGCTCAGAACTGCCAAGTACCTCGCACATTTTATGCTGCTAGTTAATTGCCAAGGCAAACACAAATAGTGGCCGAGTATTTGAGCCGTTCATTCAGAGAAAAGGGGCTGCGACCACAAGTAAATCCCGGATTCAGAGGAAATGATCCATGCCTAAGAACCATCGGCTTAACGATTTGTATTTGTATTTGAGAAAGTACGTAATCAGAACGGGTGGCGAATTTCACACAGTTGTTGGACAAACAGAGGGGAACTTTTGTCTTACAATTGCGAAAGTTGAATCAGTCCGTTGGCAAGGAAATGACTTCCCGTTCGCAAAACCAGTTACCAATTTTAATGGGCCACAAATCAGCGGCCTGCGAACTTCCTGCGTCCCTGGAAGTTGAGTTCCCCAAGGTTTGCCCTTCGCCAGAGTTCGTGAAACTTCAGAGCGGCATTCACTTTTTATGTTTCGGCTGTTGAGTTGTGCATCCGTGTCCTTGTGGTTCCCCCAGGTGCGAAGCGACATTCCTCGGAGGCATTCATCACTCTGCCGTGCCCCACGGAGTTTCTATGAATCTCGAGTTAGTCACACCTGCCAATTTCACTTTCGGTGGCGATCGAGAGTGAAACTAGATCTGTTGCCCCGGAAAGCGAAACCAAGGTGGCGCGGAGCCTCAATCTCTCTTCAAATCCACAGCTTCTCCGCATATTTACACAATCGAGCGGCCAAGTTAATAGCCAAAGTAAACACAATAAACTTGACTACGTTTTTGGGTTACACATTCGGCGTTTTCTCAATTCGCGAAAAAGATGCGTAACACCTGAGGAGGATTGGCCTCAGCCTCAAGATGGACCCGAAGGTGCGGCCAGACACTTATCCGCCGCTATTTGTCTATTTCATTACCTCGATCTGGGCGATATCGCTCTGGAGTATCTATCGCACAACGTGCTCATTTGCATTCCAAGCATTTTGACCCCGGCCAAACGAAACTTTCTTCGCGGTTGTGAGGTCATTCGTCTTGAAACTAGTTCTAAGACCGTTTCAGCTGAACAGCTCCAACTGGTATCCACTGTTTGTTTAAATTTCTCTAGGCCATGGAAAATGTACGAAGAAGAGAGCTTGTTTTTGGTTAAACATAGTTTCCAAACAGTGAAAAGGTGTCGGAGTAATAATCTAATAATAATCTTTACAACTACAGAGTTTTAAAATCAAACTAGCAATCGTTTAGCTTATAGTTGTCACACCTTTATTGATCAATCAGAGTTATATAAGTTTTGCTGCAGTAATAAACTATTGGTTTATCCAACCAATTTGCGAAAATTTAAATAAATTCGCACAATGGAAACCATGTTCTGTTCGGCGAGGTCTTTGTATTCCTCCAACTCATGTTGCCTTTCGTTTATACCCGACTTTTGGCGTGTTTCTTTCATCTACGACTACAATCCACAATCTTCGGCATATGTTTATCAGATTTGACACATTAAATATGCTGTGCACGTGTCTGAATAAAATCAACGGCTTCTAAGACGTTGGATGGCATTAATAAAATGGGTAGAATGTCCGCCTGCCTTTCAATCAAGCGAATTTATGACTAGTTCAGAATTGAGTTTTGGGCTATTCCAGACAGCTCAGGCATTTTACGCCCTTGGAAAGGCCCAGACATTATAGCCAATTGAAGTTTGACTTCAAATCAACTTGGATATAGTAATTTCTGCCGCCGAATTCCCCCTGTCGGAAGTTTGCAATTCCGAGAGAAAATTCCCACACAAGTGGCTCACGAAGTTGATTCGAGGCTTGGCCATATTTACTTCAACAAAATGCACTCAATTCCGTGGCCTACAGCGCTTGGGCTCATTTAGCTGCTTAAAAGGCGGCATTGTGTTAATTTGTGTGGCTCAAAATGCACTTGTTGGCCAAGTTGTTAGAGCTCACGCACTTGTAGTTTGTAGTTTGGAGCTCGGCTTTTTGTCAGTGTTAATTAACATTGAAAGTCCGGCAGCAGTCAGAGGAATTTGGCTCGGCTTTTGGCCAGAAACTATTGGCCAGTTATGACCGCCTCACCTTGGGCTCCTTGGATGCCGCCATTTTTCAGCGCCCACGACTGTTTGCCAAAGATTTTGACATCTGCCCGCGAGTTTCTCGGCCGAATCAATGAAAATGCCTATTTGAAGGCGAATCGAAGGGCGTGCCGCACAATTGGTGGGCAAACAGAGGCGTCGATAGCCAAAATATTCGACTTCTCGTAGAGATCTGAATGAAACCCTATTTGCCGGATCTATTTGGCACAATGGTGTTTGCCATTTGCATTTGCGGTTCCAGCCAAGCGGAAGTTACATACACACGAGCGTATCGGCGTGTTTAGGCCCAAAAAACATAAAACCGATGTTCCGTATTAAATTGAGAAGATTTGCAAGCCCGAGGGGACGTTGCGAATCGCGTAATTACCCATTCATCTTCGAGTGGGAAGCCCGGTGCGAGAACAATCGAAGCCATAACCGTTTAGGATGGCATATTTATCACCCATTGTCCGTAATCTCTTGCAGATCTTGACCGATTTGGTCCAAGGCGAGTTCATGCAGCTCGGCTCAAGGGAAACGGAGAACGAGCGCTTCGCCCACTATCTGACCAAGACATACAGGAAGACCGCATCGCTGATCGCCAACGCACTGAAGGCGGTGAGTACTACCATCATTACCATCATGCGATCCCCTGCAGTCGCCACTGGCCACTCGCCACTTGGACCGCCTAATCCGGCCATTAGTGTGCACGCAGTCTCGCGGCATTGTTCCCAATCCCCCACTGACTTTGACCTGACTTTGCTCTCCTGCTCTCTGGTTCCTCTACAGACCGCCGTAATCGCCCAGGCCGACGACAACGTGGCCGAGGTGGCCTTCCAGTACGGACGCAACATCGGCTTGGCCTTTCAGCTGGTCGACGACATGCTGGACTTTGTCTCCTCCACCGAGCAGATGGGCAAGCCGACGGCGGCGGATCTGAAGCTCGGACTGGCCACTGCCCCCGTCCTCTTTGCATGCGAAAAGGTGAGTGTGTGATCATCGGGGTGCCCTGTTCCTTGTTGGCCTGCCAACTAGATAACCAAATTGATTCCTCAACGAATGCGAATGTAAGTATTCAGGAAGCAATCAATCTGGGGACTTGCCCAAGTGCATAAAGATGCTAGATTGAGCTGTCTTTTGTGGCGGCGATGAGTGTTATGCGATGATGTCATGTTGGTGGGTGGTGGCTGGCTGGACCCGCAACTTGTAAGTCGGCTGCCAGCGATTACCAATGCCCATTTGCTATGCATTCCGCGAGCTGCGCACGCGTGCAGTGTGCTTAACTTGGCTGCAAACTTGCATAATGAAAACGCTTCTCCACTCTTGCAGTACCCCGAGCTGAACCCCATGGTGATGCGGCGCTTCAGCGAGCCCGGCGACGTGGAGCGGGCCTTCGAGCTGGTGCACAAGTCGCACGGACTGGAGCAGACCCGCTTCCTGGCCAAGAAGCACTGCAACGAGGCGATACGACTGGCCCAGGAGCTCACGGAGTCGCCCTACCAGAAGGGCCTCCAGGTGGTCGCCGACTTAGTCATCAACCGCATGAAGTAGACAGGCAGCATGCAGCATGCACCCTATTATAAACCATAAAGAATAAACCATACACGTAATGCAATAATAGTAGAGTTATCTAGGCCACACTCGATGTTTCGGTTAAGTTATATTCAGCCAGCGGGCTGCTTTGTAAACAAGATTTATTATTTAGTTTTAAGCCATTTGTTGTTGACACTGTAAATAATTGCATAAACAAACCCAATCAACACACACTAAGCGGCCGCGTTCGCTGTACATATTTACGAGATGTTCGATGAATTTTTATCAAATTTTATATGCAGTGTTTTTCGAAAAATTTATTTATGTATAGAGAGCGAAATATTTGCGGAAAGCCAACAATGAGTAAACGAGAAAATTGTACAAATATTTCTTCAAAATAAAAGAAAGTAAAAACTCGGAGATAAGCATAAAATACACAACACTGTAAAAGAGAAATGTTTAATAGTCAATGCAACAAAGAGAAGAGGTGTGTAAAATGATAATTATAATACGGAGCATAAAGAACATGAAAGGATTAATTTACATTAACTATGTACATGATAGGGCATTTCATGCCTAAATGGTTCAATGGTCTTGGTCTGCACTTTTTCAAAACCCTCCCGACAGCACAAATATGTAATTTAAAATGGGAAGCCTGTAGTTTAGCCTGATAAATAAAATGTTTTGAACCATTCGCGCATGAAATGCATATACATTATGTTTTATTAGAAATTTATCGAGGATTGTACGTGGAACAGTGCTGCCCAGTCTTAATTTTAAAGGTTTCTTTTTCGCCCCTAATGCAATAGTAATTTATAAGTCATATAAAACAAAATCGAACCGCAAAACCCCATTTCGGAACGCCCTAGTTTAAATTCTTATTTTAATTTATAAGCGAAACCCACTTATAAGTCAGTCAGTTCAACTTTTTTGTGACTTTTGTTTTGACGAGAACCCATTGGGCTCCTTTACAGCCTGCTCAAAACTCAAAAAGAGATCGAACTAAAACCAAAACACAGATCATATGTTAACCTGGCCAGTTCATCAGTTTAAACGGGTGCTGAGGATGATTTACCCACAGATTATAAAAAGCGAACGACAAAATATTGATGAAGACGTTGATATTGATACTTGTAACTACGATATTTGTATACTTAAAGAGATGAATAAAAATTCGATTTTGTAAAACAAATTACCTGCCGTTGTCTATTTATTATGTAAGGGCAAAAATACAGATAATTTTGAGTTCTAAATTCAGGATATTGAATTGCCTTTTTTGCTGTAACTTGCCTAAAAGGGCACTGAGCACAATCCACACATGCTTGAAAACGAGTATTGCCAGTAACTATGCAACACGTTAACCAACAACGAGGACAACAACGGCCATGACGACCCAGTGAAATAGTTTTGGACATGGCCAAAGTGCTTTTTGTTGCGACGGGCATGGCTGATATTAAAATTGGGGCAAGCAAACGATTCCGCTGCAAGTAGCTTGAAACGGCAGCTGGCTCACGGGGCGTATGAGCAATGCCACCTGCTTACGCCTTGAGGAGATTTTTAATTTGAGACATCAACAAGTCTCGGATTAAATTGCACGCAATGCTGCGGCAGACTGAACTTTCCGTTTTATTAAAACAAAGCATCACGAATCGGGTTAAGTAAAGGCAGCCGTGGCACAGTTTTCTCGGCAATATAAAGCAAGTATGTTTTATGTCCGGGCAGACCAGCAAAGTGGAGCAAGCAAGCAGCGAGTCTAACTGGCAAAATATTTAAATAGCCAAACCAAATTAGCTGAGCTTCCGATATCCTTCGACTCGCCTTCAAGGACAGACGGTCGCCCGAGTGCGCCTTAACCTAGGCTATAAATAGTCGGGCGTGCTGCCTAGACAACCGACCCATCATCCGTGGCCCCTTAGTGCCTGGCACGGATCCTGGCAGCCAATTCGGCGGTTAAACGGTTTGGCCAGGACACGAGACCAATTCAGTAACGCGGCGCTTGCCGAACGCAGCGCTACTTCCGTTTCCCAGCTCCCAGGATCTCCAGTGTTCCGGAAGAGGTATTCGAGATACAGCCATGACCACCAGCGATGAGATGGGCATGGGTGGCACCTTCTGCCACGACCACATCCAGCACCCCCTGATGTGGTGCGACGAGAAGAAGCGTCTTGTGGAACGCAAGAACGCGGAGGAGAGTCTGCGGATGTGGCGGCGCAGGAAGGCGGAGGAGTGTGCGCGCAAAGAGAAGGACAAGCAGGAGGTGGGTAACAGTGCGTATGCGTGATTTTAACTGGAGAGATTAGCTTGATAGGTTGAAAACGTTTGATTGTAGGTGCTATATTTATTTATTTCCGCTTCCTACGTGATTCAAAGATGGTGTTTCTTTTTGGAAAAGTTTTATATAATATAAACAGTTAGTCTTCACAAATAATTCGCTTACTTCTCTCCACCTTAAATAACTTACATATATTGAAAACAACAGCTCTAAAATCAATTCCCTAGGCGCTAGTACTTTTCACAAGTCAAGAGTGTAAAACTTTCCAGGAAAGAACCTATGACAATCAAAAAACATCTCGAACCTTCACCCACGCCACATCAGAAACTTCTGCTAAGTTCAAAGACCTTTCCCAAGCAACATGTAACACATCCGTTTGGTTTTCATGGATTTAGTTCAACAAACCCTTTGACAATTTCGACTCGGTAATCAAATCACCTCTGTCGGCCAAAAGCCTAGCTACTGCTATAGGCAAGTCCTTGCGTGACTGGAATCCTGGCTGACTATTTGGCTACCTATCACAGTCTGCAGCTGTGTGAAAGCGCCAACCGAAATGTGGGTGAAAAAAATCAGTGAAATGCAAATCGCTGCGCGCTGCAACTATAACAACAACCTACAAACAACATTCGAGGGCCAGAAGGGGCGTTCAAGGGGCTTGCCAATTTCCGTAAACAAAGAACTCCACACTTCGCGGAGAGTGGCACGACGAGGTGGGTTGAGGCAGTCTGGGACCTTAAATAGGCTGCCACCGAATCGATAAGACATAACTCCATGTTGTAATCACCCTGCGGCAGTCTCTGTCTAGTCGAGCAGGGATTGAATACCGATATTCCTTGGTGCAAAGGTTTTATGGAAGAAGTTCTGAATAATAAATAGTATAAAGATAGTTTTCAGTGGCTCAACATCTCCTCAAGATACTAGATGCTTGATTAGCTGTAATTATATGTATTTCTGATCCAGTACTACGATCTGTTCCACCAACACTGTCCTTGGGGAAGACCCGGTGGTGGAGCTCCCAACGTGGAGGTGCGTCGCAAGGACATCACAGCCGTCGGGCTCCACTCCACGCCCACTGTGGTAAGAACTCGCTCCCCAGCTAAATCAGGATGCACCAAAACCCCTCGTAATCCACAGACCACCGCCCACCGGATGAATCTCCTGCAGCCGTGCCGCTACAACGACTTCTTCTCGATGCAGAAGAAGTGCCACAACAACCCGCTGGCCGCCTACCACCACCACCACCACCACGCGCCGCCCGCCCCGCCCCCGGGTGGGCGGCTGGGTCACGCCCACTCCATCCACCACCTGCAGGAGAGCGGCCCCAGGAGCAGCACGGTGACCATCTGCGAGCGGGAGATCCCCAGCAAGCCCGGGGCGGGCGTGGGCGTGAACGTGGCCAAGAACGCCAACGGTGAGAGTCTGCACATCCAGCTAAAAGAGCACCCCTCAATGTCGTTTCGCAATAAAGGCCACGTGGACATTGAGCTGCGGTACAAGCCCTCGCCGCCCTGCAAGGGCAAGCCGCTCCTCGACAAGATCGTGGTCAGCGAGAGCGAGCAGCGGTGTCCGCTGCAGGAGAAGCTCGCCACGCAGAAGAAGCGCCTGCAGGCCAAGCTGGAAAAGCCGGTGAGCGGCACTTATTGCGCTGCCCCGAGCACATTTCAACTAATCCCGATCATTTGTGCTTCTTTTAGCCCTGCAAGGAGCCGTGGGGCAAGGCGGGTCCGGGCGGAAAGCCCTGGCGGAGTCCCAAGGAAGTGGGCAACACCTTCATGAAGTCACTGGTGGGTTATCCATGTATTCTAAAATATCAAAGATTTCCTTTGAATTCTCGTTCCTGATATCAAATTTTAGATGCATATTTTTCTTTACTTAAACTTAAACTGAAATACCCTTTCAGGGCTGGACCAACAAGGAGATGCTGAAGGAGTTGGACCAGGACAACCCGGTGACTCCGGCGGAGAAGAACACCTTCCGCAAGTCGCGGCCAGGAAAGAACCCGAAGCCGCAGCGCTGCTGCGAGATGTGCACCTGCAACTGTCCCGCCATGAACAACAGTCCGCCGAAGCCGTCGCCGCTGTCGCAGCCCATTCCGCCCGGGAAGAAGTGTCCAGGTCCTGCTCCGCCGGGACCGCCGCCCGGGAAGATCCTGCACCAGCTGAGGCCGCAGGACTGCGGGGGGAAGCCCGTGAAGCTCTGCCCCCGGATGGCCGCGAGGGGTCCGTGTCCCGGGAGCACCAGCACCGCCACCCCGGAGGCCAGCACCACCGGGGGGAACGGGGCCGGCTACGGCGAGGGCGGCGGGGTGGAGCTGGTGCCGCTGCTGGCCAGGAGGCGCGGCATGCACCGACCCATCAGCCTGTCCAGCACGGACGTGACCAAGAGGACGCCGTCGCACGATAGGTACGCATCCAAGCACAAGCATCCACCAAAGAACTGTCTGCAGACCTCCACCAAGATCAAGTGCATCAACAGCATCATCAAGAACATCAGCCACATGAAGCGGCTGCCCAAGAATCTGAGCTGCAAGCTGCAGTGCTGCAGCTGCGATTGCCCCACGGCCTTGGCCACGGGCTGCTGCCTCAAGCGGCTCACCCTGCACATTCGCCAGGCCTGAAGGCCGTGTCCCCCAGTCCCCCAGTCCCTCGATCCCAAGTCCCTTCCAGCATTCAGCATTCAGCATTCATAGTCATTGCCCCCTCCCCGTTTCTCATTTGCTTGCTCTGCGCTAGATATCGAAATCGAAAATCCGCTTGCCCCTCTCGCTTCTTATTCCCAATAATCTTGCCTTTTTAATGGTTTCTCTATACCCCACTTCATCCAGCAAGAAAATATCCATTGTAATACAAGTGAAAGTATAGCAACCAAAAGAGCAAACCAAAACCAAATACCAATCTCACCAAACCAAAACCAAAAACAATATCAAAAACAAACTGCAACAGCAAAACCAAAATCATAATACCAATCTTCTATGTATCCCCGTGCAAAATCGAACTGAAAATCGCTCTGAAAAACCAAAATGAATGAATGATGATAAAATTGAATCAAAATATAAACAACATGTTGCCCACCAACCGACCAACCGTGGAATCGACCACCAGGATTCAAACGGCCGCCGACATGCGCTACCTGCACGACTTGAACGTCCAAATATCCCAGAATCGCCGATCCGTCTCCGTTTCCAAGCAGTTGGACCGGGATCTGTGCAACCAGCACTTCGACACCTTCGAGACGTTCTGGGGACGACCAGGACACGGAGCCCGAGGCGACAAGATCAACAAGTTGAAGTTGGACAATCTGCTGTACGGGGCCAGCGAGTCGGCCTAAAGCCAGATGTCCGATGTCTGATATCTGGATTGTTAAGGATTTATTAGGGATATATCCTCATCGGATCACCGCTTCTTCCGGCACAGGCTCGTAGTTTGTGTGCTCCCAGCCATCTGCTCAGAAATTAATCGATGCCAAGGCCCCGCAGAGTGAATTAAACAGTTCAAATGATCCAAAACAGACTTGGGAAAGCTCTCGGCAGGTTGCTATTGGAGTTTCTTCCCAGAGATACTAAACTTAGTAATAGTTTAAATTCCACATTTACAGAAATGTACACTGCAACCCGAGTCCCGCTCTCTTGCTCAATTTAAACTTTGCCAACTTGCTGCGTCTGGTAAGATGACCAAAGTTTTGATTAGATCAGATGGAATAGTAAAAAAACAAGTAAGACTCAAAGGGCGAGATTATCTGAAAACCAGCTAAGCAGATTTAGTTAGTTTTAAAAATAACTTATAAGTAATAAATTGGATCTGTTTACTCTTGAATCTTTCGTATAAGTTCAATTTTATATACGACTTTGAGTACTCTGTCGAAAAATGGAAACAGAGATACAAGATTTCGATTTGATTTTTGAATATGTGTAGCATATAAATACCATGTAAATACAAACCAATCAATTGAGCAATAAATATACGTACTAAACAATACATATCAATAGTTATGATATTTACCTGTATTTTCTTTACCAATACCAATTATTGGAAGAAGGTAGGTAATACTTTTAACCTAAGTACAACCCCCACCCCAAATACATCACGATAAAAAGTCGGTTGTTTTACTTGAGCTTTTTTTGAAGGACATTTTTATTATACATATGTATATGTAGTATTTAATAGATCACATAAAGCAAAAAGAGAATATTTTACTACATTTTTTTGTCGTGGATGATAATGTTTCCCTATCGAGTTCTCTGCTCGAAATTTGATTGGGACTTTTTGGGGTCGTGTGGATGTGAATGTCGATGGTTTATGTTAAGATTTCAGTTAATTCTCTACGTATTATTACGATATTAGTAAATTACAGTTACAATACATTATATAGTACATAGTATGTAGGTAGAGTACGAATACGTTAACTATTCATTAAGATGTTTATTTATTTTCTGGATTTTGTGATTTTTATTTTAAAGTTATTTCCGTTTTATTAGTTTTTTTTGTGTGTGGTTTTGTTTTACGTTAATTTTACATACATATATTAAATATATTTACGAACATAACAGCAGTCTTATATAAGATGACATACTCAATTTATTGTTTTCATTAGAGGGTTTTGAGTTCATTATCCGTTTGAAAGTTTGAATGCGAGTATCGGGCGGCGTTGACATTGTTTATAGTATATCTACCGAAAATGTCCTGCCTGAAGACTCGATGTGGCTTCGATGGACCGAAGACTATTTTCCTTCCGTCTATATAAAAGTTGTTTGGCTAAACTAGGGCGATCCGTTGGTAGTCGCTTAAGCGTGAGGTCTTAAAGATATTGTTATTAGATGTAAGTATGCATCGATAGCTAGGTGTTATATCTATTAGGGACGCTGAACTATTTAGTTAAGTTGTGATTAATTTTTAAGACGCTGGGCGTCTGCGAAATGCGATCTGAAAAAGTTCTCTTTGCTTTGTTTTGGCGGCTGACTTAATTGATGTAGGTATACTTGATGTAAATAGCGTATGTTAAAAATTTCATTTGTTTTTGTTCTGTTTGAATGCTTAAGGAACCCGATTCTGCTAGGATAGGAAGTTCGATCGAATTTAGATGCATGCAATGAAATACAATCGTCGAGAGTATGCACAAATATATTTTCGTATTCATATCGTATATTTTGTATTTGTTTTAGGGGACTTTACACTTAGGGACGTTCGAACACTATAAATAAACAATTACAATACATGCACGGACACACACTCACACAGCTACAGATGTAGGCTCTGTTGTATAAATAATAGCGTAATTTATAATTATAATACTATAACTACTGTAGAGTTATTGTGGCTTCTAAGAGGAATCGCCTCCTGGCTTCCGCTAAATTTGTAGCTAACTAGTTTATGTTTGAAATATTCGACATTTATCAATTTCTGCTTCTCCAGTTTTTCAATCGGCTCGCTCCAAGTTGCGTTGGCAAGTTCGCGACCCTAAATTTTCCTAATTCAAAATGTTTGCACGAAAACGTTTTTAAATGTTCTGTGCTATTTCTATCTTTTTTTCCTCTTTTAGAAAATGTTTGTTTTTTGAATTAAAAATGATTTATTCGACTGCCTAGGAGAACCCCCCAGAATAAAATTTCATTGAAATTGTACAGGGGAAGTTTCTTAAATTATAAATAGAGGGCTCGGGAGTTCCCCCAACAAGTCGATTTGAAAGTTCTGGTTTGTATGCGTGTAAAATCAAAAATTTAATTTAACTACAATAATGACTAGTTGAAGAATGATCTTCAAGGTATTTACTAAAATTTTGTGGTGTGTGTTAATAATTCTTTTTTTCGAATTTTTGTTTTGTTTCCTTTTCTTTTTAATTTTAGAATTATCTAAAGCTGTTTCAGAGAAGATTTTCTAAGCAGGCCAAATATGTGTACATTTTTGTACGTATAAGAATTTCCTGCTAAGAGGGTTGAGATTAGTTTAAATTATTTTTTTTTGTTTTTTTGTTTTGTGGGTGATTTTTCATTATTGCGAAATGCATGGAATTCGTTTGTTTTTTTTTTTTGCATTTTGTAGTACGTTTGGAAGCCAATGGAAATTCTTTATTCTTGTTGCCTTGTCTTGGAAAACTTCTCTACGGATTTTAGGGCGACGCCCAGCTCCTCCTCCTCCTCAATCCCTGCTCCTCTTATTGGTGCATCCTTTTCTCATCTCTGCCTTATTGACGAATCCTCTTGCTCCGCCTCTCGTCCGGTTTTGTTAGTCAGTTAGTTACTACTTCATCACAGCCAACTCTCTTGATTTCAGCGGCGCCCAGCGTTTCCGCAACTCTGGATCCTCTAATCCGATCTGATCTGACCAGGTCAGTTGATCGTTTTCTTGTACAGATTTTGGTGTATGTGCTCGTTTTGGAGCGCGCACATTTGGCCCACAGCAACCGCTCGCAGGCCCCCGCCTCCTCCTGATCCGGAAATAGCCACTTCCGATTGGTGTCCCAGGGTCGAAGTCACTCCGTCGCCTCCCGAGGAGCTGGACACGGCTTTGCCCGCCCTCAGATTCAGGAAGAACTTCTCATTCATGGCGAGCCCCGAGTACTTGTGCTCGATGAAGTTGGGCGAGATGTGCATGGGCAGGGAGTTTCCGGTGATCGTGCTTTTGGCCGGAGCGATTGCTGTGGACCTCTTGCTTACGGCGGGTTGCACCGTCGTCTGCGGCTTGCTGGAATCGCCGATGCTGTGGTTGCTGTTCGGATTGCTGAGGTTGCTGTTGTTTGAGCAGGAGTAAGAGGTTTCTGCAATAAGTAGAGAGAAAAGGAAAAGAAGTAACGAAAAACATAAAATAAAATCAAAACAAAAAACGAAAAACGAAACTAAGTAAGCCAAATTTGACAGAGAGTTTAAAATAGTTCGAACTTAGGCATAAATGAAAAGTATTGCACATTTTGGAGGTCGCCTTAATCTAATGAGCAGACTTTAAATTATCCGAGTAGATGTGTGGGTGCTGTTTTGTGTGTATATATCGTATAATAAAATTCAATTTGCTAGAGCTTAACACATAAATAATACTTGGTTTTAGTCGAATACGTGTAGTCACTAAAGCTAAGTCCGAGATTAAATAAGTTTTAGGTGGTAGTGCTAACAATAATTAAAGTGAATTTGGAAATGAATTTGAAATTTGCTTTTTGCTGCGTGTTTATTACAGTTGTTGCTCGCGCATCGTCTGTGTGGAGGTGGTTTTTATAGCCTAATTAAATTAAGAGGAGATCAGCAGTCGTAAATAGTTTAATACAAGCACGATAATCATACATACAAATAAAGATTTTTAAAATACTCTCTTCAGATCATAAAAAAATTAAATATTGCACAAACAATGCGATTTGTGGGTTGTTTTCGGTTGTTATATGATACAAACGGAGGCTAAACTAAAACACAACTTAAGTTGCTGGTCTCTAACCTAAAAGCAGTCTACAAAATTATTCCAAATGGTTGTTTTGGTGAGTGAGTGGGTCTGCCCCCCAAGATTGGCATTCTGCAGGTCAAGAATGTCTTTCGTATACGGAGGAGCTGGTCAATTCGGTGCCTTGGGTGTTTCCAGCGTCAGTTTTCGGTGCATCAACAGCTGCTTGAGTATAGGCTACGTCTCTTCGTTGACGGCGCCAGCGCCTACAACTTCAATGCCTGCCACGGTGGCTCCTCCCATGTCCTCCTTGCAGTCCGTGATGCTGGCGATTGCCGCAGCCACGCTCTCGGAAATGGCATCGCTCTGGCCCTCGTCCGTGTCCATGGCTTCCAGCAGCTCCAACTTGCCCTTCTTCACCAGCTGTTGCTGCTGTTGTTGTGGCGTGGGAGAGCTGCTCTTGCTGCTGTTTCCGCTGATGCTGCTTGTTGGACTGATGGGCAACACATGACACTGCTGCTGCTGTTGCACCTGCTGCTGCTGCTGCTGGTGCTGCTGCTGTTGCTGCTGCTGCTGTTGCACCTGCTGCAACAACTGACTCGGCTCCTGCAGCAACAGTATGTTGGTCTTCTTGGCCAACGAGGCCACCAGCGCCTGCTGCTGCTGAGTGCTTCCGTTTGTGGTGGTGAAGGTCAGCGTCTGTGTGTTCTTGGTGGGTGAAGTGGCCGGCGTGAGAATGCCCAGGTTGACCAAGTTGGGCAGTGGTTTGCTGCCATTAAGCACGGTCTGGCCACTGGCTGCAGTCTTGTTGTGCTGCTGCTGTTGCTGCTGCACAATGTCCATGGTGGAGCCACCATTGGCCACATTGGTGGCCAGCTTAAGTATCTTGCTGGCTGTGGCATTGGCAGCCATTAGATTGCTAACCGACTTGGCTGTCGGCGTGTTGTTGGCTTTAATGGATACTAAACCGAGTGTGCTGCGCATTAAATTGTTGTTGCTGTTACCTGTTGCAGTGCTCTGGTGGAGTGGCTGCTGCTGCGGCTGCTGCTGTTGTTGCTGCTGCGTGGGGAGGTTGGTCAGGGTGACCACGTTCCCGGCGCTCAGCTGCTGCAGGACGTTCCCGTTGCCAGTGAGAATGGCAGTGCTGCCGGTGGCGCTGCCACTGTTGCCGTTGTTGTTCCCGTTGGACAGACTGCTGCTGCCTCCGTGGCAACTGCTGGCGCTGCTCGACATGTTGCTGATGCTCGACGGACTCAGGGAGCCCAGCGACTGCGAGGGCGAGTTGCTGCGCTGAATGATGGGCGGCGGGTTCGGGTTGGAGGGGTGTTGCTGCTGCCCACCGGAGCGGCAGTCGCTGTGACGCCGTCGCCTATGGCCAGCTGGGCATTGAGCACGCTATCCGGCTGCGAGTTGTGGGTGTGCAGAGCGTGGTTTTTCAGGCCCTGGGCCGTCTTGTAGCTCTTGCCGCAGTGGCACTTGTAGCCCTTGCGAACCCTGTGGAACAGGAACATAGAACATAGATCAGCCCCCTGATACCAAGCTCAGATGAGGGGTTGGTGTTTACCTTCCGTCCTTCTTGTGGCCATTCTTTGAATGGTACTTGATGCCGTTGACGTTTTTGTAGCGCTTTTTGCAACCCGGAACAGGACAGGCGAAGGGTTTTTCATTGCCGGGCGTACCGTTGTTTCCGCCGCCGGAGTGCCTATTTAAATAAATCAGGGGTAAATTAATGGAAAGCAATGCAGCAATTTAACTATTTCCCTTGGTCACATAGTCACATAGATTTTTAATGACCCATTTTGCCTTAAAAACCATACAGAAAACTATACGTTTCGTCTACTTTTTGTACAGCGTCTCTCAAGTAAACTATTCACTATAGCCGTCAACTACGTCGTAATATAAGTTCAATGTCATCAAATTATAATTACATTTTGCAGTAACTACATGTTTATTTATGAGCAGAGTAGAGAAATACAAACGTACCTGCTGCCGTAGCGCATTATGAACTCGGAACTGAACTCCTCGGTGGTCCAGGAGTCGTTGCTATCCTCCGACTCCGTTACCACCATTTCGTCCTCGTCCATTTCGCTGCCTGAAAGGTTGCAGAATCGGAAGTTAGCTTTGCTTCAATAGCTGGGTGCCAATATTACTTACCTGTGGGCGTCGTGCTGCGGTTGGACGAGGACATACTGTAGCTGTGGTGCTTAATGGCCAGCTTCCGCTTGAGCTCCACATTGCCGTTGCCATGGCCAGCGGAATTGGATCCGCTGTTGGTCGTCGGTGGGGCGGTGGTGTTGCTGGCGAGGTACGAGCCCGCCTCCTTGCGGTTCTCCTCGGTGATGAAGCGCAGGACGTAGCTCAGGGGCAGGCAGGCAGGCTGGGCCTGCTCCTTCTGTTCCACCACCTTGGGGTCATAGTCTGGAATTCGGGATTTGCGACTTGTTAATTTACGAGTATGACATTTAACCATTATAACAAGAGTATAATAATATTCTGAAGAAAGCTGGAAACAAGTACGGACCCTGCTAGAGACTTACCAGAACGGGATAAGCTAATTAAAATTCCCTTTCGAGACGGGATCTGAATCCCAACCGGAATGCGGGCACCCAAAACAGAAACCTGCATCCGAAATTCGTCGACAACCGCTGTGTTTGCTCTGGAACAAGTTCACAGACATTCAGAAGACCCACAGCCCGGGCAATTTATTATTAAATGTCGAAATAAGTAAATAGCGAGAGTGCACGTACGGGGTGGCATGGCGACGAATTTAGTGCGCCTGCTGACGCATTTTCGAGGGAGGTAATATAGGGGGCTTCGAAGGGGACTACGCAGTACCAGGAGGAGCACATGGCTTCGGCTACCCAGCGTGGGGACATTATCTTATCGCCAGAACAAGCATAAGCCCAAAGCTTGCTTAATCAGCGAGTGCATAATAACAGGTGCCCGCCTCCCGTTCGCTCCCCTTTTGCGTCTTTATTTACTTTTCGAGGCATGTGTGCGAGCGACCTAACCTCCACAAGCACTTGCTTTATTTCCCAATTAAATCACTTTGGTGCGTAACTGTGTCAGCCACGCCATTCATCATCTGTGATACTGGGTACTGGGTGCTGGGCACCCTGTGCGTTTGTCACACGATTGCAGCAGCAGTTAACAAGCAGCTGCTAAGCCATTAAATAACATCCATCGATCAGTTGTGGATCTTACAAGCGTATTACGTAGCACGAGAAAAAATGATCATGCAATAGTATTAACATTGCAACTCTCCTATTCATGAGATACAAATATCTGGGGGTGAATCCGAAGAAGGGGAATCCCAAGAAACAATTTGCTATTAACTTAAGATCTGTTAGAAAGCGGTAGGCATTGCATTTACCCCCACAACCACCCACGCGACACCAGATTGATAAGGCTGCACTTTAGTTGCCAAGGCTGAAATCGGAAAACATATGCCGCAAATTGGCTATTATGCGAAACATATGCTTTCACCCATCGCGCTTTTAGCCGCTTATCAGGACGAAATACGATTAAAAACATTCGCGGCAACGATTGCGGTGATGTCTACGTGCCGGCAATCGATCGATGATGACACATACGGACACACCACACATATGTGCGTAATAATTCCACGTACTTTGGGTAACATTTCAATTACTTATTTGCCTTGAGCAAAGCAATCGCAACCTAAAACTGCAACCATAGTTTTTAGCTGACGAAATCGACGGGGCCACGCCCCCTCATCCTCTTGAGAACACACCGTCATTTGTCAACGGTCAAATCAGTTCACCCAGTTCGGGTTTTTTTACTTATTATTGTTTTGTTGTTGATAACCCCAGACATTCACGAGTTCTCTGTAGGTGACACTTTGTGTGTTGGTGTGTTTATCAAATCGGGTATTTTACAAACAACTTTTGAACGAATACCAGCTAGCTCTATATACAGACAGAGCCCCATCTGTATACGCGTCGCATATCATACGTTTTTCGTATTTCAGAAACAAAATAACGCAGATCCCTCTCTCTTTTGCACTTGGCGGTGACTCATGCACTTGTTGCAGAATTTTTAAAAAGATAACAAATGTTTTTCGCTTGAACATGTGGTTTTGGGTTGTTTTTATTTCGGCAGCTGTCTCGAAAACTTTCCAATAGCATTCGTTTGAAATTTGATAAACGTAGTCATCGACCGTCGCGAAATTTTGTTGGCATTGCAAGTGCAGCAGGGGTCGTTGTCTCAACCCTCTGCCCATTGAATAACCTTCAAAAGACACTGAAATTAAAAATGTAAATAACTAGCTAATAGCGTCCGAAGCAATCTGGTTAATCCCCTCTGAACTATAGCTCAAGTATAAACTGCATAGTAAACCATGTGATTAAAAAAAAAAAAAACTCTCTAAGTAAGGCTGACTGCCAGGTTTTATAAACTAGAACAGGGATATAACTAGTCAAGAAAGGTATTGCCCAAAAAATGGCGAAATACAGAGCCCTTATTTGTACCTTTCATTGTCATCAATCTTTATCTGCGGCAGGTGCACACCAATTTACTCAGTGGGTTGACTGCGGGATATCGCGTTTCGCAGATGTTATCGAAGCCCGGGTGCAGTGGAGACAAGCGTGCCGCAAACACACACATAAATAATCCCGGGCATTTTTTTCGGGACACAACAGGTGCCTGGCAACTGTGAAAAGGACAAACCTGAAGGTCTCGCACGCTTTTTGCGTTGCCCTGACAACCGAAGCGAATCGAATCGAAACGAAACGGAACGACAACGCCCAGCGAGTCCTGATAACAGGCACATCCATCCAGTTATTCCATCCAGCGCCAGCCGGAGGAACCCACGCATCGAATGTCCTTCGAGATAATGAAATGATGGGCATTTATAAGCCCCAGCACAGCTCGCTCACGTAATGGATACGCAATGGAAGCGGTGGAGATGCGGGTTTTATGGGGCTTTTCGGGGGTGTTTGATATCTGGGCCTCGGCATTTTGGGGTGGCAGTTGCCAAGTGGGCGTATGCTCAAAGCCTCGGCTTTATGTAATGCCCGGGGACACCGAAAGGGGGGTGGCTAGGTGGAAAAGCCTGCCCGGGCAGCCATTTTATGCATGTAAGTGTGGCTTGTGTGTGTGTTGACCGTTATCACGCAGCACTGGCAACAACAAAACAGCTGCCGACGTAACTGTAGGCGAGTCAGCTGAGCAACCCCTCTGCTTTCTTCTTCCAACCCCTCTATTCTAACGAGTGTGTGTTGTGAGAGAAAGCCTGTACATACACTGAAATAAATTGTACGGACCTGATATCACTAAACAATACTTTGAAACCATTGTAAAGAACACTGCTAAACAAACTGGAAGTTTGAGAAGGCAGTTCTATTGGCAGTTTACCAGAAATATAATTATGTCCTGATTGCTATTTGGCAGCTAATAGAGCATCTTAAGATCCCAAATTTTTAAATCGACATTAAAGAAATTTTTACGGTGTAAGACGCAGGGCATGTTGGGAACAAACAGAGCCCCTTAACGGTTAAACCACCCCAGCCCCCTGCTCACGTAATATGGCCACACTAAGCCTAGCACTATTGATTTTCCCCCTCGAAAACCCCGCCCCTAGCAAACACTAAAATTAGAAATTGTTTATTTCAGCCTCAGCCGGTAAAAGTCCACACACCCTGGAAATGATTAATTGGAAGGTCTCAGGAGTCACGTGGACGGGAAAGTATCGATTGTGCGTGTGGGCGGAGTGGAAAGTGGGGAATACTCCTATTACCGGATACGGATACACCTGCTTTGGAAACAAATACATATACACTTGTCAGAAAACCCAAGCCAAGCCATGCGGACAGGTCAAAAAAAGGGCGCTCAACTCGCCGGTTCCACTACAAAAACAACAATAACAAGATGCTGTGCTGGCCTTCCAAACGCACACATACACGACACATACAAACAACACGGGTATTGAATGGATCACCGGCTTTTTTGCCTTTGTTTTGCTTGTATCGCTCTCTCGCTCGCACCCGCACCTTCCAGGCAAACACCGATCGCAGAATGCTGTACGCGCCTGGAAACTGGGCGTGTGTGTACCGCATACGGTGTGCAGTGCATCCGTGTGCGTGAGACAAGCACAGGTAGGCGACTTCCAACATCGATTTTGCCATTAAAAATGCAATAAACTCTAAATGCAAACTGCAATTCACGTTGTAGAAACAACATTTAAATTCACCACACACGTACGCACGCACTCACACACCTTTGCCCCGCTTTCAGTGGTTTATTTATGCCGCCGTCGGCGAGTAAATAAATAGAATAAACAAAACACACCGAGAACATCACGCGACGGTCAAATGATAGCGATATTGGCCGTTTACGACTCTAGAGATCCGAATCTCACCTATGTGGGTGTCCTCGATGTGGGAAATCAGATCGCTCAAGCTCGGAAATGTGATGCCGCAGCCATTGTACTTGCAGACGTTGATCAGGAAAACGGCCATAATATACTATATTCTCATATAAATATAAGTGTCACGGATTCCGAGGCGAGCGAATGTGGCGAGTTATGTAAAAAAAACAGCAACTAAATCGGGGCTGTTCGGTGTGGCCAGTCAGCAGTGCGCCAAAGAGGCCATCTTCCAGGGCTGCAGTTTCTGTGGTGACTTTCAGCGGTTGAGTGAAGTTGTTCTGGCGAATACTGTTTGGTTCTGCGATAGTCGGTCGCTATCGATAGTTATCAGCCGGACATGGCGACGGTTTTTGACCGAAAAATATGATTTTTCTCCTTAAATCTGTTGTACTTGGATATTCTCGTCGCCTTTCCACTCGCTTCTGCTCCGTGTGGTGTGTTTCGGTTCTCTGGCGTTTCCCCACACACACATACTCATGCGCAAGTGCTGTTATGCAATTGAGGGCTGCAACATATTGGGGGCGTAACTTGTAAACTGGGATTCAAACTAGGGCATTATTTAGTATACTCACAGCATTATGTGCTTCAATTGAGATGCCTTCGCAGTTGCGGGGAGCTAAATCATAATTTAAACCGACGTGACGTAGACACAAACACCGACGTCGAACGACGCGTTATGCTGCGTTTGTGTGGTGTGCGTGACTGTGGGGAGTTTGCTAGAATCCAGGGCTGCGGTAACAAACTAGTGGCCAATCGATATGAGCGGCAATATTTGTTTGCTCTTTATTTGCAAAAAAAACACAGCTTTTAATTTGATACTTGCAAATAGGAAATGGAAAATCGGAAATAGGTTAACATAAATTTTAAAATAAATAAATTATGAATATGTATGTCTTTTGAAAATTGGGTTCGAAATCTGAAATCTAGAAAAAATCTGGCTAGAATATGGGTAAAAAAATCAACCATCACCGAATTGAAAAACTCAACCTTAAACAGTTTCCAAAAATCATGCTTTTCTGATTAAAGACAAAAATGTTATCATTATATTTCCGTTAATTCTATATAGTTTTTTCAATCTTTCCTACAGCAGCTTTCTGATAAGTTGTCAGATTTTTATGAAGTTGTTTTTCTTGATTCAAGAGTTATTAAAAAACTCCATATTTTAAAAATCATGCTTGTGGAATTGAAAACAACAACGTTTCCATTGTTTCCATTACTTATATATGTATATAATATAGTTATCCGATTTCAATAACATTTAATTCGAAATTCGATAGTAGCTAAAAAACACCATCTGAAGAAGAAATCAAGTCGATCTGATCAAAAACAAAGGCATGATAATTTTTTTTTTCATTCTCTTGTATGGGAGCTATCCGATATGGCCGCCCGATCCGGCCCGCTCCGACTTATATACTGGGGTAAAGTTTCAGCAAGATAACTTTAAACCTGAGAGATGTATTTCGATTTAGATCGTGACGCTATCACGAATATATATATTGCAAAGTTCTGGCTGAAATTATAATATCCACTGCAAGGGTATAAATATCAATAATTACATAAGTTGAAAATCCCGCTCTATTAATTCGATTGTCCGATAAGTCTGTCGCGGTTGACAGTGGTTGGTGCCCTTGCTGCAGATGTATTTTGTCTTCGCTTGATTAAATGAAAACCCATATTGGATGGTGCATTCGCTAGGTTAGGTTTGCGCAGCTCTGGTAAACCCGATGGACTGAACCGTGGTGGACAAAAATATCGACCGGTGACACCCACCCGGGTGCTTGGAAAAACGTAGAAAAACTAGAGCTGTAAAAATATCGATCAAAATATCGATGTATCGATTTCAAACATCGACACGTTTAAGAGACTTTTCTGCACGAATTTGTCAAATTCGTTTTACTGTTGTGAAGGGTTTGTTCGAAGTGAGTTGCTATCTCCGGGTCTGTTCCGCCCGGCAGCCCCCCTTCCCCCACCTGCACCCGTTGTTGGGTAACAGCCGTGAAAATCTTCAGATTGCCAGAAAACGCGAAAAACACAACTATCAGTGAAAAATCTAGTGAATTTCGCCGAATAAAATGCGAAACGTGTTTGATTATTTGTCGCCATCTTGCGGCACACTGACACACACATGTGCCTTTCAGGTTTGCCCTGGTGTGCGTGTGTCTCAAATCGTTGCGTCACTGGAAAAGTCTGAAAAAACGGAGATTCTTAAAGGAAAAGCGAATTAAATATAAAATATCAAACTTACTGAACATCGAGTTGAGAGTCATATGAAAATCTGGTGCGAAAGAAGATTTTCCGCTCGTTACGTAACTTGTCTGAGGCGGCGTGGGATACTCTTCAGTTCTTCAGCCCCAAACTAACCGACATATCCCGTCTATATCTTTTGCAGAGCCGTGCGCTAGCTTCAATTTCGTCGTAAGCCAATTAAAAAAAGGAAAATCAACCGAAAATGTTCGTGTCGACAGTCTCTCGCATTGCCCCCGTTGCCAGGAGCGCCGTAAGTAGCCCCTTCGTACTTAGGAATTGTGTGAGATAAAGTTGTAGTTCTATACATATTACATAATTTTCGGAAAAGTGCATTGATTTTCCCGATTTAACCATTTACCGCCTTGTCGTGGTGAACTTCCAATGGCCGCGGTGAGAAAACACGGACGGCACACAGTTGCATAACTTTGAGGTTATGTTTGCGCACAATGGAAGCGAATAATAAAATGCGAATAAATAAGAATAATCGGGCTATATCTGTGCATTGCAAGCTACAACTTTAGCTGATAGTTGCTAAAGCCAGTCCTCATGGAATTGTATAACACCAGGAAAGCCCTCTTAGTCCTCTTTGTTGGTTGAGGTTAGAACCGGCGAAAGCTTTCCAGTCGGGTAATGGAAGTACAGAGGGGGGTGGAGAAAGTGGCAAGAATATACATTGTTTATAATATTATATGTGATAATCCCATTTGAATATTAAGTCTTGGAGCGGACAGCCATATAAGCATCTTCTGCAGAACAACAAACGCTGCCAAAGTGTCAGTTCCTGTAAAAATTACTTAACGATTGCATAACTCTTGGCATTAGCCACTAAAGCAGAGCAATGAACTTGCGCGCTACTCGACGGTTAAGGTGTAGTGATTTTGGCCATATCTGCCTATGTATGGCATCCGTAAACATAAATTAGTTTTTTTTTTTTTTTTTAATTAACTACTTATTAATATCATAAGTGTTATTTTAAATACGACTAAATACCAGCGACAATATTTACAAAAGCCTTATCTGGAAACTGAAAACTTTATCTCGAGCAATGTACACAACGCGCCATCCTATTTCTTATATAACCAACGTCTCCTTCCTCATTCCAGTTCCTCGCCAACTCCAAGCAGTACCTGCGACCATTGAGCAGCGCCGTCATCAGCCAGAGCCAGACTTTGGCCGCTCAGAACACAACCCCCGTTGCATTGCTGCCACAGATCAGGTCATTCCAGACCTCGCCAGTCACGCGTGACATTGATTCGGCTGCCAAATTCATTGGTGCTGGTGCCGCAACAGTCGGTGTCGCTGGATCCGGTTCGTATTGGTTCCGTTGTGCCTCTCATTTCCACCTGATTCCCCTATCGGTGGCATCCCCAGAGCCTGCAACTACTTCTCCTCCAAGTCAGTTACAATCTAGCATCTGGGGCCCACACAACGAGTATCTGATTACTCCCCAGCCTGTGCCCCGGGAAGGTCTGAGAATTGGCCAAAGCCGCTGTTTGTTGCGGCTTCATTTCCCAGCAGGAAACCTGTGTGATTGCAGGGCGAAAGTACCAGAAATCCTGCTGCCAGGCGTTGCCGTTGCCTTTCGGGAGCCGCCGCCTGGTTTGCATTGAAATCTTTCGTGGCCAGCGTTTTAAGTGCGATGTGCTTGCTGCCCTCTGGGCAGAACTCAATTCAGACTAATCTGTGACTGACTACCTGGAGAGGGAGGCAAAAGGGCGAAGGGGAAGCCGCATAAAGGCTGTTTTTATGTTGAAGCCACGTTCAGCATAAGCCCAGCCAAACCTTCGGTTCTCATCGAAGATCATACCTCATACAAACCCTGGTGTGGACACTTTACTAACGCTTTGATTTTATCTATTCTATTTTCTGCTCTCCGACCCACAACAACGAACCAATACAACAGGTGCTGGTATCGGAACAGTATTCGGTTCCCTCATCATCGGCTACGCCAGGAACCCATCGCTGAAACAGCAGCTGTTCTCCTACGCCATTCTGGGCTTCGCCCTGTCCGAGGCCATGGGTCTGTTCTGTTTGATGATGGCCTTCCTGCTGCTGTTCGCCTTCTAAGCGCTCCTGCTGCACATCGATTGCTCGTCCTTGTTTCCTGCAATTGTGCGTGTGTGCGAGTCGCATGCGAACGAGAATAGCAACTAAACAACACTTCAAACAAACAACAACCAGAACAAGCAACACCTTTGTTCGTTTTCGATTATTAATGATGAAATGATTGATTGATTGATAGCAAACAAGAACATCCTGTACCACTATCTAATTATAAATACCAACAACCACATAATATATGTAATTTTGTTTTTAAAAAACATGCGAGCGAGGAGAAGACCACACCTACTTTAAGTTGAACAACCGAAATATCAGGAGGAAAAGGATTGGACAAGCCCAGACGAAAAAGTTAAAATTTAATTTTAATTGAAGCAAGCTTACGGCTCACCGAAAAACCCAACTGAATCCTCGGACCAAGCCCACTCCAGCTTGACACTCGCGAATCCTGCAAAGGACCTTCATGACCGCTGACCAAGGCTCTCTCTCTCTCCCCGAAGTTCTTGGACATCGAAACGGCAAAAATCTCCAGCGGCAGGTTGTTCGTGAAGGTCTTTCTGCAAATTACATCCTGGATTAGCGAGTGTGTGGGTGGGGCTGGACGGAGGTCCGTGGAATCGTTGGGTTCAGCAACTTTCTCGATTTTATTGTGGCGCGTACTGAAATACCCATTTGTTTTCTAGTATTTTGTATTCGAAAAATTCAGTTTCCTTAAGTAAACGCTGTTTTTGTTCATTGCCACTTAATATTTATTATATAACATGTAATAAAACTAGTTGCAAACGAATTGAGCCGAAGAGCGCTGCTGAAGTGCGAAATAAAGGAGAAATGAATGTGTAACGGAAGTAACAAGTTAGTTTTTTTTCTTGAGAGGCTTTTTGGTAAGTTCAGAAAATGATATACATATGTATTTTATGTTAGAAAGCACTTGTTTTAAATTCTAATATTTGGCGGGTAAATGCAACTCTTCTGACTAAGTAGGGTATCCACCCTGTGGCTAGCTTTTATTAACGAACGAAATTACCTTCTGTTAACACCTTGAAAAAATACAACTCTAATGTTATTCTGCTGTTTATGGTTATAGAACTGTGTTATCTAGAGGTAAATTTTGTTGGGAATTGTTGTTTTAAAATAAGTGCATATCATTGCAAGATCCGTGGAGTAAACATTTATTTTTTAAGCTGTTTTTACCGTTCAACGCACTTGTAAGCATTTACCAAATTTTATTTATAATTATATCCAGTTATGTTAAAACCAATTCCACTGTTATTTTTAAAATCGATAACTTGCATGCAGCTTCTGTCATCTCTATTGCGCCACACGTGTGTTTTTGTTTTGATTCCTTAGATTTTCTACCTTCAATGGATTTTGCTAAAAAAATATTGGGAAAATATGGCTGGAAAGAGGGTGATGGCCTGGGAAAAAATAACACTGGAATCGCAGCTCCATTGAAAGCCAGTTTAAAGTTCGACAATGCGGGACTGGGAGTGGATCGTGCCCAGGAATTCAACGATCATTGGTGGGAACGCTGTTTCAACGAGGCCGCCAGCAATGTGGACGTCCAAGTTCGGCAGGATGGACAGGTTTGCACCTCCAGAAGGAAAGGGGAGGATGCGGTGGAGATCTCCACCAGTGGGTTCTCCGCCAGAAAACTCAAAAAAGCCAAGGAGCAGCACGCCATCGACGGAAAAACAACCTACGACAATTTCTTACAAACTTCTTTGCTCACTCAAAGCGGCGGCGAGGTGGAAAATACCGAACGCATCAAGGTGGAAGACATCGAGGTCACCAAGGTGTCTGTACTCACGGACGAGGAACTTTTCAAGGCCTGCGGCGGCAGGACAGCCCACAAGGGAGCTCGTCATGGACTCAAGTTGAGCGGGAAGATCGCCAGATTGGAACAACAAGAGCGTGAAATGCTGGAAAAGCTTCAAGGGAAACTAAACACGGCTTCTGACCCTAAAAAGAAGAATAAAAGAGAGTCAGCTGAAGACTTGCCTGTGGAAGATCAGAAATGCCGAAAAGATGACAGTGTGGAGCAGCCCAAAAAGAAGAAAAAATCCAAAAAAGAAGAGCCGTTAGAGCAGGAAGCAGTTGAACAACCGGAGCAGAGCGTAAAAACCAAGAAAAAGAAGAACAAAGCGGGAAAATCTGAACAGGATGTACAAGATCAAACCCAAGAAGTTAATGATGAGGAGCCTCTTAAGATTAAGAAGAAAAAGAACAGAGCTAAAACCCATCAAGAAGTGTCAGAGGAAACCGAACAGCCAACACAGGGTGATGGGCTCGAAGAAACCCAAACTTCAAAAAAGAAACGAAAGACGAAGGATTCTACCGAGGAACCCGAAGCTCCCTCCAAAATCAAAAAAAAGAAGAAAAATATCAGGGAGGAGGAGCAATAGCCACATAGTATACGCTAGATAATGTAACATAAGTTATAAAGTATGTAGTCTGTTTTTCTAGAAGATTGTTAATTGGCAGGGAAAATAAAATAGACCCCCGGTGAAATTTTCCTTACAAAACAACTCTGTGCACATAAAATTGTATGTATTTACGGTTCTAAAAATCTATACACAACTTGGGGCAATTAAAACTAAAGTTTGGTGGCCTAATTATTAGTCGGCAATCCCTAAGGAAAGCTGTTTACTTTCTGCCCTTGGCCTTGATGCGCCTCGACTTGCCCAGCCGCTTGTTAACTGAAGCGCCCGCCTTAACGCCCCGCTGGCGACGCGAGGACTTCTCGCCATCCAATCCCGCGGAGGAGGACTTGGTGTTCCGCTTGAGGCCCTTCTTCTTGCCACCGAAGCCGAACTTCTTGTTGCGCTTCTTGCGATTCTCGGCGGACTGCTTCTGCTTGGATTCCAGGGCCTTGGCATCCTCGAGGAAGTCCAGGTTCTTCAGCTTGCCCTTTCGGAACTTCTTAAGCTTGTCGAGCATGTCCTTCTTCTCGGCCTCGCGCTGAACCTTCGTTTGCTTGGCCAGCATCTTGCCCATCTTGCGCTGTTCACGGATCTGCTTAATGCGCTCGGATTTGGCCTGTCCCTGCTGTTTGGCCATCAGATTGGCACGCACCTTTTGCATGTGCTCGTCGGACTTTGCCATTTCTGCAAAGTAATCGTCGGGGCGTCGGGTTTTGATGCCGAGCTCGTGAAGGCGGGGAATGGCCTCCAGAACGGCACTTTGCGCTTGTCGGTGGAAGAGCATCTCCCTCTTGAAATCATTTAGGACGGGATCCTCATCGGGACGAATGTAGGGGAGCTTAGCGTTTCCTTTGAAGAGATTGGCCCGCTTCTGCTCGTGCTTCTCTAGCTGGACAGCGAGTTCTGGGGCCAGAGGAGCCAAAGAGTTGATCATGTCCAGGCGCTCCAGCCATGGAAGCTGAAGTTTGATAGCCTCTGTTTTGGCCAGCAGTGCGGTCTGGTAAGGACAGATATCAGTGGGTCGAACTGGCTTGTGGGGAAAATGGTTACTTACCACATCATTCACCCTATCTCTCTGTCCATTAAACTCCACGTTAAGACCTGGTTTTAAGTCGCCTCGCTCGAAAGCCGCTTGCAGCTGCACAATGGATTGGGATTATAGACATAAACAGGTTATTCAACTCAGATTTTCCACCTACCTCCGCGTCTGAATTATCTCCCGAGTCGTAACCCGAGGCACTGTCCTCCATTTCGAAATCTGACATGCTTAAATGTTTGAAATTAATAGAGGGTAAAATAAAGAAAACAATATCAACACGTGCGGTCTGCTAGAAACTAACGTTTTGTTAGAGATGGTATGGATTATATATTTTGGTATATATCGACTCTGGTATAGTCTAGTGCAGAAAGGACACGGTCACACTGTACTGGCTTCGCTTTTTCAAATACCGCCGCTTTTTTTGTTTTGCGAACTTAAAAATGTCGGCTTCTGCGAATTTGGCGAATGTTTACGCGGAGCTGATGCGCAGATGCGGCGAGGCTTACACCATAACCTACGGAGCACCTCCCAGCTAGTTGGTCAGCACGGTGGGATCTGCGGAGGCTGGCAAAAAGATTGTGTTGGTCTTCAAGGAGGACCGCAGTTGTGCGGCCAGGATCCGGACCACGCCTACTAGAGCAGCGCCAAAAGTAGAGAGCTCTGCGAATCTGGACCTGACGGGCAGCCCCTTAAAGGACAATTGTCTGGTGGACGCGATTGGCGACCTATCCATCGGCTTGGAGCTGGAGCACACGAATCCCTGGAAACTGGAGGAGGAATACCACCGAGGGATTCCCGTAGACAAAGCGAGGGCCATTATATGCTCGGAATTCCTGCAGATGTCGGACGGCCTGGGTTCCGTCTGGTTTCTCTGCGATGGCAGCGACCCCGAACAAATCCAGTTGCTCCAGTACGAGTTCAATTCAACCCACTTCTCCAGGGGAATCCTCAGTTACCAAGGAGTTCTACCCGCCTACATGGTCACCTCGCAGTCATTGGTGCGTCAGCATGGCAAAGCTCCCGACGAGACTTTGATAAAAAACATCTACCAGGTAAATCCCCACATGAGACTGTGCTGCTCCTGGACATCCAATGCTGCCTTGCCACTGTTGGTCAACATAAACAATGGCGAGGTGTCCCTAAGTCACACCTTCCGGGTGGGGGAATGCACTCCGTTGACCCAGGACTTTATGAACCAACTGCGCATCCTGGTCTTTATACGCGAGGACATTGTCTCCTACCACAATGATGTCAAGCAGGGCGTCGTCAGGGATCCCAACTATCGCTGTGGCAGCGGCATTGACCTGGAGGAGCTGCGGGAGTCCATAAAGCAAACCGTCACGGATGTATCGGGTTTCATTGACCGCTTTAGCATAGGCAACGCTGAGTTTGACCTTGAGGATGTGGTGCAAAGGGCCAAGGGGCGCCGACTCACAGATCTCACCGACAAACTGTGGGAGCTGCTCAAGTGCTGCGACTCCTACAAGGACCTAAAGCTGGGCTTTAACATGCTCTTCCAGTGCGCCGTCCGCTGTAACATAGTTGTAAGTATCGCCAGCGCATTGCAAAGTACAACACCCTCGTAAACTTTGTCTTTTAGAACACCCCAACCAACAAAAACCGGCTGGCTAAGATTATCACCGAGCTGGCTAATCGGCGGTTGGCTATGCCCTGCCTTAGTGGCGCCGAGCCCCTGGAACTCCTGTTGGAAATAGGGCTGGAGAAACTGTACAAAGACTACGAGTTTATTTACACGGAGAGCAAGATGTGCAGCACCGGTCTGCTGAAGGGGGACTTCAGCGAAGCAGCGAGTGATGATGGCTCCCCGCCGAATCTGCCCCAGCTGCGAAAATCACTGCATAATGCGGTGAGGGGAGACCCTACGCCAGCAGCTGGAATGCGAAAGACCCTGCTGCATCACAACGGAGCAGTGAAGTCGGGAAATGCGAAATACGCAGGCGACGACGACGATTCCGGGTTCAAAAACAGCCACTTCGACGAGCACGAGAGCACGGAGCGGGTCTCCAAGTTGTTTCAAATTCACTGCACTTTGGAGCACCTTCTGATGATGCACATTCACTTGAATCTGACCAACGGTGAGTGGGAACTTAATAACTCATAATTAATAACTAATTATTCCTTCGTGCGACAGTTTACAACGATGTCTGCTCGGAGCTGTTGAAGAAGCCGCCCAAATTAGTCGAGGTCATCGATGATCAGCTAAGCGACGTAATGGATGTCCGCCTGTGTGCCGACCACGTGAGGGAACACTTGGATGGCAAGGATCCCTACTCTCGCCATATAACCATGCGTTCTAACAACAAATTTCGCGAACTGAAAACCACCTTCTATTTCAACTCGGAGAACATTTGTCCTCCTAACTTGGCTCAGTGTTTTCAATGCGATGGTGGGTCTAACTTTTCATCAAGATATTGAAAAAAACTTAATGAAGTACTTCTCTTTGCAGATAAGGAGATGGTCAAGGAGCGCACGTACCATTCATGGCTTTACCGCAAGATTCGCTCACTTAAGTGAGGCAGGCCTGTGTAGCAATATAAAATTGTCAATATATTATGTATATGTATGATTTTTAAAAAATGTTTCATATTAGCTTCAAAGTCTCTTTTAAAATGTTTTTGAATAACTATAAAACTGTTAAATTTCTTGAGGTGTTTTAACATAATATAATCCTTTAAAAAAATGCTACAATGCTGTGAACTACATCTCGTTACCCCTTTGTCCATCTCAACTTAATTGTTTGCATTGTCGTACACGCTTTTCAACGCGTTTTTACGAACCCCCAAAAAAGCCAGCAGTGCACACCGAAATCATGTTAAACGAACTCGTACAAGTTTTAAGCCAACCCAGAGGCTGTTGCCAGTTGCATTGGAAATCTTGAAAACCTGGCCGAAATCCGCTTCCGCCCTGCTCGCACTTTTATCGCCGTTTTTTGCTGGCCATATTCTAAACAAAGGCCAGAATGCAACAATGTTCGCCCATTCCGCTGGTCAAGTAATTCTGCAAATGAGGCGAGAGGAGCGTGTGCCCAATGGTGAAGAGGCGCCGTCGAGCATTCACGATATGTTACAATCCAATTAGCCGGGTGCGCCACTTTGCCAACTTGAAACTTGCCCCGTTGCCGATTGATTTGCCTTGTGTCAGACGTGCGTGAAACGCGCAGCGGTTCGGACGTGTTTTTTCCAGCCCTGCTCCCCTGAAAATCGAACGGAAATTCAAGCAAGGACTTTTAGTCGACTGTCCTGGAAAGATACCCACTTGGAGCTGAAACCAAGTTTTTCGGGGAGTTCAACAAGTGCACAGTGATAAGAGACGAACTAAATTGAATTAAGTTCGTTGGAACGTTAATTACCGCGAGTGTCTAATCCAATTAACAGCAAAATGGTGTGTATTAGCAGTGATAAGCAATCAGGAATTTAAAAAGGAACAATAAAGTGTCAAGTCTATATTCCAAAAATGGTGCTTGTCTGACGAAAAACAACGATTTTATAATTTTGTTTCCTTAAATTCTATAAAGATTTTTTGATCTTTCCTATGACAGCTATATGATATAGTTATCCGATTTTAATTAAATTTAATTCGAAATTCGATAGTAGTTAGAAAATCATCTGGAAATAATCAAGACGGTATGATCGAAAACAACGGTTTATGGGAGCCATCCGAAATGAGGGACTAGTTTGCCTAGAAACGGATAGACGGACAGGCGTAAGGACGTATTTCGATCGTGATTATCAAGAATATATATATTTTATGGGGTCTGAGGTGTCTCCTTTACTGCGTTGCAAACTTCTCTCTAAAATTATAATACCCTCTGCTCTGCAAGAGTATAAAAAGGACATTGGATAATCTGTGCGAGAAGCCTTCGAAGTGCCAAAGAAACTCTAGACGGCTGACGGACATAAGTCCTGCGAAATGGGGGTACCCCTTTGGTCTAGTCACCCCTGAACTTTTTCTCGGAAACTCTTCTAGTCAGTTAACTCTTTCCCAGGAAAACTTGGCTTAAGAAGCCATGTATTTACCAGAAAGTTTAATGTCCTGGGTTGGAGTCTGGTTAAATATGCATAATCTTTTGAAAAAAGTTTAAGGCAAGCTTTAATGGATAGTTTCAGTAAATAATTCAGACCTATGTCAGGATTTTATTTATGACTCTCGGCTTAGTTAGTTATCTTTCTTTTCTCTAGGGCCTCGAGTTTTTCTTTAAGTTTGGATATGCCTTCCTGACAATAACCCTCATGATCATGATCTGGATGTCGCTGGCCCGTGCCTCGAATTTAAATCGGGAAACGGAGGACACTTACTACCCGCCCTGCACCGAGAATGTGATGTGCACCTGCTCGAAGTCCTCCACGGTTTTGGGGATAGTGCACTGCAAGAACGTCCCATTTCCGGCACTGCCCCGCATGGTGAACCATTCGAAGGTGAGTCAATGGATAACTTAATTAATTTTTATTAAATTTGCTAGGCGAACACCTGGAGAAACCAGAGAGACTGAGTTGATAATGCTGTTCCTATGTGCAAGCTATTACCAGTTCGAATTGTTCTTTAATTAATTTATCTAGGTGTTTACTTCCCCGTTTCGTTTCTCTAAAATCAGGTTTTCATGCTGCACATGGAGAACACGGGTCTGCGCGAGATTGAACCCTACTTCCTGCAGTCGACGGGTCTGTACCGGCTGAAGGTGTCGGGCAACCACCTCACCGAGATCCCGGACGACGCCTTCACCGGGCTGGAGCGATCTCTGTGGGAGCTGATCCTGCCGCAGAACGACTTGGTGGAGATCCCGTCCAAGTCCCTGCGGCACCTGCAGAAGCTGCACCACCTGGACCTGGGCTACAACCACATAACGCACATCCAGCACGACTCGTTCCGCGGACTGGAGGACTCGCTGACGAGCCTGATCCTGCGCGAGAACTGCATCTCGCAGCTGCAGTCGCACAGCTTCTCGGGCCTGCTCAACCTGGAGACTCTCGACCTGAGCGGGAACAACCTCTTCGAGATCGACCCGAATGTGTTCGTCGACGGAATGCCGCGGCTCACTCGCCTCCTGCTCACGGACAACATTCTGTCCGAGATCCCCTACGACGCTTTGGGTCCGCTGAAGAGCCTCCGCACCCTGGACATCTCTCACAACGTGATCTGGTCGCTCAGTGGCAACGAGACCTACGAGATCAAGGCCAGCACCAAGCTGAATCTGGACAACCTGCACCTGGAGTACAACCACATCGAGGTGCTGCCTCCCAATTCATTCAAATACTTCGACACCGTGAACCGAACCTTCTTCGACGGCAACCCCATTCACACACTGAGGGTAGGTGTCCTAACCCCTATATTATAATCTATACTCGTATACATAAATTTTTTTTTTATTATTTATTTCTTTGTTTTTTAGGAAGATGCCTTTAAGCCCGCTCGGATTAGGGAGATCTACATGCGGTACTGCGGCCTGACTAACATTTCCCCTGTGGCCTTTGACAGCCTGGTGAACAGCCTTCAGATCCTGGACCTGTCTGGCAACAATCTCACCAAGCTGCATCACAAGCTCTTCAACAATTTCGATGTCTTGAGGTGAGTCGAGCACCTGCACTTCGCAGCTTTGCCCCTTTGCAGTTGCATGCGAGGGGAACTAATCGGATTGCCGGCAGCCTCTAGGGCTTCTCCGTTTCTAAGTTCGTGTGTGTGCTAAGTGGGTGACCCTATTTAAAAGAATTCGGGGGAGGGAAAAGCCGCGCAAGCAGGCAATCATGCAAACACAGACGACACTGGGGGAAAAGATTGAAAAAATTGATTGATTGGTTTTTCATTAGTGTTTCGAAATCAGTTTAACATATAAATGATTTAGGGTTTCATAAATAAAAAGTATTTTATTTGATTTCGGTTTAATTACAGGGTCATTAGCATGCGGGACAACAAGATCAAGATCCAGAAGCCGACGGAAACCTTCAACGCGGTGCACTACACACTCCTGAAACTGGACCTCAGCGGGGACCGGAATGACCCGACCAACCTGCAGACGTTGCGCAAGTAAGTGGATCCCAGTGCACCGAGAACGCATCCTTGCTCCCCACACACCCCTCACCCCAGAACCACTCTTCTATTTATTTACCAAAAGTATGACCAGAATGCGGAACATGCGCTCGCTGTCGATCTCCCGACTGGGATCCTCATCGGTGGGGCCCGAGGACTTCAAGGACTTCGGAGTGGAGCTGGAGGACCTGCAGATCACGCGGGCCAGTCTCTCCGGCATCCAATCCCATGCGTTCAAGCACGTCCGCGGTCTTAAGAGGCTGGACTTCAGCGAGAACGGAATATCGAGCATCGAGAACGATGCGTTCCACGAGGTACTTGGCATTTTCACATTTTAGGATTAAATATTAATTGCAGTTCCCTGTTATCTAGATTGGACACTCGCTGATCTCCCTGAAGATGTCCCACGGCTACTCGGGCAGTGCCCTGCCAGCCGAGCCCTTGAGGCACCTGACCTCCCTGCAGGAACTGGACTTCAGCAACAACCACATCAGCACCATGAGCGACACCAGCTTCCACTTCCTGAAGAACCTCAGGCTGCTGGAGCTCCACGACAACCGGATCGAGCAGGTCCTGAAGGGCACCTTCCAGGGCGACATCCACTCGAAGCTGGAGGAGATCTCGCTGCGCTTCAACCACCTGACCTCTATCTCGCAGCACACCTTCTTCGATCTGGAAGCCCTGCGGAAACTCCACCTGGACGACAACAAGATCGACAAGATCGAGCGAAGGGCCTTCATGAACCTGGACGAGCTGGAGTACCTGAGCCTGAGGGGCAACAAGATGAACAACCTGGCGGACGAGTCCTTCCAGAACCTGCCGAAGCTGGAGATCCTGGACATGGCCTTCAACCAGCTGCCCAACTTCAACTTCGACTACTTCGATCAGGTGGGCACGCTGTCCAATCTCAACGTGAATGTGAGCCACAACCAAATCAGGCAGCTGATGTACAACAGCTCGTGGAGTGGCAGAAATGAACATGGTAAGAAAGGGATTGTTTTGGCAGAGATGTTTCCCAACCTCTGCGTTTTCAGGCTCAATGTACCACTCGAACATCAAGATTCTGGATCTTTCCCATAACAACATATCGATCATACACCCTGGATACTTCAGACCTGCTGAGATTTCGCTGACGCAGTTGCATCTGGGCTATAACTCATTGATGGTGGGTGATTAATTTTTAAATAATTTCAAATTGATATGAACAAATTGCTGTTTTAGAACACCACTCGGGATGTCTTTGGCAACATGCCCAACTTGCAATGGCTGGACCTCAGCTACAACTGGATCCACGAGCTGGACTTTGACGCCTTCAAGAACACCAAACAGTTGCAGCTGGTCTACTTCGGCCACAACTACCTCAGTGACATTCCACAGGATATATTCCGGCCCGTCCAGGGTCTCCGGATCGTCGACTTCTCGCACAATCACCTGAGGGGCCTGCCCGACAACCTCTTCTACAACGGAGGGATGGAGAAGTGAGATATTGGTTACATTTTTGGTATGCATTTAATTACATTTATATTATTTGATCAGATTGGATGTGTCGCACAACATGATGTTGAAGATCCCCTCCTCATCGCTGTCCAGTTTGGCTGCATTGACGCTGTGTGAGTTGCACCTGTCGAACAACTTCATCTCAACGATCCACAGCATGGATTTGTCCAACAAGTTTAGAGTGAGTACGAAGTTAAATGTGATAGAGGATCCTTTACCAATGGTTTTACTTTTGTATAGTCCCTTCGCTACTTGGACATCTCGTACAACTACCTGCTGCGGATTGATGACGCCGTCTTCGCCACGATGCCCAGGCTGGCCGTTCTGGACCTCTCCCACAACCGGGATCTGAAGGTGATGGACAAGTCTTTCATGGGCCTGGAAAACTCACTGATCAAACTGGGTCTGGAGAACGTCTCCCTGAGCACTGTGCCCGAGATTAGACTGAAGTACCTGCGGGAGTTCCGCTTGGGCTACAACGAGCTGCCCTCGATCCCCCAGGAGTTGGCCCACAACATGACCAACTTGCGCATGCTGGACCTCTCCAACAACGATCTGACCAACGTTCCTCTGATGACCCAATCTCTGCCACACTTGAGGTGGGCTATCAGAAGCTCTTAATAAATTAAAACTAATCAGTACTATACTTCAAAACAGACGACTGATGCTCTCCGGCAATCCCATTACCTCGCTGAACAACAACAGCTTCGATGGCGTGAACGAGGACCTTGAGATGCTGGACATATCCAACTTTCGACTCCACTACTTCGAGTACGGCTGCCTGGACTCCTTGCCCCACTTGAGGTCCCTGAAGCTCACTGCCTACTCCCACCTGGAGCACTTCAACATCCCGCATCTGCTGCGCCACCACTACAACATCCGCCAGCTTTGGATCGAGGCCCCGCAGCCCTTCACCAGGATCGTCAAGAAGGGATCCGGACCCACCCAGGAGATGCAGACCCTCCAGCTGGGCAACCCCACCGACCTGCAGCGCGAAATGGAGGGCCATCTGCCCTCCAAGCTGACCAACATTACGTTCAGTGGTCCGCAGTTCACCAATCTGAACGAACGAATCCTGCGGGTTGGTAGTCTCTTCTTTATTAGATAAACGCAATTATAATAATTTTGTACTCAATTTGATTTCAGGGCATGCGTTCTCCGTACCTTTACATGCAACTGTACAACACCTCGTTGCAAGCACTGCCGCCGAACTTCTTCAAGTTTATGGGAAGGGTGCGGAACATTTCGCTGGACATCCGCTACCACAACCGCAACCTGAAGAAGATTCCCAACCCGAACACGGGAGCCGTGCCGTATCTGCCCAACAGTGTGTTCCTCACCGACCTGAAGATGTCCCACACGGACCTCAACTGCGATTGCGATCTGGGGTAAGGTATTCACGTTATCCTCAATATGTTTTACTATTTAGTATTGATACTGCTAGGTGGGTGGAGTTCTGGCAGCGCAAGAGGCGCCAGTACATATGCTCATCCCAGACCTGGACCGACACCGTCTTCCGCACCTTCATGAACTCGCCTTGCCAGGTGTACGGAAGGCACAACTGCGACGACCACGACGACGACCTGCGGGAGACGCGCTGTGAGAACAAGGGAGGCCAGCAGCTGATGGAGGTGAGTATATGACACAACAAACCACAAGAAGGATCACCAGACGGTTGTTTCTCCTTCGAAGGCACTCAAATTCGACCTGGAGTGCGGATGGGACAACGCCAACTGCCGGGAGGCCGCCTTCGTCGTGGTGACGGTGTGCGTCTTCATGGTCTTCTGGATGTGACTTCTGCACTTTGCATATAAGACGTCCACCGACTTTTATAGCATTCTAGAGCAAGTCTACGGCAGGCAGGTCATATAAGCCCTGCGTCTAGAGTTTAAGCGTGATGATGAGACTTTGGCCACTTTGATACCTTCTTTAGTTTAGTCTCTTCTCTTCCGAACACCTTCTCTCGCCGATCCGCTGGTCCTTGGTAACGCCTTATATGTAGTATCCTCACCGAAACACTCTCCATACTTCGCCTCGCCTCACTGTCTATCTCCATGTATGTATATTTTTGTAGGCCTTAATATCTTAATATCCAGCTATCTTACAATCCCACCCGAGCTACTGTCTGTACTTCGCTTATAAGTTAGGTCACTGCGCTGCTTAAACAATTCCGAAACGAAAGTCTGTAAAATGTTTCATAAACATATAATAAATACTTACGGTAGGTTAAGTTCGCTCCCCCTCAGCTTCTTATTCGGGGTGGGGCATTATGATTTTATGATCCTGCCGGCTAAAGTACTTGCTACTGCAAGTTGTGTTCACAATTGCCGGACCTGGCTGGTCAGTAACAAACAATTAAAAACTTTTCGCTTAAGTTTCCCCTCCTCGGACGGCCTTTCCATACGATAAATTATCGCGAAAAGCGGGAGGCGTTTTCCGTGTTCCTTTATTTTCGTTCGTTTTCAGGCTTTTCTGAAGAACTTTGCAGTGCACAAAGGAAAGCATTAAGGAATATTCGACCAACGAGAATATCTCAGTTATTCGGTAAAGGATACAGTTTCAATGGGGATGCAAGCAATTTTTAAAATGCAAAACCAATTTTCGGAACTTAAACTTCTTTTTTTAGTTATTTGGCAGTATGATTGATCTTCTTCAAATAATACCCGAAAACATTCAAAGGCAAGAGTATTCGAAAAGTTTGGGGGAGAGAGGTTTTCTTGCTTTTACACACTTATTTTTTGGCAGTTTTATTGAGCTAAAGTACTTTGTGATTTATGGACAGGCTGAGGAGGCGGCGGCCGCCTAAAGTTCGAATGGGGCAGCAACAATCTCATCAACTTCCCGCTTATGCACTTTTCCGATTCCGGTGGCGGGTGTTGGGGCCTCGCAGCGACCGCAGTAGTGGAGCTGTGGAAAAGCGGAAAAGCGGGAAAGGGGGTTGAGCTCTTTTTGTGGCTACCGGCGGAGGGCAGAGTTTTTACCTGTTGGCCAATTAAATTTTCAAAACGTGGCCGCACAAAAGTCCAGGCGCCCATATTGCGATGCTCTTCCTGGCTCCAAACGAATGCTGTACGGAGAAAAATAATAATGAAAAATAAATATGTTTCAGTTTAGTTACACGATGATTAGTTTGGTGTAATGAGAATATCATCATGAGATTATTGTAAGTAGGATCAGAAGTGTTATGTGTTGCAATTGTTTCCTGTGTAAAAGGAGGCCAACTTTGTGGAGGAAGTTTACGATGTCGACACTCACACTGCACGTTGCCATACTGGGCCAACTGGGCCCGGAGCTCCTGGCTGGGGAAAGGACACAGGGACTCCAGGCGCAGGATGGCCGTGTCGTAGGCCTGCCGTTTTTCTCGCTCCTCCGCCAGATTGTAGTAGTGTTTCCCGCTGCACAGGATGACCTTGCGCACCTCCTCCGGCTTCGCGGTGGTGTCACCTGTCGGAGGGAGTGGGTGGTGGGGGGTGGAAAGTGGGCGTAATTTAATGAGGAAGGCATAAAAACAGTACGTTATTAAAAACAATGTAGTCCGTTTTCCGCCTACGGTATTTTCATGGGTCGTGTTTAAGACTTAAAAGAGAGGAAATTTCAGCAATGCTTTCCGTATATTTCTGTTTAAACATTGTTTCACCCCATCAAAAGAGTGAAGAAAAATAGTTTAATAGTATTTTAAACTTTTTGTGGCGAGTCGCAAAGTTTATCCTAAGCTCTGTTGTGAACACGTTTATATATTTTTATATTTATTTGAACATCTCTGTCTATTCATTCATGGGAATTTATAGAGGACTCCTACTCTCCCGAAAAACATGTCTACACGACCACAACTAACCCGTTCGCCAGGCAGATAAACAGAGTGCATTACTCACCGAGGACATTGTGGAAGAGCGTGCCTGGCTGGAAGTCCTCGTGCGAGGACGTGGCCGCAGGGAGGCGGAGCAGGGTCTTGGGGGCCACGACCACCAGGGGCTTGCGGAAGTTCCTGGCCAGCTGGCGACGCAGGACGTGGTAGTACTGGGCGGGGGTGGTGGGGTTCACGATGTGCACGTTGACGGAGTCGCCGTCGGCGGACGTTTCCTTCGAGTCGCAGAGCTGCAGGAAGCGCTCGATGCGGCAGGAACTGTGCTCCGATGCAGCGCCGTCGTATCCGTGGGGCAGCAGCATCACCAGGGCGTTGGACTCCATCCACTTGGCTGGGGAAGGGACCCTTTAAGACCACGAAATCAAGGCAGACTCTTAACCTACTCTCTCCCGACACGATGAAGGTGTCGATGATGATCTGGGCTCCGTTGGCGAAGTCTCCGAACTGCGCCTCCCAGATAACCAGGTTGTTGGGATTGTCGATGGCCATTCCGTACTCGAAGCCCAGCACCGCCTCCTCTGACAAAATGCTGTGGGCCAGCTCCAGTTTGCCGCCGTTTCCGCCCTCCATGCTGTTCAGCGGGATGAACATCTCGTTGGTCTGCTGGTCCACCAGCATGGCGTGTCGGTGGGAGAAGGTTCCGCGACCCACGTCCTCGCCACTGATCCTCACGTTGTGTCCCTGGTACATCAGGCTGCCGATGGCCAGCGCCTCCGCGGTGGACCAGTCGATCTTCACTCCGTTTTCCAGCTTCTTCAGGCGGGCATTCACGTGCGTTTTCAGCAGATGAGGATGGATGTTCTACAATGCAAGATAATTTAATATATCTAATATAGGTACATAATATTGTTTGGTCATCTTACAAAGTCCTCCGGGAACGTGACGCTCTGCTGGCCAATGTAGTGCAGCAGGGAGTAGTCGAGGCCAGTGTCCCAGTAGGTGAGTTCCTTGGAGGGCGCCAACTGGAGGTCCTTCCACTGCTGTTCGAAGTACGAGGGAGGTGGCTGGTAACTGGGGGCCAGAGCCAGCTCCTCACCCAGGTACTTCATGTAACCATCCCTCATTTCCTGGGCCCGCGACTCGGGGAGAACCTGCTCCTGGGCCAACTGCTGGGCATACAAATCGGGAACCGACTGCCGCTGGTGGACAATCTTGTAGACCAGGGGGTTGGTGAAGGTGGGGTCGTCCAGCTCGTTGTGGCCCCACCTCCGGAAGCAGTTGAGATCGATGAAGATGTCCTTGCGGAACTCCCGCTGGTACCGGAAGGCCAGGTTGGTGATCCTGGCCAGGGCTTCTGGGTCGTCGCCGTTGACATGGAACACGGGAGCCTGGATGGACTTGGCCAGGTCGGAGGTGTAGGCCGTCGACCGGCCGCGTTCTCCTGGCGTGGTGAACCCCACCTGGTTGTTGACAATCAGGTGCAGACTGCCGCCCACCTCGAAGTGGGGAACGTAGGCCATGTTCAGGCACTCCTGGTTGATTCCCTGGCCAGCGAAGGCGGCGTCCCCATGCAGGATTACATTGAGCACGTGTTGGCCGAAGGGCTGGCCACTGGAGCCGAAGGCCCCCTCTTCTCTTGTCTGCTGCTTAGAGCGCGCCTTTCCCATGGCCACAGGATTGGCAGCCTGTGGGGAAGATGATGGAGGAGAGGCAACGGGACGACGATAAACTCGGGAATTAAATTTCAAAGTTTGACGTGTGTCGGCTTACCTCCAGATGCGAGGGATTGCGCACCATGCTGAACTTCAGGGGCCTGCCCAGGACTTCCAGCTGCTCGGAAACATCTGTGTGCGATTCGGTTCAGGTTTGATTAAATTAAGCATACGCCATGTGTGCTTAGGCTAGCAAATCTGCTTTACGCACACTCAAAAAGAATGAAATGCAACGGGCTTGAGTTTTATTTCGACTGCAAAGTACTCAGTACTAAACGTCTAGGTATGTAATTCAATTTATTTTTCTCTAATTTTTAAAGGTTGAAGTTAAATATGATTCCAATGTACAAATATTTTTAGCGGAGCCTTAGGAAAAGTTATGTTAATGAGGAAACAATGATCCCTCCTACAGGACAGCACCCTGTAATCCCCAAAAGGACCCACCGAATTGCCGGGCAAAGTTTCACTTACGGAAATGACTTATGACGTCGGACATGGCCTCGATGTCTTCGGGAAACTCGGATGCGCCGCTGAGCTTGCGGAAAACTTTCGCCGGCCGCATGTTGAGGAGCGCTGCCTGCAGCGGAGTCCTTCCGCGGTGGGGCATCGCCAGGACCACGTGCTCGATGTTGGCTGCCATTCCGTTCCATTGTGTCATTTTTATCATTGTCGTCGTTTCCGTTGTTTTCGGGTGCATGGGAGGAAAAAGTTTGGAAAAGCAGATTAGGGTTAAGTAAGCGTGCCGTGATATGTGAGCCCGTTGGGGTGGGTGGCCATATTCCAGGTGGGCTGCGTACTCGCCATCCCATCCTGCCGCCAGGAAACAAAAGTTTGCCGCCTTGAAATGGGTGCGCTACTTCGCGTCATGCTAATCGTGTTTGCGGAGCAGGCAACACGCACGGATTTCGATGGATCGCATCCCCGCCGGACTTTAAAGGACGTGATACGGCTTGAAGGTATCCCCATCTCTGGATACGTTCATTACATTCTTGTTTGCTCAGCAAACTCACCTTGAACGCTGTCACGGAGCAGCTGCCAGAAGAAGGCCAGCATGGACTCGGCTCCTTCGCCGCCGTATCGCTTGACTGTGGGAAACTTGAGTGCCATGAAATTGTCCCAGGCCTGCGACTTAATTAACAGCTCGGCGATTTCGCAGCGCTCGCTGTTTTCCAGTTGCTGCTGGTCCAGCGTCTCAAAGTTCCTGGCCAGCCACTCGCGCTCCTCGATGTCCTGCGGAAATAAGGTAGCGGGATCAGCGCACTATATTTATGGAATGCACTAAGAGAAAACTAAGCATAACCATATTTCTAAATAGTTTATGAATATGTTACTTCTTGATGAAAGACATTCACTTAACTATACACATGAACAAAATACCTTTTTATGTTGTCTCAATTCTAATCGTATTCTGTTATAATTATATTATTATCTGATATTATTATTCTCTCTGTGTGCTTGGACGGGGCCACTCACCTCGACATAGGAGAACTCGGCGCTGGCTGAGCGGCCGCAGTAAATGTCCTTGAGCAGCTGCTCCAGCTGGGCGACGTCGTGGGCCACCTGCGGACCACTTAAGAGGCCAGCGGTGCGCACCGTCTCCTGCGTCTGCAGTCCATAAAATGCGGGACTTAATTCCTGCAGCTCCTGCGTGCTGTCCGGCAGCCACGCAAATTCACAAGACAAACACAGAGCCAGGACATTCAAAGGAGCCGGAAAGGGAGAATAAAATATGACATTTGCGTGGATTCCGGAGAGGGGATTTGAACTCCTACCTCGTCCTGATGCTGATGGGATTTACGGCTGCCAATTTGTGCCCGTGCTGGCGAAAGGCCTCCACGAAGCGATAGACATTGGGCTGCGAATTCCTCGAAGCCCGCACATCCTCGGCCACTGGAAAACACATGCGTAAACAATATAAATTTCGCCCCACGTTATAAATTATTTAAAAAGGATTCACGTGCACAGCGCCCACTGCCACATTGTGCGGCCTTTTGAATTTATTGGCCTTTTACTTTTATGGTATTTATTCTTTGCTTTTTCCGCTCCGCTTCATTTTGATGGACTAGCTGCCAGGTATGTGCACTTTCGCATGATATTTGCCTCGCAAATATTTGCCATTAAATATGACTTCAAATAAAAAATGTCAAAAAGTCCAAGTAAGTATTCCAATGTCAGATTTCGGTTTTACTGAGCGCACCTGCGTGGCATAGCTCGTAACTCATTTATTAATTTAATAACTATATGTCACTAAAAATTAAAGACCAAGTGAGTATTTTGTTTTATTAAGTTTAGCAGGTTGATCCAGAAAGAATAATCTATAAAGCATCCTGCTAAGAGTATTAAATATTTGATCTCTCTCGAAAAAATCACACACTCGTTTTTATATGAAAAATGGCGATGGTTGTTTTTATTGGCTTTTTTCGGCCATTTCATTCTTTTGTGGAGCAATTGACAACTCGTTGGCTGCTTAGGTGTTTACGTGCCAAAGTGTTATCATGCTTTGAGGATTTATATGCGAAGACGCATATCACTCTATTACCGAGCACCCCGAGAAATCCGTGGGACAGGACTCAGCATTTGCCAGTTGGTCCCGCAATAAAACTGAGCTCCCTCAAAAATTTATGCAATTTCTCGACAGCGTTTCGGTGATAAATCAATTTAATGTTAAAGAGTAGGGAGACCGGACAGGAAAACAGGGCGTATGATGAATTGTATTTGCGGCGACAACATTTCAACTTGAGCGTGTAAATATTATTGGAGCACAGCGGCGCGTCCTTTGCCAACGGATAATGGTTGCCCTGGCAGAGATGCAACCAAAGGACGAAGAGCAAACAAGTCGGTGATCCGGGCGGTCGCCTTGCGAATCCAGGGAATAAAAAACACATTGAAAAAAAATTGTTTAAAATATATCAGGAAATAAACAAAACTCAAGTGTATCCTCTTCCATTCTTAGCTTCAAAGGATATCACGCTTTTAAGCGATAGTAAAATTGTGTTCCTTTTATTTATAAGATACATTCGCGGAGTTTTTCCAAGTGCACCTTACGCAGCTGATGTCATACGGTCAAGCGTCAAAGGCTTTTCTCTGCCGGCCATTCAAAGGCTGGCTGTCGGCAGACTGACTACAAACCTACTACCAGCTAAGGACTCCTACCAACTGGTGACTGCTGGCCATGGTGTCGATAAGCCCCACTTGTGTACGCAACGGATGCAGGACAGGCACAAAGGAGCTCCCGATTCGGGGTCCTTTGTTTGCCGAGCTTTGATATTTAGCCGGGCTCTACGGACGCTTCCTGTCGTGCCTTTCAAGGTTGGCCATCTCTGCCTCGGACACCCGCTCTCTTCGCCTAATTAATGCAGCTCCTGGGGGTCTGCCACAATCTCTTGGTTCTAAATATACGCTTTTAGCACTGGCTGTATTTTAAGTTTATCAGATTTCAGGGTGAAACATGTGATAAGCTGGGAACCAGCGATTAGCTTTGGCAGCTAAAAAAGAAACATTAAAGCCATAAAAATATTCCACTTGCCAACAGGAGCTGTATTTCGGCTAAATAACTATTTCCGAATATTCCCATCGAGCACAGGCTAATACCGGTGATATATCTTTATCGAACAGGTTGCCTCGAACATGTTCGAACTGCAGCCACACACAATAGTTTTATTTTGATCTTTTGTTCAGGTTGTTCTTTTATCGGAGTTGTTGTTGGGATTGCTGTGGGTCAGCTGCTTAGATTCCATTGATAAATGGAATGGTGGAAAATCCTACACACAAACACACTAACACTGTATAGAAAACGCCAGTGGTTTTCTTTTGGCTTGGTACATTTCCACTGCTCATTTACTTGTTTGATCCCGAAGCACTCTTATCGATGCGATGGTTATCTCGACGGATGAGGCTTTTATTGGAGTCTCGCCAGCACTATTGTACTTTTCGGTTAACGCGTACCTTTAAATTCCCGCTGGGCAATCGGCTTGAAGCCCCACACGCCCTTTTCGCTGTGGTAGCACCGCGATAGTGGGCGTGGCAGTCTCGCGATTTTCGCCTCCGAGTGCGCAAAACAACGCAGCATGCTGATGGATTAAAACTAGGCGTATCTGCCGGATCACCCGATAAACTCGAAAGCGGATTGGCGGCCTTTTCTCTTCGGCGCTCGACCAGAACTAAAATCTATTTCATTTTGTTTGGAGGCCGGGACCCCCTGAAGCATTTTCGAATACTGATAAGCGGGCAAAGAGAGCCGGAGAGCGGGTACAGAATGTATCTGCTGAATTCGTTTCGCTCTTCTCGGGATTGCCTACTTTTGGGATGATCATAGTTACATAGTTACTGTTAATTAACAGACTGCCCGCTTGGGTTCTGTTAAGTTAATAAAGTTAGCAGAGTTGCTATAAACATGTCTGATAATGTTAATGACCCAGAAACACGGCACTAGGGTGTTGGAATTTCAGAATAGTTTGCTATCAGTCCATTTAAGCTGATAATGCAACAGGTTCGCTGGTCACTAATTGATAGTGTTTGGGAAAGGCAAAATAGGGTTAGTATAAAAAATTAGTCATATGTCTAAGAATGGAGCTTTATATAAAATTAAACACTTTCGAGTAATATATTTTGAAAGAAGTTAAGGGTTCTTAAAAATGTTTAAGAGATATATATGGTTTTTAGATACAAGACATCGGTTCTTAAAAATTTTAACTTTTAGTTTAATTTAAATACTACTCAAATCTTTAATAATAATTGTGATATTTTGCATTATAAAATGTGGTCATGAAAAATGCTATATGCATTCCATCGACATTCCTAAAAAATAATTTTATTATATGTTACTCACCCAGGCTCCTCCAATCTGTTCTTTATGTCTTCATTAACGACGACCATGACACTTTCATGGCCTAATGAAATCAATCCGCAGGCTTTTTTTGACGTTGACTGCCATTCATAAAACTTAAGCTGCATCGAAATGCCGTCTTGATGGTCGGTAATGGGTCATTGTCTATAATTATACCGGAAGTATACCCATACAAGCAAAGAGTGTCTATGTGTTTCACATCCGTGTGTGGATTTTACAGCCCATTCAATTTTCCGCAAAATGGCCGCGTCATTTGTGTGATTAACTGTAATGGAAATGAATCACAAACCGGCGAGAGTCCACAGTCAACAGAGAACTGTACGTATGTGTGTGTATTCCAAATATGCGAGTAAACAAACAAGTTGGTAAAACTAGAGCACAGAAAAGAGCGAAGAGCCTCCCGAAGAGGCGACCTAACCGCGAAGGAACGCGCTATCAGTGCGTGGTGTTCCTGTGATAAGATATGGCCAGCTTTATCTGGCCGATAAAGCAATGTTTCACAATCGAGTCTACAGGTGAACAGAGTTTTGGCAACGCCCCGATCGGATCGTAGTGTTAACTTTTCTTCAGTCTTAGCCGAGCGGCTCGCTGCAACGAACGTGTTTTTCTGCCTGGTAATTGAAATTAACTTGAAAATTGGTGACAAGTGATAAGAAAACTGATAAGCTATTGCCCCAAGTGATGATGTCATCGAGTGAAAACTGTTAAAAAAGAGGAAAATTCCTAAATAAATCTTAGTGATACATAGAAAAACACGTTTAATTGATGCATTTGTGTTTTCTTTTAGCAGTGAACCGAAAAAACGAATTACGAATTAAGTGAAAAATCGAAATCAAGTGAAAATGCGCTTCAAACTGTTTGTGGTTTGTGCGCTGGCCTGCGGCTTTATGGCCTATGTCCTGGCCAACGAGAACATCTCCACGGAGGAGCTGGAGGACCAGATCATCAACTCAGTGCCCGAACCCGTGAAGGAGACCAAACTGAAGGCCCAGGCGGAGTTTGTGGAGGTGGTTCCGAAGGCCACGCCCGTTACAAAAAAGCGGAGGGGGAAAAACCGAAAACCAAGCCCCTGGCCCTTCAGAAACCCACTCTGATCCCGGTGGTCCATGTCACCAGCCGGGGAACAGACGATATATTGACCGTGGCCGGACTGAAGCCCCAGAAAGCCTTCGGAGCTCTCGTGATGGCCAACGAATATTTGGGCGAGCTGTCCGACATCGACAGCAGTGGCTACAACTGGGGTAAGTCGTTCCCGTTCTCAGTTCTCGTTGTCCCTGGGCTGATTCAGTTCCAGCCCATTACTCATACGCCGCGTTGGCTATCTTATCAGAACAGCTCAGTGGGTTTCTGTTCGGTTCGGTTTAGTTAGCAATATTTGCTCGATAACCTGTGCTCTGCCGTTCAGGTGTTGCAAGCTCTGCTCTCCTTCTGCTCTCTCTCTCTTTATCTCCCTCTCTGTTTTTTTCCCGATAAGATAATACCCGCTGGTTGAGGCATTAAAAAGCTAACGATTTTCTTGTTTTCCGCTTGGGCAAACAAAACAAGTGCGTGGTGGGCTGGGGTGGGGTGGAGTAACTATGTGCTCCGCGTGGACAGAGCGGGCGATACATGGACTACATGGTCTTGCGTGATTCAGCTTACAACCCCTGGAATTGTGTGGATTTTGCAATTGCCATTGCAGAGGCAGAGGCAACTCTGTTTTATCAGCCGCACTGGTCTGATATATTGGCCATTCGGAATTGGAATTTTTGCCGTGTTAGTCAGAGCTCTTTGTTCGACTGTGATTATGTGATAAAAGGGATTGGTTACGTGGTGATTCACTATTATTTTCAGGGATACTGTTCCATAAGAGTAATGAAAGTCCAGGTTTTTGCTTCATATATTGTATATTTGAATTGTCTTTAAAAGCTTAGGCTAACTTAGGAAAAAAGTAGAGGCTATCCTTGGGAACTTAACTACTGTGGAGGTTCAACTTCAGATCCCTGACCTCAGGCACTCATCGAGATCCGCTGCTCGTACTCCGCGATCCGCAATCGCACCGGAACCACCAGGCTGAGGTCCTCCATGATGGCGTGGTTCTGGGTCCTCACCGAGGCACTCGAGCTCTGCCGCGAAATGGTGGCCCGCGACTTGTCCATCGAGGGCTTGCGCCGCAGGGAGCTCTTCCGCGGGCAGCCGCCCTTCCCCACGCCCATTCCGGGCACCAGGGGCGTGGCGAACTGGGCGGCGGTCTGCGACAATCGCTTCGGCTTGGGCGGAGGCACCTGCCCCCCGACGGAGCCACTGAGGCTGTGGTTGCTGCCCAGGAAGCTGTTGCTGCTGCTGCTGCTCGCGGTGGTTGCAATGTTCTGCGGGCGGGCGTTGCGCAACATGGCGATGAAGCGGTTGCCGGCGGAGCTGCTCTGGGGCAGCAGTTTGTTGATGCCCGACTCAAAGGTGTTGGTCAGCTTGTTGAAGAAGTTGATTTTGTCGCTGACAGTGGGCTCCTGTTGCGGCTGTTGCTCCTGTGGCAGTGGCTCCTTTTGCAGGGGCTCCTGTTGCAAGTGCTGCATGGAGTGCTCTTGCTGCTGATGCTCCACCGCGGCCTGCGGTTTCTCGTCGCCGTTGTTGCGCCTGGACATCTCCAGCACCTTCTCCCTCAGCTCCATGGACCAGCGCTTTTGGGCCGTGTGCAATTTGGGTCGCAGCGGGGAGATGCCGTTGCCCGGCTCGGTTTTGGCCAACTCCACGGCCAGTTGGGTGGTGAAACGCGGCTTGGGCGTGGAGGTGACTGTGGGCCTGGTCGATGCGGACATGTCCTCGTCAATGTCCATTTCCAGCTCGCTGATGAACGAGGAGGAGGAGCGGGAGGCGGGACTGCCAAAGCCCGGCGACGAGGGACTCAGCTTGTAGTTGTAGAACTGGAAGTTGAACGTGCTGATGCTCATGTTGAAGGTTGAGAGACGAGTGTGATAATGTGGCCAGGATGGCTGGCCTTAAATAGCTGAAATGCGACTACCTGATCCCCGACAGCTGCTCCTGGCATTCAGGTAGCCAGGCTCAACCGAGTCCCAGCTCAACTGGGCTTGATTCCGGGAACTACCTGGCCAACCTGGCCAACTACCTACCAACTAGAAGTGGGCAGAAAATATACGAAAGCGGGAGATTTCCAGGGAATCGCAGCCCGAACACGCGAGTTTTGCGTGTTTTCCGCGCACCAATTTCACACAAATCTTTCGCAAGGGACAGCTAATCCGCGCGAAAAGGATTAGCGAGGGTACTTATTCATAAATAGCTTAAAAACTCGAGAGTGCGACAGATGTTCGGGTTCCAGAAATACTCGAATGCCCGAGTTTATGATCCCACTCCGCTGTGTTGACGTTTCATTAGCCGTCTCATTACAATCAATGCAAAATCAATGCAATTAATGGCCCATAATTCACTCGACGCGCGGCAATTGACAGCTGACAAAATATACGCAGAAATCGAGTGTGAGAAAATGAAAAACGAAATTATAAATTGAGCATGCAAATGCAATTGCCGTTTATTCAAAGCGAAGTTTGCAATTAAACGGCGAAAGAAGGGGCAAATTGCGATGCAAAAAGGTGAAAAGAGGTGTCAGAATCTTAATGGGGTTCATAATTAATTAATGGGATTATTAATGAGGCTTCAGGGGTAACTAAGGAAACAGCATGGCAGCAGTTTTATTGAAATTGCAACGTTTTTTAAAGCATAAAAACATTACATCAGCCAAAAGTCATTTGAGGAAGGCAAATGCGGTATGAAAACTCATTAAAATCGTATGTTCATAGAAGCCCATAGAAGTAATAGAGAGTTCTAATTGATTTATGGAAGTCCAACTTTGCAGGGAAACTTTATCAAATAAAGAAGAAAGTTTTACGAAAAATAACAACGAAATAATGCATCAGATAGTTAGCCACCTAATTGATTTATGGCAGTACCCGATTATAGTTGGACTCCGGCAGAACCATAGTTTCCATGTAAATTGCAATGAATGTCCTTCGTCGCATTTGTTGCAAGCCATCTCCCCGGGGATGCCAGAAATATTTCGAAATCCTTGTCAGAACCTTGCCACGAAAACTTCGGCAGCAATTTAAGTTTCTTGCCAGCGTGAGCAGCAATATCCTTAAGCGGATCCTGGCTCCTTCCTCGGCTCCTGTTCCAGTGTCCACTGGGAACGCCAGCTTTGCACTTAATCAGCTTAAATTGCTTTAAAAGGCCAGCGGTGAAAGGAAATTAGGAAGGAGGAGGGGGAGAGGGTGAGGGAAAAGGAGCGAGGCAGCCAAGTTCGCAGGACAGAAATGAATATTAACTGTGACCTTTGATGGCCAAGCACCCGGAACGGGAGCTGCACATCCTTGCAGGGAGGCAAGTTGCAGCCGGAAAATGCAAAAAAGCCGGCAAAAGTTTTCTTTTCACTTCGTGCCTTGCGAGGCAGCCAGTGCCAGGGATAATATTGTGGAATTGAAAAAGTAATCTCCCGGGATTAGGTGTGAAATTATAATGATAGGCCAGAGCTCTCCCCACTAAGCTATTTGTCTTCCTTCGCCCTTCGCAGATCCCGACAACAATGTGGCCCCGCCTTCCACGCCCTCCACTGCGTTGGGGGGATACACGATAACTGCGTCCAGGCTGGCCGAGCTCCGGAGCACCTTCATGTACTGGTACTTCGACAAGGACATGTACGGAGGCCGCGGCGACTACCAGTTCGACATCCACGCCTCCATGACGCAGCTGCACAAGAACCTCAACTTCCAGATGCCGTTCTACGGGTTCCGCTTCAACTACACCAGGGTGAGCACCAATACCATTACAATTATGAGGCATGAAACATAATTCAGCGATGCTTACGGAAAATCTCTCGTTATGACAGCTCTCCCTCAACGGTTACTTGGAGTTCTCCGACCCGCCGGAGTACCTCACCTATCCCCTGGTGTTTCCCATCAAGGACTGGCCGGCCAAGAGGGATCCCTCCTTCATGGGCATCTTCTTCAGCAAGTGCAGGGTGGGTAGGATCTACCCGTCGGATATTGACCAGCGAACGCCCGGCGTCTACTTCCGGTAAGTGAATGCATCTCGCGTCTCCCATCTCGCAACTCAATCTATTTCCGCATCCGCCGTTCCCCGCTCGCATTTCCGGCTCGTTTGTATTTATTTGCTAACCATATTTGTTCGCCTTTGTTTTCGAGGCATTCGCATTTGCATATTCAAAATCAGCACAGAGCACGCGCCAAACAGAAAGTATTTATACGTACACATTCGTTCTACGTGCGTCCGTCGCCATTTACAGAAAACTAACACAAAATGGCGGGAGTGTGTGTGCGTGTGTCTCGTTCTCCACTTCCGGTGGCCCCGTTTCGTGCCAGTATGTGTGAGTGTGTGGTTGTTGGCCTGCATTTATGCATGCGGCCTTCCAAAAGGTATGATTTATTTGACACAGAATTTGTTCGCTATTAATGCAGGGGATTAAAGCATGAGGTATCCTGGATTTATTGACTAGCTTTTAAAATTTTTTAGCATATATAATACGTGTCCTTTTACTTACTGATACGTTGCTTATTACTGGCATTTATTATCCCAGAATTGCTACTTTTTCATTTTGCCTGCCAGGTTCCATATCAATTATGAACCGCTGATTTCAAAATGCATTTGAGCGTAAATTCATTTCGCAGTGCACATAGTCCTGCAGCATTGTGCTGGATCTACGGAGAAGAGCATAACACCCGATTCAATCCGATTCCGACTAAATGAAACAATGCCGCTTCGAGTGATGAAATTGTGAGTCCTGGCTAAAGCCTCTCTGTGGCCAATTCGACTTTAATTATATGCAGTTGGCCTGCTCTTCTCCCATGAACTTTCCCGAACAATGTTTAAATTTGCACAAACATGAATTCCCATTTTTTGCCTTCCCCTGGCTAATTATGTAAATGAATGCCGGTGGGGGTTGAAAGTTATTTGTGGTGTATTTATATGGGTCCCCAGCAGCAGCAGCAGCGTAAAAAATAGAGCCCTAACAAATTCTGTGATCGCAGTCGCAAAAAAGCGGCACTCGAAAATGCATTAATTAGTTAAAGCTAGTTCCGTCTTGAATTGCTCTTGGTTAACCAGTAGTTTTGGGCTTTTTGGAGCATAAATTACGGCTGCTGGTCTGCATTGTTCAGTGTTCTTATTTCATTGCTTTTAGGAGCAAGAAAACCCGGAAGAGAAGAGCATAAATTACTTCAAAGTGACACAGAACGAGAAGCCAGTTGAGGGATGTTTGCATGCTGGAAAATGCATGGGGACTCAACCGAAAAAATAGGCAACAACCACAGAAGTGGTTTAATAAAGCGACAGCATTGCGAGTGCTTTAAAGCACTGCAAGACAAATGCTTCTCCATTGAATTGTTAGCTGGCATTTTCCGCTTTTCCGCTCTCTGGATTGCTGTCAACACTTTCGTCGCCGGCTGACAAATTGCCACACCAAAGCAATTAACATCCTGCGAGGAGGAACACGATGCACCGACCAATGCATTTAATAGTTTTTACACAGTCCGACAATATGTCAAACTTGCTCCGCATAACTCGTCCAATGGCAGAGTCCCTGACATTTAATTGTCTTCGCCTCGTGTACAGCACCATCAAGGGGAACCCTCGGCCGAACTTTGATGGCTGCACTGGGCGAAAAGACCTGCCATTCGAGTGCCTTATGCACACTCTGAGATCCGGAATATTTGATTCCCCCCTCACTTATTCATTGCTTGGGCGGTGCTTTTTGGCTGAGTGCAGCCGTGCGTGGGAGCGCAGGGCTATTAAAGAATGGGGAATGACTGAAGCCGTGACTGGAATTTAATTTAAATAACTTTGCATGGCGCTGGAGATAAGAAAGCCGAGCAGAGCGAAATGTGATGTAAAATTACTGGCCACCCACCCAAGGGCAGCTTACAACACCCCACTAAGCCACCCCTCCCCCTCGTCGGCAACCATTCCACATGTCACTCCACTCCACTCCACTCGTCCCGCATCAATTTAATTACACACCCGCACTTAGCGCTCAGCATTGGATTAGCTGAAAGTGCAGGGCATCGCGCATTCGCCCCGTTGGCCGCAGTCCACTTCGAGCATTAAATTCATTATGAGCGCACGTTTAATTACACACACAAACGCTTAGCCGCGTCGGATGGCGAAAAAAAACTTAATGTCGTTTGTCCAGGATTTTTTCCCATTGTTAAACGCTCGAAACTTTGTCAGCGTGTGAGTTCCGGTGTGTGTATGTCTGTGTGTGTGTATGTGTGTGTTTCTGCTTAAGTGCGGCAAAGTCAGCAGGACCTGTTAATTGTTGTAGGGCAAGGGCAGCATCAAACGGAATCCTAATTGCTGGCCCGCGTTGTCGCAATTAAAACATTTTCGGCTGCTTTGCGGCAAAGAAGTCAAAGGTATTTTTGCAGAAGGGGAAAATAATTTCATTAGAACGCGAAGAAGCATAAGAACCAAATGGGTTATCCGTTAGTAGAAAGAAGTTACCTGCTTTTAAATTTCAAGCATAACATGCTAAGCACTCCAAGTCCTTTCTGCAAGTTCCTTGAAAGTGTTTTGGCCAAAAGTTGTTCTTCATAACCGGGGCGCCATTATAATGCCGCTTCATTATTCCCTTTTGCCAATCATAACAAGAACTTCCCAATCCTTTGGCTCCACAAAGCCCCATCCTTCGTCCTTGGCTGGGCCATTTGCAAGTCTCTGTTTGCATTCACTGGCGCGAGCGCTTTCTGCGCGCTGTTTTCTGCAGCTTACATGCAATTTTCGCCATTTTCTTTAAGTACGGCCATTGTTTCACTTTCATTTACACCCCGAGATGGAATTGGGCCACACGGCAGAAGGCGAGGACTGAGACATGGCTGAAACGGCGGATAAGCGGGGCTAAAAGGCTGCGGGAGCGGGCTCGAATATTTCTGGGAAGGCGGCAAAAAGGCATTTTAACCTACAAATGCAGACAAAACTGTGGCAGCGCCCGAATGTATGCAATAAAGTACATAATGGCGCAGTTCAAGAACTGGCCTGCGATACGAAAATGGCGGGGAAATGGGGGGTGGAAAATGGATGGAAAGGCGGCACGGAGCCCGACTTATGCACGAGTTTCTGAGTTTCTATTACTTTTTTGCTACTCTCTATGTATGCACAGAGAAAAAAGCTTTTGATTGAAATACTTACCATTATGTAGAATATTTAATATGCTTATTGCTTAAATATACAATCTAAACTTTGTTTAATACGCACTGCTTTGTTAATAATCGCTCGCGTATTTGGGTTTTCGATTTAAAGACCTAATTTCTCTGAGTGTCTGTGTAAATGTGTAAATGTGTGTGGCTTTTTGGCTTACTTACACGTAAAAGTCGCCGAGTCTGCGGCTGTTTTTGGCTGCTGCGCGCGCATTTCTAGGCTGAGTGACAATTCGCTTTTTTTTGGCCCGAATGTCAATTGCAGACTTTTAAAGTTTTTGCTCAGGGCAAACACAAATGATAAACTATGCTAGTCTGTGTGCGCGGTTATCTCCGAGCGCCGTCTTCTTCTTCTTTTGGCCATGGCATGCGGTTTTTTGCACACTGCCAACAAACGTTTTCTATTTTTTATGCCTGTCGAGGAAGGAAAGTGTAATTTTGTAATTTATTTCCATTGCCATCTGCTGCCAGCTGTAATTTATGTGCCCTCCGAAATTGAAAAGCACATAAGCACAGGCGGCCGTTTAATGCATGTTGTATGATAATGGTTGCATTATGGGTTTTTATTACGGATATTTGAAGTGTTAATAAATAAACTGAGCACAGAGGGAAATACCATTCCGCCACTCATGTTTGTTTGCCATTGCTGCGTTGTGTGTTTCATTTATCACTAACAAATGCCGGGGCAAAATCAATAAAATGTTACCGGCGAAATGCAAATAGAAAATGGCCCACATTCATCTTTGTTTGCCGCACAGAGAAATGCTGGAGCATAACGAGTTTTTCGATTTCAATTGTTGTATGTGTATCCTGGCTCTGCCGTAAATAAATGTCCTTGTCAAAGAGACTGAGAATTAGTTTACATTTGTGCATACTCTGTAGCCAAAGCCTTTATTAGATTTTATTAAATGTCTGAAAGTCTTGCAGAGAGCTGCATTTGTTTGTACTTAATTACGGAGTTTTTTGGGAGATTGGTAGATAACACGCATAAAGCTTTTTGAGTGCTTGAAATTCATATATTGTTTTTGAATAATTAAAAAGGATGTGCACCAGAAGCACTCATTTAAAGCCACTTAGGTTGTATTTTTGAGTAATATTTGGCAACATTTGGGCTAAAATCAGTTATTATGATACGACCCCACAAATAAGTGTTCCAGTTGTGTTATTTTCACCAATCACTAACATCAAAGAAGCACACAATAAAATCATAAATCTATTTTAGTTTCAATGGCAACAAACGGGAACAATTTATTTCCCATTTTAATTTAAAGAGCAATTTGCATACTTTCAATTATTTATTTCCGTTTTGAATTTAGTCGAATGCCTCTATTAGCAAAATTGAGCCTTTACTATTTTTAGGCGGTGCATTTTTAGTTATATATGCTGCCAGCATCTGGACATGTTTGTATTGGGCCGATCGGTTCATTTGATAAGCCTCTTATTCCAACCTAGAGCTCCGACAGTCCTCAATTGTTCACCTCAATTCTAATGCAATTGTCCGGCAGTGAAGCTCGCTTAAGTTGTGCGAGTGGACCGAATCAAAGGCTGCAGTGTAATAAAAATCCCCGATAAATCGGCTTAGGATTTATTTTTCTGGTACTCGCGATGGAATGGAATGGCTTTTATCTAAGCATTTTGCATGGATTCCCAGCTGTAATTTAGCCAAACAGGCTTAAAGCAATTTATGACGCAGCAGACACCGGGAACGCACAGTTTGAAGTCGCGACTGAGTTTGGAGCTCGCGGCGTATACGTAATGAATAATTAAGGCATATAAATCATACGCCACGTAGCCGTGCTGGCGTCGCCAATGTGTCGGCCGTCGATATGCCTTCGCCCCCCGAAAAAAGAAACACTTGAAAGTGCTCACGAGAGCGTAAAATAAATAAAATGTTTATGAAAATATGCGCAGCAGGGAATGTAATGAGGAAGGCCGGAAATCAGAAATCAGAAATCTCTCCGCCTGCTCCCTGATTTATATGCCGAACATCAAATCCATTTATCATCGGGCAGACGCCAAACCGAAACCCGCTTTGCATCCGATTTGTTTTCTCATATTCTCATCAGCCACATGAGCCTCGGTCCCTGACTGATGGAAAACCTTTCTGTTTGCAGGGTGGAACGTGATCTGATGGGCCGCACGGACCGCTTCGGAGTGGAGGTGCGGGAGCGGACCATGTGGGACATCCGCCAGGGAGTCGTGGGCGCCGACACCTTCGTTCCCAAGCACGTGGTGATCGCCACCTGGAAGAACGTGTCCTTCTCCGGCGGCATCGACAACTCCCTCTACACGGTAAGTAGTTACTTCTGATTTGTTACTATATATGTATATAAAAATTTTAATATTTATTTATTTTAAAACTAAGAAGTGATTTTCCATATACAAGAGTCCACAGTAATGTATTGCTTTTCTGTACTCCCCAGACAAACACGTTCCAAATGGTCATCGCCACCGACGAAGTCTACACCTACCTCATCTTCAACTATGCAGTTCTCAACTGGCTTTCGCACACTGAGGCCGGAGGAGATACTACCAAAGGAGAAGGCGGTGTTCCTGCATATGTATGTGGTCGAAATCCCTCTTTTTAGTCATTTTTTGTCGGTGCACACTCAATTAAACAGTTGACTCTGAGGGAAACTTGCCAACTGATTGGAAGAGAAGCAGTTGGTTGTATCTAGCATTCCCACTTGCCGTGTTTGCATTGGCGATTTGTTGGGCAGCCAGGAGGAAAAAGAAAAGTGAAGGAGAAGCCGAGAATTCAGAGAAAAAGATTGCCTAATATGCATAAAGGGACCCTTTTTTAAGTCTGAGTAAATTCAAGAGCTCGTAGAGTCCCCAAAAATCAATGAAAAACACTAAGCTTTCAGTAAAAGATACACATAAAGGTTTCTGCCTTTCGGTATCTTCAGCAAACACTCATCATAATTGCAATTATCATAGCTTAAATCGTTTGGCGTTTGAAACTCGAGTTCTCTTCAGACTGCAGCCACTTGCAGTAATTAAACGCACAATTTAAACTTTGCCTAAGCCCGAAACATAATTGCGAACTTTGCGAGCAGTTAATTAATTGTGAGAGCAGATCCGAGTGTTTAATTGCTGTGTTGCCCCCCCGAATACCCCTTTCCTGCTCATATGTGAACTTTGCACCCCCTTTCAGGTCGGTTTCAATGCCGGCAACGGCACTCAGGCCTACGAGTACAAGCCCTACAGCCAGAACATGGTGATTCGTGACTTGGTCAACCGCGGATGGGCCAATGGGTTCCCCGGCCGTCACATCTTCCGCGTGGACGAGCAGATTCTAATTGGCTCCTGCAACAAGGATATCGGTGCGTTTGATTGCAGGCTCTCTTGAACAGGTTTTAAATTCCTTAATTATACCTATATTTTTGTAACTTTCTCAGATGCCGCCCTGCTGCCTTTGACCTTCGCCCCCGAATCGGGCAACATGCTGGGTGGCCAGGTGGTCAACATCACGGGACCCTGCTTCGATCCCAATATCCGGGTGACCTGCCACTTCGACACGGAGTCCGTTCTGGGCACCTACGTGGACCGGAACCGCGTGATCTGCGTGCAGCCCTACCTGAAGGCGGAGGGCTACATCCGCTTCCAGATCTCCGTGGGAACGCAGAGGTTCAAGTGGCGCGGAAAGTACTTCGTGGAGACCCCGGCCGCCGCCACCGAGAAGATCTTCTTCGCCACCGACGACGTGCACAAGAAGAACCCCAGCGAGATCCGCATCACCTGGAACCAGTACAACTTGACCTCGAACACCGCCGCCAACGTGATGATCTCGCTCTGGGGCTACAGGGAGACCAAGATCGAGCCCCAGCTGGAGTACATTGACGTGATCGAAGCCTCCTACTCGAATACCGGCAGCTACGTGATCACGCCCTCGAATTACATAAACCGCAACAACGTGAACCGCGACATGCAGTTCGGATTCCTGCAGATCAACCTCACCCAGCCGGATCAGTACTCCGGCTTGGCCATCAGTCCGTGAGTACAGATAATAATTATTTAGAGGTTTAACTAGGGAAGTTTGGTGCTTAGAATTAACTTATGATGTACTGAGGGTTAAGGCAGGCAAACAAGATTACCGAATTGTCAATAAGCTACTTGAGAGTGCTTTTAAAATGATGGCTCTTTTACAGATGCCTTTATTCCCGCTAATTTATTCCAGCCAACTGACTGGCTGGATTGGCAGTAACCTTGGATTCCCCCTCCCTTCCTCCCGACTCCAGTGTTATTGTGCTTTAATTGATTCTCGGTTGTCTCAATGTGTCATCTCAGCGCAGAGTGCCTGACGCTCTGATGGTCTATCCATGTTTTTATTCAATTTGCCGGGGCAATTTCAATGACAATGAGAACGGGCTAACTGCACTTCGGCCCTCCACAGCCACTGGATGAAACCGAGTCCCGGGATCTGCCCAGCCCTCCTCCCCCTTCGGTCTCAATCAATTTGCTCTGGCTTGGCCAAAGATTGCTTATTATGACAGCCTGTAATTGCGAGACATTCTCGGAGCTAATCAATAATGGAAATGTGTTTTTAATGGCCTCGGCCAATGGTAATCGCCGTCATGTTTGTTCGCCAGTTTTCCGCATTTAAGCCTTTTCTCCGTCCTGAAATTATTTTGTACTTAGGCCTGAATCATCTTCCCACCATAAAAAGATACATGGTGTATTTTGTAAGATGCCTAGTTTGACGACTAGGAATTTTATTTGGGTCTGCACAGGCAAAAATTAAAGAAGTACATTAAAGTTTCTATGACATTAAATAACTCTTAACTTTAAACATAAAGCTTATTAAAGCCATTATTTTTTTTCCTCATTAGATTAGCTTCTTCTTCATAATTTCAGTAGTGCAATAAATTATATAAGTACTACCCAGTTTTTTCCATTGTGTTCCTTTTCCCCAAAGACGCAATATAAAACCATTTCTTCCTTTTTTGGTTTACGGCACCTTTGGGTGTCGTTAGCCGGGTCCAAAGTGGCGGGCGGGCCAGATAAATTGTAAGCATTGTTTCAACATTTAATTTCCATTTGATGGCTGAGTAATTGTGAGAACTTAATGAAAAATATTTCCATGGCAGCGGGAGGCGCCAATTGCCTTCCGAGGCCAACTAGGCAGCGGCTAATGGCCATATCGTCTTGCTCGTCACGAGAAGCGGGTAAAAATAGCGAGGGTTGTTTATTAGCTGGCACTATGCAACTGGATCTCACGAAAAGTTGACCAAAATATAAGTTTTTAGGGAAGAGCACCAATCGATTGGAAATTTTAATAATAAATTTTTTAATAAATTTTGTAACCAGGTTTAGCATTCCACACTCTGATCCTTTTTCGTGTCTGTAGGGAAAAACACTGTTTCCAATAGAGCAAAACTTGATAAATAGTTTTTGTTCATAACCCGAACTAGGCTAGTTGCATTTTTGAGTATAATCTTCTGAAAATATGAAATTTAGACGAATGGTGCAATGTTTTAGAAAACTGATAATCATATGTGATTTTCCGGATAAAAAATGAAAATATAATTTTTAAAATTTTACCATTTTTTGTAAGGGGTACCATCCTATTTTATTGCGTAAATTTGGGAAAAAAAATTTTTTTAGAGAAGTTTATCAATCAATTCAAAATTTGAACACGAGTTCAGCGAGACATTACTTTCCACATTGTGACTATTATTTCGCCTGTTATTAAACAAATAGGTTAAAAACATAGGTTTTTAATTGATGACCAAAATATGTTGAACGTCATCTCTGGCTGCTTTTCTGTGTCCTGCAATCTCACAATGCGTTTTCTTTCCAGGGTCCTGTGGTCCCGCCCGATCCCGCTGGCCTGGTACATGGCTCCCCAGTGGGAGAGGCAGCACGGAAAGCGGTGGGCGAGAGCGCTCTGCGATAATTGGATCCGCGCCGACCGATTCCTCAGGTAAGGCCCAACAAACATGCGTTTGCATTCGCATCCGCATTTGCCGCGCTAATTAAAAGCGGCCAAAACGCCAGAGGGGATTGGCGAAGGGCGCCCATTCGGCAGCCTTCCCCGCTAATTAGCTTTGGATTGCGATAAAGGGACTTCCCACGCTAACGCTCACTGTTTCCACTCGCATTTCGCAGGAACTTTGCTGCTGACCTGCCCCTGTGCCCCTGCACCTTGGACCAGGCCGTCCTGGACAAAGGACGCTTCCGGCCGGATCGGGAGTGCGACAAGGACTCGAATCCCAGCTGCCTGAGGCATCGCGGAGCCATCCATTGTGTGGTCAGCGGAACGCCAGTGTGAGTAGCTTCTCGAAATCCTCAATTGAACTCAAATGCTTGCTATACAAATTGGGTATTTGAACTAGAGGAAAAAGGGAGAGGAGGATTTAATCGAAGATATTATAGTAGCAACTCATGTTCTGTATCTCTAGTGCGCAGGGAGCTGAGCAGCAGTGCTGCTACGATCGTTACGGGTACCTGATGCTGACCTACGACCAGATGTGGGGCTCCCGCCCCCGCCGCGTGCACAACCTGGGCAAGATGCCCTGGAACGAGGCCAGCAAGGTGCCCTCGCTGTCCATGTGGTTCCACGACATGCGGCCCTTCTACTCCTGCTGCTTCTGGCAGGAGGAGCAGGCGGTGGGCTGCGAGACCTACCGCTTCGAGCGGCGTCCCTCCCAGGACTGCGTGGCCTACCAGGCGCCGGGCATCGCGGGCGTCTTCGGCGACCCGCACTTCGTGACCTTCGACGGGCAGGCCTACACCTTCAACGGACTGGGCGAGTTCGTCCTGGCGCGCAGCGTGGAGGAGAGCAACCGCTTCGAGGTGCAGGGTCGGTTCGAGCAGCTGCCCACCAACTACTACGGCGAGGTGAAGGCCACCCAGCTGACGGCGGTGGCCATGCGGGGCAACACCACCACCACCATCGAGGTGCGCCTGCGCCCGCTCCACGCCCGCTGGCGCTACCGCCTGGACGTCCTCGCCGACGGACGCAGAGTGTACTTCGACCGAGAGAGCCTCAAGTTCCAGCACTTCGACGGCGTGTCCGTCTACACCCCGACCTACCTGCTCAACCAGTCGCAGGTGGTGGTCCAGTTCGACGCCGGAATCGGAGTGGAGGTGGTCGAGAACGAGGGCTTCATGACGGGCCGCGTCTTCCTGCCCTGGAAGTTTATAGTGAGTGGATTTGTTGCCACCTACTTCTTCGATTATATACAACTTTCGACTCCCACTTCAGAACAAAACAGCCGGACTCTTTGGCAACTGGAGCTTCAACAAGCTGGACGACTTTACGCTGCCCAACGGCCAAGTGGCCCAGCTGAACCTGAACGACCTGCGCAGCATCCACACCAACTTCGGAATCAAGTGGATGCTCACGGACCGCGAGGTTCCCGGAGTGGGAGCCGCGCTCTTCACCCGCGAGTTCGGCCGGATGTCCAGCTACTATGCGAACGCCACCTTCCAGCCGAACTACGTGCTCGATCCCGCGGACTTCCTGCCCGCCAACCGCACCTACGATCTGGAGAGGGCCGAGGAGCTGTGTGGAGAGTGCATGCAGTGCCAGTACGATTACGCCATGACCCTCAATCGCGATTTGGCTCACTTCACCAAGAACTACTACGACACGATAGTCAACATGCAAGCTGAAAACGCAGTGTAAGTTTCACATTTAATTAAATTAATTTTGAGGAATCATCGGATTGAATAGAAACTAATCGTATCGTTATCCCTGCAGGCGAGTTGTGTCCTGTGGTGTGTTGCAGACCCCTCGATTCGGTCGAAAGTTGAGCTTCGACTTTATGCCAGGCGCAAAGGTGTCCTTCGAGTGTAACGAGGGCTTCATCCTGGTGGGAGATCAGCGTCGAGAGTGCTTGGCCAACGGTCTGTGGAACATTCCCGAGTATGGATACACAGAGTGCCTACGTAAGTACCTAAAACTTGCTACGATCCTCTTAGATTAGAGTCCTTTTCTCAACTACTTCAACTGTCTGCCTGAATTAGATTCCTATTAGAACTTAATTAAATAAGAAACCATTTCATTGTTAAGTTTAAAACATAAGTAACCGATACCAATCCTTTGACCTCTGACCCGCGCAGGTGAGGTGTACTACACGCGTCGGGTCGCTTTCATTGCAATTGGCATTATCTTCCTGGTGATCTGCCCACTGATGCTGTGCATCGTGTGCGGCGTGTACCGCTACCGCCAGAAGCAGCTCAAGGAGGACCCGCAGTGGCAGATGCCCATGCTGCCCCGCTCGCGGGCCAGTTCGGCGCGAAACCTGCGCACTCTGAACTACGACGACGACAGCGACACGGACGCCAGCACGCTGAAGAAAAGTAGGTCCTACGACAAAGTATATCGCACGAACGAACCATTACCGGGCAAACCGCAAATTGATTTTCCAGCTAAGAAATGGGATCTGGATGAGAACGACGAGGACGTGACCTCGTCGGAAGGTAGTCAAAATAGAAACAGCTCAAAGCTGGCCAGGGACATTTCCTACATTAATCCCAACGTCGCCGCAGGTGAGAAGCCGAAGCAGCTGGGTCGCCGATCCCTGCACTCCGCCTCGGGCACCGACCTGGACCAGCACGGCTCCCCGGTGGACCCTGACCAGCACCCCGACGAGGACGACGACTTCGACGAGGCGGACGTCCACACGGGCACCACCCACCCCGCCGGCTACCACCAGCCCCTCTCGCCGGAGGAGGCCGACCAGCTGCACCGCCAGCAGTACAGCCCCACCTTCAGCGGGCTCGACAGCCGCACGAGCGGCGCCAGCTCCATCAACTACACTCCCCAGGCGGCGGCCCAGAACCGCTTCGGCGGAGTGCCCGTGCTGCCCAGCAACACGCAGTACTACAGCAGACCCCCTCCAGCGTGAACGCCGTGCCCCTGCGCACCGCCCCCGCGCCCCTCACGCAGGACAGCGGCCTGCCCTCGCCGCCCGTGGCCACCTCGCCCACCCCCTCGGTGCAGAAGTCCACGGAGGTCTAGGATCGCCGCTTCTGCCATCCGCGATCCCCAGCTGCAAAGTTCAAATAGGAGCCGCCCCGAGTAGTTACTAATTTTAAGCACCCTTCATTGCCGGAACTCTGACCCCGCCCCTTCCACCTTTCCATGGTGTTTTATGTACCACCCCACACTCTATTGCTGTACTGCTGTCTACCCGCGGCCATGACCCACAAATAACATGTAGAATAACCTTATACTTACCTAATAGTCCAACTCCGTGAAGCGAATCCTGTACGTTAAGCATAGTTCGAACGGCAACTTCATTTGTATTGCTTCGGCCCAGGTAAACAATCATCATTTTATACTGAATAAAGCCAAACACCTGTTTATAGTTGTTAACTTGTAAATAATGCTTGTATCTATTGTTCTCTCTTCCCCTGCAGCCGAATTCGATAATGCCAATTGTCACATGAAAGTTGACACTTCGCAGGGTTTGTTTTGTTTGCCATTTAGCCGCCTGTCAAATTTCTGTAATTATTTGCAAGAGCAGCGAGTCAATTGCTCTGAAAAAAGGGAGAATCGATCTCATAATACTTAGGAAGGATTTTTGTTTATACCCACTGAATATTGTCAGGACTGCAAGTTTCAAGGAACACAATCTTTTGCCTCCGTTGCTCTTTTTCCAATTGCATCGACAGTGCAAACCAAAATTACACGAAACTTACAAGAAGGCAATGGGACCAAAGCCAAGACATTAATCTTCAACTGTCACTGTGTTTTTTATTGTTGTTGCTGCCACTGCCACCACTGCCACGCCCCAGTGTTCCACCTACGCCCCCTCCATCGGAGCAGAATGTATTGTGTGCATTACGCCAGTGTCAATCAATCTTGAGCAAATTGATGGACAAGTTGCCGTTACTTATGTCTGTTTGTCCGCCGGCGAAACCATCCTCCTTCGTCCTTCGTCCTCCGTCCTCCGAGCTCTTCATCAATGCGAGAGTGTATCCTGGCGAATCCTAGTATCCTAGAAAATAGACACAACACAATGGCAGGGCGGAGCGGGCTGAAAACTAGGCGACTAGTTTCAGCCTTGAGTGGCTGGATGGATGGCGGGGAAAAGCCAGATGGATAGCCTAGATTGTTGTTTAATTTATGAGCAGTGATGGAAAGGTAACATTTTTGCAAAAAAAAGGGTATAGAGTTACGGGATGGAAAGAGTTAAAGCATGTGTGCTTTGTTTGCTAAAAAATGGGAAGGAAGTTATAAAATTTTTGGTAAATTTGTGTGAATAACCAGATAGCTCTCCAAAACAAAGTTAGTTAAGGTGTTAAAGAGTATCCAATATTTGAGCACCGAAGTATCGCCAACTGAACAGTTCCTTTCACAGAGAATCCTTTGTCTATTTTCCATTGCATACTTTTCAGGGCACGAGGAGCATTCGGCGCGGGTAGCAAGCATCTCGCTCGGAATGGTCCTGCTCATGCTGATTCCCTGCCTTTTGCTCCTGGTGTGCGGAGCGAATTATTGGATTCGCGAACGAACCGCCAGGGAGGAGGAAGAGGCGGCCCAGGCACTCCTGCCCAAATCGAAGTGGCAAAAACAACATGTAATTTGATAAGGACATTGATGAGATGCCGACGTCCTGCGATCGTGCGCTGAATAAGGATTCAGGCAATGTGGGGCTGCGAGGCTCAGATTAAATTACAGAACTTCATTTTCTAAGACAGACCTGCATCAAAGCTTTATTTATTAACCGCCTTATAACATTAAAAGAAACAGTAACAAATCAAAATGGATTTTATTTCAGCCAAAGGCAACGATGTTATTGAAAACTCTTAATTATTTATTTAAAAAGGAAAGTGAAACTCCTCCATTTGCCGCACTCATTGCAAGCCCAAGTGAATTGAAACTCACTCTCCACGATTCAGGGTTCAATGAAATATTTTTATTTGTGTCTGCGTATGTTTATCTGCGATTTACTCTTGGTTACAGTTACATATTCATTTTAGTTTAACGCTTTTAACATTTACTCATTTGTGAACAGATGAAACAGGTAATGGTCGAGAGGGGAGTGGGCTTAGTTTGATAAGCACTTTACACATCTTAGCCTTTTTACAGTACGAGTAAGTAACTTAGATTTAGCACTCAACACCTCTGCGGATCAACAAAAACAGACCAGATCTTAAGCTACGCATTTCCTTAGAAGAACATTCAGCTGAACAGTTGGATATAAGTTAGAGTATCTGCATCCGTGCACTTGATATTGCTATGAACGTATCTCCGAAGTAGGTATGTAATAACTATAGTCCATGATTTCAGAGAGAGAGACTTCCGGCGTGATGGCTTAAGAACTATAAAGCTATTTTTCAGTTATAGTAAAGTAGAGATTTGTCCTTCGTAACAACGCCTATAGATCAATGGAAACTTAAACGAACTTTGGGTCGCTCGAGTCGTCGGAGAGTCTTAGCCTATATTCTATTTCTTGTCGCTGTGCTACTGGACTTTATAACATTTATCCATGTAAATATTTGGTTGTGTTTCGGTTGTACATTTGTATAGAGTTACTTCTTGGTGCAGTTGAGTTCGCTAACAATTTTGCTTGTTTACTGGTCGGTAGCCCTGTATAGAAGTTGACGAACCAAATTATAGTACATCTATGTAGTATGTATATTCATATATCCTTTTGTTTTACTTTGGTGCCTTGTGGTTACGCTAATTTACGTTTACGGCTTACTTAAGTTGTCCCAAAAGTTGAGTGGTTTAGTTAGAATATTTGCCTTACATTGTTTCGCTCGTCGATTTATACAGTTCGAGTAATTTTGCTTTAGATTAATATAGTTACACGAAAAAGTTCAGCCTAAGAAACCATCACAAAGTAGAATCATAATAAATACATATTAACAAATTACACATTCTTTACACAATGATACACATCTACAAGGACTCACGCAACACACACTTAGATGATTTTAAACATTTTTACAGGATAATCCACAGGCTGAAACGAGAAAACAATTTAGAGCGATTTAGTGGGGGTGTTTAAAGAAGCATTTACACAATATGGAAAACAAAGATACTTTTATGTCGGTCACGAACTGCTGTCGAATACATTTCGGATATTTTATACACAGAAATTTCAAAGTCGCTGTTTACTTAAGACAGGCTCATGGAATTTTCAAGCTACTCGCTGCAGAGTTCAGAGACCTTATAATACAAAGCTTCATTTTGGTTTCTCGGGATTGCCCCTTTAAATATTACATGTTTTCTTCCTAGCCGAAGGTGATATTGCAGTGTTTTTATTTCTCTGTAGGAAGGGGCTTCGGAAATCAGAGCTCTGTTTGTTTGCTCAACCGTTTGGCCCCCGTGAGCACGCAATTCAATTTAACCCTTCACGCCCAATTACGCCGTAAAGCCGGCGCCAGGATCACAGAACTCGCAGGGCTAGCAGGAGTCGCAGGACACAAAAGGTGGAAACAGTGTCAATGTCAAAAGTTGGACTTTGGCCATGTGGAAACGCCACGGAACAAGAAACTTGGCTTGTTTTTTCGCCGGATTCTTGTTTGTTATGCCAACTGCGTGCGGGCAGAGGAGGTGTTTCGGCCACAAAACAGCCCAACTACAAAGGCGCAAACAACTTTTGATTGCCAAAAACTGGCCAACCTTTGTCGGCTGCTTTTGTTGGAGAATTTTCAAAATTTCAATCACGTAAGCAATTCCCTTTCCTTTGGCCCCAGAAAATAAAAGTTTAAAGGTCTGCCAGGAACGATTATTTATAGCACCGGTGGAGTCGGGTTTATGGCCACCTCCACTTTGCTTGCAGGCAGGGTCATCCATTTGCGGTTTGGCAAGTTTGGTATTTCAATTTGGGCGGAGTGCAAAAAATAGATGTGTCTAGGTAAACTGTTTACTTTATTGCCCGTATAAAGATAATGTTGTTTAGACACTTTTAAAGCCTTGCTTTTATATTTTTTAACGTTGATAAGGGACCCTTTAAACACACCATTTGTTCGTTGTGACCGGGAAATGAATAAATGAATCGACGGTGTCGAAAGAATGGAAGGGCAGTTGATGGTAATTGCACATGCATGTTAACCACGAGCCGCTGACAGCATCCTCTTTCCTCTTCCCCTCCCCCCTCTCCACTCCACTCTTCCCACTTGCAGATCCTGCTGACACGCTAAGCAATTTAACAATTTTACAGACAATTAAACAACAACATCCTCGAGTCCTCGGCTGTCCTTCGGCCGAGCTGTCATTGAATCGACTACGACGACAAAATGGCTAAAATGTACTTGCATCTAATGCTCGACCCCCGTTCCCCCGTTCCCCGCCCCCTTTCCCCTGCCCACATGAAATATCGATTAGTTTAATGTGCAAAAATAGCAGCAAGTGTTTCTTTGGGGGTCATCCTGCCACGCCCCTGCCCCAGGACGACCGCAAATACATAGAGCATACACATGGGAATTTTCAACAAATTGAATTAAAATTGTAAATATCGCATCCGAGTGTTGCCTCGAACTTTATGGCCCCACAAATCAAATGCACGAAGGTGGTTCGAACGTTGTCCATACGCCCCGTGGACACTCTGTGCCCAAAGAGAATGTTTGAGTGCCGTGGAGAGTGGCGGGGGAAATGCCAACCTTGCGCCCCTCTGCTGTCTGAAAAGTTTACGCCTTTTGTCGGTCAGAGCGAAAAAAGGAGCAGAGCGGCTGGAGGAAATGCGTTGGGCGAAAAAATAGCGGCGGGAAAAGTGAATCGAAAAATGGTCCACGGAAATCCATGGAAAGTTACCGATTCTGATGTTGCGGCAGGATCGAAGATTGCTTTGTTTCCCTTTTTTCAAGCTTACTGTTTTCGCGGCAAATTGCACTCTATTGGATTCAGAAAGCAAAAAACTCGAGTTCGCACACTCGATTTCCTGCGTTGATAAGAAATATTTATTTGCAGAGAAATAAATGTTTTCCCAGGTGAACATTCCTTTTAGAAAATACTACAGACCACAGACTCCAATTAAATGTTAAATCTTGCCAAAACATTATTGGCTTCGATTGGATTCTCCCCGCCAGAGTTAGCATAGGAAAACCCTCCTGCAGGTGAAACATAATACGAATGCATTTAGTCCTGAGTATCCTGAGTACCCCACTGTCATAACAGCCAGGACTTCCGAAGGAACCTTACGCACTGCGATGCGAACTGTGCAAACAACCAACCGGTTAAATTGGTATGGTAAACCCGCCTCAAATTGATTTGTTGTTGCACTTGATTTGCCGGTCGAGTGGGGGCGTGGCCAGGTTGCAGCGGTATGCAAATGAACGGCATCGAAGTCGTCCTGTTTGCCCAGGAACTATTTGCGGTGGAGGAGGTAAGGCAAGTCAGTTAATGTTGCTATCTGTCTGCAGCTGAACGCTTGCCTGTTTGCAATCGTTCCAACTTTAATTGAAATTAGTGCCGAGTTTTCGATTAAGCCACGCCTCGCCCGTTTGCCTCTTTCAATGTTGTCTGCCTGTGACAATGGACAGGGTCCTGAATTTTCCATGTCCTCGGTGCAGTTAAATTACCCGGGAGCCCATACATGCCGAATGAATACCTGCCGGAATGCCCTGCATCCCTGTTTCATTTATTAATAAAGCAGCCGAGCCAGGCAATAAAACTTTGTGCGCCCTCTCCTTTGCGAAGCTGACAGTCGACAGTAATCTAAATAGGAAAACTTTCACGTCGGCTCCCGAAAACTAAGCAAGCTGGAAAAACTTTTGCACAACACAATTTTCCAGCCTTCGGATTCCGTTAGCTGGGCAAAGAGATGGGATAATTCAATGAGGAGCGGGATCCTTTGACTGCCGAAAGTGGGCCAACATGTGAGTAATATAGTCGGAACTCGCAGGTCAACCCTTTTGGGGCACGTGGCGTATGCGTAACTCATCTGCCGGGCTCTCATTATCGCCTCATCAGCCTTATTGCCGTATAAGCGTTATTGTGTCGCACAATTTGGCTTTCTTTTCTTGTCCTCCCCCAGTTCATCGTCGCAGAAGAGTCGCCTTGGGACCCCGAGTAGAAGAGAAGCCTTTGCCTCTGACATTTTGTCGTCGGCTCATCGCAATCATAATTTCCATCTTTATGAATTTTAAATGAGACAGGGACCGGTCTTCTCGGTCTGCTCCGTTTGCTCCGTCTTCTGCCTTGCAGCTGACAAACTTTGCACGCCTGTCACTGGGAATTCAACTAAATTTTTAATAAGGTGCCCGGCCTTGGGTGCCACGCCCAATTGTCGCATAAGAGCTTATGCCGTATTTAGTCGGGTAAATATTTATTTGATTGGTATTTTCTGCGATATCCGGATTTGTGTGTTAGCGAGCCAGGAAACGGAAATTGTGCGAGGTCGATGGCAGCAGCATTTATTTTCATATTCCCAGCGATGCGGAAATGTAAAGAAAAATCGTTCTTTTGTTGCGGCCCGAATAAATTTGCTCCCGCTTATGTACATACTCTATACAGTATCTGTCTGGCGGATGATAAATGGTTCTCAAGAGGAGCTGATGAGGCGCGATGGAGGCTCATTAAAGCTGATGGATAATTCAGTGAGCACACAGCTGCATTAAACTTGTAATGATCATTGAAAATCAAACTAAACTTTTGGCACTGTTTTAATTTTCTGTTAATCTACATCTTTTGAAAGCTTAGCTGCAGGGCAAGAAGCACTGCAATCGAAGGCGCCGCTCATTAAAAATAATTACTCAGAAGTGGTTTGTATGGCCAATGCATCTCTCCACAGAAGGTCTTTAAAGGGGCCAACTTAGATGTGGGACACGGAGAAACCAACCACCGCATCCCCCAAACGACTTCCCTTACAAACGGGCCGGATGTAAAGAATAAATAAGACTAAATAGGAAAAATTATGAGCGGGCGAAGAGGGAGGGAGCGGAAACAAGCTGGCAGGATTACTTGGGGCCACCAAATCAGGCAACTTTTTTATGGGTATTTTCCACTTTTTATTTCTGGCTCCAATGAATTTCAATGAGCAACGAGCAACAAGGGCGCCCCAGAAACGTTCTGATTTATTAAAAATGCTGGACCATATTTCGGAGCATTTAATTAGGGAAATTTCGTATCTGTTTTTGCTGGGTGCAGGCGTAAGAACTAATCAATGTTAATCCATTTCTAACGAGGCATCGTTAGGGACCCAAAAATACATACGCCCACAATGCCTCCAGTTGAATGGCATCATCAAAATGCCTGCCAACTTCCCAGTCATCAAATTGCATGCCAACTTGTTGTTGCCGCTGGCATTTAACGATAATGTGAGCCATATCGAGGCCATAAGCAGATATATATAACTGGAGGATAGACAGATATGTGTGCACTTAAAATGCCAGCCGGAAAATTGGGGCAGCCGAATTTCCTGCAAGTCTTCAGCTTTTCTGCTGCGGCATGCTACTTAGCTTATATTCGAATGGGTTTCTGAGGGGGCGTTTAATGCGATTTCATTACGCTTTGTGACATTGTATATTAAGCAAAGTTTTTGGTAAAAATAGAATCGAGGGGTGCTAGCAACATTTTGGGAACAGAATATTGGACTTCCCTGTTCTGCGGTTAAAGTTTTCCCCTCACACAATTAAACAAAATAACAATGCAGTGCTCGAGCTACAAAATTAACTTAATATGATACAAAATGCTGCCAATGCAAGTTGGAATAATATTTAAACATCTTATTTTGACCGCCCTCGCAGTGGTATTTCCTTCGGATTTCCAGTGCCTTGAGCTGGCTCGCCGTTTGCTCATGTCAAATATTTGTTTTCAAAATATGTGCTAAATTCTATGCACAACGCAGTCCCCCGATTAACCCGAATATGCTCCTTTCTGCGGTATTTCTGGCTGAAATAGAACTGTGCGCTTGCAGCTCGGCTGGCCAAAACTTTGTAAACAAAAACACACACAGGATAAATGCCAGCGAGTGAGCTGGAGGATAAAATGTGGGCGGGGGCGTGGCAGGACGAAGGGCTTTGCGCTTTCGCTGGCTGTGTTGACAAAATCCCTCCGAGTTCGAGAGAGAGATATATTTAACTGTTTGGCATATTATGGCTTTTATATTGAGTTGTTTTGGACTTATCTAGTTTACTGCCGAACGGATTGGCCCGAACGGGTTGACACTTGTCCCGGCACAAAATATTCTTTATGGCTGGCATTAGAATTTGTCGAGATAAGGCCACTGAAAGTCTCAAGCTAATTTTCTGCGACCCAAGTGCTTCACATGATAATGGGAAATAAATTACGTGCACAGAAAGTTTTAAATGGCTTGGAATTAGATCCTATGAAGAACAGGCTGTTTATATATCAGAACCAGTAATTATAAAATGTATAAGTTTGCATATAAATTTGGCTTTCAAAGTGGTTATCTGTTCCATTTAACTGCTCCGAGTGTCGAGTGATTGGTTCGCAGTGTAGACACAAGAAATGCAAATCATTTGTAAAGTGACTCGGCTAAGTGGTTGGCCTGGTCGGTTGGCTTGAACGGTTGCAGATAGGAGGGCATTAACATAAATTACCTTGCACAACGATCTGAGGTTCCTTGGGCTCCGGCCGCATCGTGCCAGCAGCAACAATCACACACTGCCGGGCTCATACGCACACACATTCGACGGGGTTGCAGGACGCAGGATGCAGGATGCGGGATGACAAACACAAAGGCATAGAAATGAAGTGGTTAAGTGGTCCAAGGACCTGCAGATTTGGCCGCAAACACTCGGACAGATGGAGTCACGCACTCAGTGGCAACTTTGCAGGATGCTTCAGCAGCAGCAGGACGAGTCCTTGCCCTTCTCCTATGTGCCCCCTGCCCCGGCGGACGAGGTACGTGACACGCTAGCGTGTCCTGCCGCCCTCTGCGCGGTCGCCCCGATGGGCGTGGCCCCGCCCGCCGTCGGCGTTGTGGGTGGCAGCAGCGGCGAGTCCAGACTCCCGTTTCCCCCGCCTCCGGTCGTCGAGGAGGCGCCACCCAAAACGCTGCTGGTGGCACGCGTCAGGAACCAACAGTCCATGGGCGTCGGCTTGCCCTTCATGACGACGGGTCCTCGGTACTCCAAGTGGAACGAGTCGTCCTGGTTGATCGCCAGACAAAGGAGTCTGAAAAGGCAGAAAAAAATTAAGATACTTTGTTACAGCTTTTAGTTTTTTCGAACATTTGGGTCCTTGGAAAAGTTTGCTTGATGTCTTTTAAAGACGGTAGGGCATTCCTTTTATTACAAGTTGGAAAATTTATTTCCTAGTTTTTGTAAGTGTTAGATTTGAGAAATGGGACTGCTACATTGTGCACATAAATTTGAGTTACGCAGTTAAGCGACTGAGCTTCCTCAGTTGCAATAATGCACTCTGAATGATGTGTATCTCAGGAGCCATATTTTTTTCAATCTCCACAGCAATAAATTTCGGCCGCCCTGTAGCTCAGCTTTTAGATTGCATCGCCAGAAATTATGTAAATTCGCTTACGCGCTTTATTTGCCCGCACTGAACGGAAACGGAATGAAAATTTCGCCTGGCTTTTGTGCGTTTCCGCTTCCGGTTGGCCAGACCGCAGTCGCACATTATTGCGTTTATTCGGGCTCATATATTTACGGCCATCCACCGCTGATTGCATACGCATTTAATTCAATTTATTCGCAGCCTTTGTGGCATCGGACGGCCAGCATATGGCCGCAATTGCATTGCCCTTTTAATTATCGCTCAGGTAGCTCTGATCAGGTGAAAACATGGCAGTGTTTCCCAGGGCAACCAGCACAAACATCGCTCAGTTTTAATGGACTTGAGTTAATTACACAGATCCGCATGCCCTCCAATATTTATTTGCATATGCGATTAAGGCGAAGGACCTGAAAAGTCCTGCCAGACTCGATTATCCCAGCCATCATCCCTCCGGATCCTGTGTGCGTTCTTAATTAATGTTTATGGCAGCGCTTAAACATTTACCCAACGCTTAATTGTCAGACCAAATATTAAACGTGTAAATATTGCGAATAATGGAACGAGTGCCTGAATAATTTATGTACGTGGAAATTGATATGTGCCGCATAAGCAAAAAGTAATTGGGAAAAGGGCTAGAAAAACATGTAAACAATGCTCGATTATTATTTAAAATTGCGTGTAAATTCGTGACAGCGGGAAATTTACATTTTAATTGAAGCGGTATTTTAAATGTAATTTGTTTTGTTTATCGCGTAAGCTGCAAGAATAGTTTTTTAATAATTTAAGAGAAACAAGCAAAAACCTTTCCCAAATAAATTGCTTTAAAATCACTTTTTCCATTTATGGCCAACAAAATGTGAGTGAAATGTGTGCATTGTTTTAAATAGATAAAAAGTCACAGCTGTTGGCCTTATGTTTATGAAACGCGTATTAAATACTTTAATGCTCTCTGTACAAAAAGAGAGGAGAGAAGCCCAAAGAGAAAGAGAGAGTAGGTGAACAGCTGAGCGGTCTTAGAATTTCGACCTTATTTGTTTAGTTTTTCTGCGGCAGATGAGCGGGGTGGAAAATTGTGTGTGAGCTGCGTGCGGTGAATAAATGGTTTGGAAAATACGATGAAAATTCGCAATGAAATCAACGTTTTAGCCAAGCCCAATCGAATCGATTTCGATTGAGCACTTGAGTGTGATTCGGTTTTTGAAGTGCCCATAGAAACACACTTGTCGGCTGGTTTTCAAACACCTGTTTGCCGATTGCTTAGCATGTGAAGGGAGGGAGTCTTTCATTAATTAATTGATACCTCTTTGAAGTGATATGAAGTGTATTCAAAAAGCATAGGTACGCAGCATAAAGTGTAGATTTGTGTTTTGTTTTTTCAGGAAATGTAATTTCTAATTACTTCTGCCGTATGTTTATTTGTTTACGTTTGCACAATGTTCTCCCAGCACATCGTTGCCAGCTGAAAAAAATCGATAACAAAAAGAGAGTAATTTCTCACCCTTGATTGTTCGGAATGCTCTCTTTTGTGCACTGTGCCTCTTTGGCTTCATCCGTTCGGAGTTATTGTGGAAACGGAATTCAAATCTTTCGGAGGGAAACCTTTTTTATTTGAAAATATTGGCCGTCATAAGTGAATAAATCTTTAATTGCAATATGCTTTTGCAGTTGCTAGAGGCTTTTCAGCGGCTCGTAAGTCAATTAAAAAGTCAATTTGTGTGGGTTCGCTGCTGGTTGCCATTACCACGGCACTTCTACGGATTCCGGCGGGAAACTGAGTCACGGACTCGGCTGCGCTTACGGGTGCGGGAACGACTGCGCCGGGAGCCCCACGAACGGGCCAGTCACCAGCGGAACCGGCGGACGTCGCGCCGCCACCTGGTCATGGACTACATCTTCGAGTGCTTCTTCGACGACACCTTCGCCCAGATCTCGCGGAACGGTCTGCAGGACCGCCAGTCGCGGCGGGATGTCCTCGACCACCTGAGCTCCATCATCAGGGGCTGCAGCGAGGGGCAGAACGCGCAGACGGAGGAGGTGGCCGCCATCGCCGTCACGTCGGCCATGAGGTTCCACCGACTGGCCAAGGAGCAGAACGGCAAGGTGGGTTCACCGGAACAGCAGTGCAGCAATGAAATAGTTTAAATCAAAGTGAACTACACAGATAATATTTGTAGTTTTCACTTGCTCACAGCTTTTAATTAACTTTTCATTGCGGTTCCAACTCTACTGCACTCCACTGTGTATGTTTTCCTTCCATTTCCCAGGTCTGCCTGATGGGCAAGTATCACAACATCCTGTACATCGCCCTGCGCACCTGCTGGGATTGGGGAGTGCGGGATTCGGAGGTGGTTGTTCAGCTGCTGGGTAAATAAACTGGGAACTGGGGCCAACTAAATAATTTAATTTATGTGCATATGTATGCGGTGGGGCATTCCCGAGCGCTGCCTGTGTGTGTGCGTGTGTGTGAGAGTGCGTGTGTGGGCGTTCGGGGCGTGGCCGTTTGCATGTTTTAATGAATTTTATCCCTCTGCATCGGATTATTACGCCCATAAGCAGGCTCAAGCAGGCAGTTTTCACTTTAATCACGTGTTCCTGCTAATTGCGTTAAGAAAGTGTTGCTAATGTTGTTTTGTTGCCGTTGCTCCGTTGTCGTAAAACTTGTAAAGTGCCTTAAAGTGTTGCAAGCTATTTGGGGCGCATGTACACTGGCTGTCTCTAATTAAAAGGCTGCGTAAACTTTTGCGAGCGGAGAGTGGCAGAAATTAATGGCATGCCTCTGTCATGGGATCTGGACTCGTGTGCAATAAAACTTGCTCCTTGTTTGTCCTGTCCCCACTTGCTCTGTTGCCGAGCCCGGTTCTCAGGACCCTTGCTGTTGGCTTGGCAAACATTTCGGCCAGTTTCCGCTTGCCGCTTTCCACTGACTTCATTTCTGGCTCTGCCGCAATTCCAAGGAAACCGAATACCGAAAACCGAAAACCGGGAGGCCAAAAGAGTCGGCCAAGCAGCAACAAGTGCAGCCACGTAATTAGCTTTTTTATGGCTGCCGCCGCTCCGATTTGATGACATTATTAAACCTCTTTCCCCACTTGACTTAGTATAAGAAAAAATGTTTAAAAAAAGGGGATTTCGTTTTGTTTATGGAATAATCCTTAAAAACCGTTCTTTATCTCAGCATTTTAACTTGTTTTTTAATTTTCTCTCTCCACCCCACTTTTTCTTTGTGAAATATAGTGGCCATTTATGAGTGTGAGAAAACATATGAGCGGATTTTCCTGGGCGCCCTCTTTGGCCCTCATGCCCCGCACTTCATCGCCGGCTGGCGCAGTGACTTCCAGGACCAGGTGAGAATCTGACAGCCCCCGAAAGCCCCTCCCCTCCCTTTGGGATAGACACCCATGTAAGTCCTTTGTTCGCAGCACGAAAATGTCCGCGCGATGGTTTACTTTCTGAAGCACGCCACACGCGAACGGCTCACGTTGCCCGTCTGGATTCCGCGCTTCGAGCAGGAGCAGCAGCTCAGGTGAGTCCTCATCCTTCCTCGCGTTGACTTTCTCCGCCTTTTCTGCTTTCTCCGCCTGGCTTTCTCGTGTCGCGCTCTTTCGCTGCCTGCAGCAATTTCACACTAGCCGGGTTAATTGGACGGTTGGCCAGCTGACATGCGAGGCTTTCTGTTCCCCAGAAGAGATTTTCAACCTGCTTGTTTGTTCCACTTTATGGTTTTTAAATTCAGAAGAGTGTCTAATCCAATTTTGGTGAAAACTAGAGAAAATCTATCATTAAAATCTGAAGACCTCTCAAGAGTGTCTTCTTAGTAGTGCTACTAAGACAGTGTGGCAGCCAGCAGCAGTTTGCCAACCTTAATTGTTGGCTCGTTTTCGTTCACACAACAATAAGAGACTATAAATAACCCCCGGGAATACACAGAGTGCAGAGTAACCAGAGAAATGAAAGGATTTTAATTAAATTAATACATCAGCCATTGTTGTGGTGCTCGCTAGGTGTGTGCGCCTGTGTGTGTGTGTGTCTGTGTGTGCCATAATTGAGTGAAAGATGGCGACAATTTACAACCACAGTCACGACTACGAATACACTCTCGCAGAGAATGGTCCTCAATCACTGGCGGTTGCCTTCTCTCACTTCTGCTGGTGTCATGTATAATTAAGATTTTCATTTGCAGTATGCCGGGGTTTTCCCATTTTCCGCCTTTCCCATATGCACATGGAAGTGTGGGGATGTGGGGGTGTGGGCGTGTCTCTGATGCGATAAGCTGAAAACCAACAGGCAGCGATGTAAACCTTTTGTTATTTCGGCTTTGTTCGCCAGCACTCCGGAGGATTAAAGTCAAAAATGCGTGTAATAAGCGCACAAAAGCATTCTCTCAACCCCACCACGCCCACTAATCCACACAGATACACCCCGCCCCTTCGGATACACATACTCACACCACCGCCGAGCTGACTGTTTGCGCTTCTTAAACAAACAGAAGGCAAAAAACTGACTGGCAAACATTAAGAAGACATTTATGATGCCCTCTCGCAGAACAGCAGCCAAAGTCATGAATAAGCGTTAATAGCTGCAAATGTATGTGTGGGTGGTGGTGTGAGGTGTGTGGGTGTGGGTGTGTGTGCGAGTGTGATTGTGATTGTGAGTGAGGAGCTGTGAAAAACAAGCAATGTGACAATAAACGTTTCGGTCAAATGGCGTTGGAGCTGCATAAATCAGTGCTGAAGCAGCATATTGCTAAAGTTTCCCCAGCACAGTGAACACTCGTGTGGAGAAGCGGAGTTAAAGCTTAGCAAAAATGTATTAAATGCAAAAGAAAAGAGGAGAGGAAAGCTAAATAATAAATATTCGAAATTACGAAGTCACAAAGTGTGGTTCATGATTAAGTTATAACTAAATTGTCATGTTAGTGCCATGAAAAATGAAAAATGCATGATTGCACTCAGTTATTGCACAGCTTAAGTGGCTTATAAAGCTAGTTTCACTATTCCAATGGCTTTGTCATAATCCAGGGCTAGTCCACCTGCTGACTTAATGACACTTTAAATTATTTATGGCCTCCCCGAATGCAAAGCACTTTAAACTGCACAATTTAATAACTCCAACAATTTTCCGGGGCTTAAAGCGCAGAAGAACATTGTCGTTAAACCCCAGCTAATACTTAGCTAAGCAGTCCATTAGACAGAAATTGGACTGTCAGCCCGCTCGTCGGCTGATTAAAGTGTTAATGTTTGATTAAGGGCCAAATCATTTCCGACTGGCGGGAACATTCGAACCCCGAGGTGTTATATTGGGCCATTGAGGAACCTGTCACCGGGATGCGATTGGCGAATGTCTTGATTCTAGCAGGGACCCGCTTTTATCGCTGCCAATAAAACGCAAATGAATTTGCCAAGCCAATTTCCCAGCTGTCAGTGGATGTTGGCTCAAAATGCGCTTATCGTCTGCTCATGTGGGTTACTTCCGGTTTATTGTGGTTTCTGCTCTTTTATTTGCCTACTTTTATGCGTAGACATAAAAGCCAAGTGTGTGTAGGTGTAGCTGTCGGTGTGTGTGTGTGTGTGTGTGTGTTGGAGTTCGTGTGGGCGAACTGTGTCGCAAATGTGCTTTAAGTGCATTGTACATGCTAATGCCTGGATGGAGACTAACGCCCTCCGCTCACACAACATATTACGTATACGCCATGTGAGGCTGCAGGCACAGCGAAAAATGTGTGCACTTCAAGAATTAAAAAAAAGCCAAAGATGTAACTTAAAAAATGAAAGAAAATTTATCATTTCCAACAAAAGCTTTCTTTGCACACTCGTGTATTTATTTTATGTATGTATGTATGTATTTTAGGCATTAATTTATGCACTAGGAGTAGTTTTTCTTTCTGTGATATTTTTTCTCCGACGGAAGGGCGATGAGCAACAAGCGAGCAGCTTAATTGAGGTCTGGCACTAGGCCAGGCTCATTTTCCCGGCTCCTGGGCGTCCTGCTAATGTGCGCAGGCCATTTTGATGCTTGTCGCCCATTAAGGCGGCCACAAAGAGGGCCTAAACTTAGCTTTCTGGCTCTGAAACTGACTTAACCGAATCCGGCACTTTGTTCCCTCTTTTTGCAGATTCATCGATGTGCCCATCGAGTCCTGTGGGAAGTCGTCGCCCCTTCGCATCGCCCTGCAGGCAAACGCCCCCGAAATGCTGCTCATACTGCTGAGGTAAGTCGTGTCCTGGGAAAAGGACTTCCGCAGGGGGAAGGTGGGAAGGTGGGGTAGCGGGGGGTAAAGTGCCAGCGACTGCCACTTCAATTAGCGCGAAATATGCAAAGCGGTCGCCACTTGGCGGCGCCGCAATGTATGCAACATAAAATACAAGACGCTTAGCATAAGCAAGTGCTCGCGTTGCCACAAGAAAGGCGAGGAAAACGCAAGGAGAAGACAGAGGAAAGAAAAGGAAAAATTATCATTAAATATGAAAGTCGCTGCCAGAGCGAATTTGCATCACAAGGCGGTCTCCGACGAGTCTCATGGTCCAAAAAGCAGCTTGTAAAAAGTTACGAGCATGCACTTGGGTCCTCAGCCGAGATTCATAAATTTATACGTAAACGCCTGCAGTTTCGACTTTGTCCCTCGTCCTTGACTTTCGCCGTCCCGCCAATTTATTGTTTCCTAACTTGATATTGCTGCGGCCACGCCCCTTGCTGTCCTGCATCCCGCCCATCCATTTTGTTCGGCTCCGGTTTCAATTTTTGATGCAGCGCCAAAAAGGATGGTTTGCATAAAATGCGAGTATTGATTGCGACCCAAAAGGCGAGTCACAACAAAGTTTCTGTCGGCAAGTCGCGGCTGAGATGCTCGGCTGTCAGAGTTTATGTCAAAGTCTGGCGGAAGGCAGCTTGACTGCACAAGATCAAGATTTTTACAAAAATTTATTCAATTTCCGCAGCGTCTTGGTTTGAGTGGCATATTTTATGTGATTTTTCTAGGACTCAGTTACAGCTCTTGAAGCTTCGTAAACTTTTTAATTTGGTATGCTGACAGGGTTAAAAGATGTTCTTAATATTCATAGGTTCCTTCTTTCGAAGGGTCTCACTGTACTTGACCTTGTAAAAACATGATTTTGTTTAGAACTGCGCCCAACTCAGCCTCCTCCAAAAAAAGACCTTAATATCGTTGCCAAATTAAATTCCGAATAATTTCTTGGGGAATTCCTAACGCCCCCCAACAATTTGCAACATTATTTCCCCCTTTGTAATCCGACGAAATTAAAAGTGAATTCCTCCCCTCAAAAGGGGCGCAATGCGGAAAGAATTCGCATTATGAGGCGGAGGCCAACTGCGGATCCAGTATTCAGCATTCAGCATTCAGAATTCACTGGGAGATTGAGATTCCCGCCAGCTGTGCTGATTGCACCAAGCAAATTGCAATTGCAATGGCTTCGATTGATGGCAAATGTTTGAGTTTGGCTTGCCAATTCCCCGATGGCCGATTCCCCGGAGGTTTCGGGAGGTGGCATTGCCTGTTTTGCTGATGCTTTCTGTTTCTGCGTCGTCGCCTTTCCGCCTGGAATGATTTTGATTCAGATGCGGCTGCCGTTCTTTCGAGTTACTGATGCTGATGCGGCCATAAATTTTCGATATTGTTTGGCTTTTGTGTTTTAATTTTTGCTCTCCTTTCGCTTTGCTGCACTTTCATTTGAAATTGGCCATAAAATATGCAAATGAAAGCGGCGAGATCTGCTCCTTTTCCGCTTTTCCTCGATTCACTGCCCAATTGTGCTACTGGTGCATAATTGCGCATACGCCGTGTGGCGTGTGACGTTGTTTGATGGCGAAAAGACAATATTTGTATGACGCCGGTGGTAAAACACCAAATAAATAACCGAAACATATAAATTACAATGCTTATCGGTCGGAAAATGAGAAATGCAAATGCGGTCGAAGGGAGATTTTTGACAAGCAGTTTTAATTTAAAATATGACAGCTCTACTGGTGGAATTCGCCATTTGCACTTCATTAACCTTTTATTTATAAGGTCTGTTAATGCAAGGATCCCCTAACATATCAGAAATATTACAAAACATATTTTAAGTTTTTTATATAAATTTTTTATAATTATATATAAATAGTAGAAGGCACGTGTAGTAGTACAATTTAGTTCACTGTTTCTCTCTGTGTAATTGTTCTCTGTGTCTGTGGGTGTGCTCTTGTGCAACTGACACAACCGCGAGCCATGTCTGTTCATTATTTCATTTGTACATTGTGTTTATCGGGGCATCTAGCATTTATTGCCACGCCCCCGCCCCTCGTTCTCCCCTTCTGACCGCAAGCAAACCAACTACGTGCTGGCAGCTTGTATCTCATTTGCAACAGTTGCCCACTCCCCTCCGCCGCCACGCCCCCTAACCACCTCCGCCCTCCGAATGCATTGCAGATACGGAGCAGCGCCGCAACCGCCGGACGGAGGCGCCTCTGTAATTATCGCGCTGCTCGACAAACTCATCGAGGACGGCCGCAATTACAGCTTCGAGCTGGTCATGTGCCTGAAGATTCTGCTGCGCAATGTGGTCATGATTGAGATGCCCTTCAAGGTGAGTCGCTCTGCGCGGTTTAGGGTTTGTCGAGGGCTTAACAACTCCTAATGAATTCCACTTCCTTTCAGCCCCTTTTGTACGCCGCGCGGAGGGAGATGTTCTTCGATCGCTACGGCCGCCTGCTGATGGACAGGATAATTGGCAAGGAGCAGGTCTACGGAGTGCCCAGCCTGCGTCACTTATGCCGGTAATTATGAACCTTGAACTGTCATTCTGTCTCCATCATGGGATCGGACGGGGGAAACTCCTTCGGACACTTGACTCTGGAAGCAACAATGAGCTGCCCACGTCCTCGGAAGGAAAGGAGATTAGGGCCGGGAGAATGGAGTCTGACAGCCATAATAAGTTTCGCTTTTATTCAATTACTTTGGCTTGGGTCCGCCACGCTTGCTTAACTTCCTGCGGGGCAGACAATTCGGCGATAAGCCCGAAAAATGAAATAAGCATGCGACAGGAGCCCAGCTGACTGCCTGAATGGCTGACTGGCTGACACACTGACAGTCTGTCCGAACCTTAAGTTGACAAGTTTTCCTCGTCCTGCCTCCTTTGTCGTGGGCTTAGTGCAAGTTTCGCCCTCCGAAGTCAGGGCCGAAACTTGGTCACAATGTAGTCAAATGTCAGGCCGAGTTAATGAATTAAATCGAGGCGAACTTCTGCCACTTTGATCGGTGTTTGGTCGACAAGTTTCTTCGGGCAGTTTTAATTCGATAAGTTGACGTCTGCTATTGATAAGGCTTGAATGCGGGACCCAATGTGCGGGGTCCTGGCACATACGAGAGTGTGCCATTATTTGCCAAGCACTCGCAAATACACAAATACCCTCGTATTTGCCCGCTCGCTCACGTGTCGCAAAAATGTCCATTGACTTTGGCTCTTCTTTCAGCTGGGAACCCGTTTGCCAGCTTGTTTGCCAGTCTGTTTTTTCTGGCCAGTGTTTGCGGTGTGGAAACTCGCGCTCTTGGCCTGCATTTCCCACAGTAAGGCTTTGCACACTTCACGAAATATTTTAAATAGCCTCATTAGCTTAAAAGCTTTTATATTTTATGGAATCCCTAATGGATTTTTTTGTATGCAAGCAATCTTTTCGATTATATATTTCTAATGCTATTTTCCTAAGATGGACGTCTTGACTTCTCTCCCCCTTATTTCCATATACTTTTTGTGCTCTTCACACGATATTTCCCACTGTATTCGCAATTGAGTTGGCGTCCACTTGACGAGGCTTCAAGTACAACTGGGTTTTCTTGCACTTGATATGTATGGTCTGCGGCAGGTCCTTTGGTCTCTTGGCCAGCCATTTGTGAATTCAATTTATGCAAATCTCCTAGCCCGCACTGAATGCATGCATAACGCATTACACTCCGCATTGGCCCCGAAAAGCGACTTCAGTGTGGGGATTGCCTTCAAAGGCGAGTGCGTTGCGCATACGCCCCGGTGTCCCGACTTCCGGAGTGGCGCCCACAAGTAGGCAAAGTTTTTGTTCCTTTTTTATGGCTGCTCAGCGGCTTCCGCCTCATCTTTATTTCCCCTAGGCGGTGTCAGCTTGCTTTATTGATTGGTCGAGTTTGTCGGTGGCCATAAAAAGGCCAAAATATTGCCACGACAGGGAAACTTGACAGCGTAAATTAACATGGACATAAACTGCGGAGTTCCTGGATGGATCTCCCCGGCAGCCGATTAGCATGTTGTTAAGCTCCCTGCGTTTTATGACGTCAATTTGCGGCCCCCTTTCCAAAGAATTTTGGACAAGCTACGAAGAAGGCACTTTAAAGCAGGCTCCCCACTTTCCCTACTTTCGCCCGCTGAAGGGGAAACTTTCCAAAAGCTTTCACTGCGCCTCTAAGTGGAAGGGCCAAAAAGAATCCGCTACCAATATCCGCTACTTTAACTTCCTCCTCTAGTTTGGCAGGCAACTTTAGTGAAAGTTCCTGCCGTTTTTTTTCTTCGCCCGCCTTTCACCCACGAGAAAAGTTTTAAGCACATGAACTTTGTTAGCTGCGCGGATTTCTTTCCTCGCCGTATGAGCTCATTGTGCGAACTTAAATTAATTTATGAAATATCCCGCTGAGATTGACAGGAGCAGTGCCGAAAGGCATGCAGTCGCCAAGAAGTCTTCAGCAGCCCCCAAAAAAAAATGAGTGGCCGGCAAACTATTTTCTACTATTAACTATTTAATATTTAAGGTTCGGATTAAAATTAAAATGTCGTAAAAGTAGTCACATGATATATTCCTTGTTGGATCCGCTAAGTATATAAACTGATAATAAACTGTATATCGCCTTTGCAGCTGCTGCATTCGCGACGTCCTGCGGGAGCACAACCAACTGCCCAATGGCATCGACACTTTGAGGCTGCCGAAGCGCCTGCAGCGCTACGTGGATCTCACCGAGGAGCTAGAAGGACCCGAGGCGCAGCCGGAGGAGAGGGACCAAGGAAAGCCCGTGCCCAGGAGCAAGGAGAGAGGCCAGGTGCTGCGGCTGGAGACCATCAGCAGTGCGACTGAGAGCGAGGACGAGAGCGAGAACCATGTGCAGCTTCTGCAGGCCGTCACGGAACCGGAAAAAGCCGCTTTGGCCGCCTTTGTGGCCACCGGCGACGGGGCTTATACGGAGGAGGCCAAGCAGGCGGCGGTGGCCGCCTACGTGGCAGCCAGTCCACCGGACTTTGATCCCGATTTTCCGCCAATTTCCCTGCCCGGGGGAGCCCAGGTAGCCGAGCTACCTCAGTGGATCAGCACTCACCGGTAGGTTTCCTCGCTGACGTTGATGCGGCCCGGAACGCCGGTTGTCTCCGTCCGGCTGGTTAGGTTGACCGTGTTTCCGAAAAGACAGTAGCGCGGCACCCGGTTGCCAATCACTCCGGTCACCACTTCGCCGGAATGGATGCCAATGGTGATTTGCTGAAACGGGACCAAACATAGAACTTTAAGGCTTAGAAGTGTAGGAGAACTTATCTAGAAATAAACGGGGCCTCGGCCTAATTTATAATCTTTGCAAGCGAATTTATCTGGCTTCGCAGGATCTTAAAAGGGCACTTCATTGCGCTAATAAACTTTCGCCGGCTGGAGTCCCATCATCAACACCCCGAAAAGTTGCCAACCGCAACGGAATGTAGCTGGAAAAACCAGGCGAAAGTTGCCACAATTACTTTCCAAAAACTTGCTGCAGCAGTACGAAAAAGTTTTCTTTAATTAAATTTAAAACGAAATGAGCGGCGAGCCAAGAGAAAGAGCAAGTCCCAATTTCGCCCACCAAAGGTCCTTGTTAGTAGGTGACGATGCTGAATTCCGAGGGAGAGTCCGTGGAAAATGCAGAGCCGGGAGAATATGTGCAAATGGGTAAAGTGCCAACAGTTCGCAGATAAAAGCGAAGGACGAAAGTTGTAATTACCAGAAAAACATTACATAAAACTAATTGCCAAGGCGGCGGAGTGCGATAAGCGAAAAGTACCCAACTTCTGGGAACTGAGAGCTGAGAACTGAGTGTTTCTCCAGCTGAATCAAATCGAATCAGGGCACTGCATTGCCAATGAATCATTCATCGGCCAGTGCCGACCACAAGTCAATCACTCAGTTTTCCTCTGATTAAGTAATGAAAAAATTGAGAAAACTTTCGGTTTGGTTGCGAACTACGGAATAATTCACTCTTTGTTTGCACATTCAAAAAATCGCTGATGCATGTTCTAGTTTCTGTTTGTATGTGTACTCCCCTTGGCTTGATAAACATTTTTGATGAAGGAAGGGAGAAGTTACAGAACACATAGCTCGACCTAATAATAATTTAATACAGCTTTCTCCAATTATATAATCCCCTCTTGTTCGAACCCAGTTACTGGAAAATTGCTGTTTTGCTCTTAAACATCAGGCAAGATGTATGGCAGTTAGGATAATGATTTTTCCTGGCTTCGCCCTCGAGTGTATAAAATACATAGTAACTGCAGAAAGTTTTTGCTGAAAGCCGAATCAATATTTATGGACTGCAAGCACAGGAAGCAGTCAACAAAGAGTTGAGAAAAACTGGCAGGAAAAGCGGGAAAGTGGGGAGCTGGCAAAGTTTTTGCATGAAGAAAAACATCGGTATAATTGGCTTCATAAGCGAAGAGGGCGGAATGACTAGCTGCTGCTTTTTATCAGGATTTAATGAAGCGCAAAATGACGCCAGTGTTGGCAAGGGGAAATCAAGGGAGTGGGAAAAAGGGGGTGGAAGAGGGGAAAGGGGAAGGGGGGTTTAGTCCTGGGAAGGGGCAGTGCAACAGGCTCCGATGTCGTGTCCTAGTTTTTGCCATTGCTCGCCCGTGGCGTTTGTTAATTGCGTTTGGAGCGATCTATCAAACGTTGACTCGATTCTCGAATTCCCCCTTTTTGCCCACCAGAAAATGGGTTTTCCTCGGCATTACCAAAAGCAATCAGTCAAATATGAAATACTGACAGCCACAAAAACTTGGCTGCAGTTGCGGCGAGGCCAGATGGAAATGGGGAATAGAAGGCTTAGAAGGGCGGAACAGATGGATGATCCCGGGACCAGAAGAAGACGAAGAAGAAGAGCTCCTTCTGAGGAGAACCACCGGCAAGACGATAAGGTAATGGAATTTTAGCAACAGAAAAACAACAACTCTGACAATAAAGCCAAGTGACACGAGCCGCAGCAAGAGTTCTTCGTTTGTGTGGGCAGATATGACACACGCACACCAGTCCTCGGATATATCTGCAGTGGGGTGACCCAGGAAGCGTACCTATAGCTATCCGATTCTTGGTTGGCCAATAAAAAATAAACACATCAATAAACGCGACTGAATCAAAAGAGTTATGGAGACCGTCAAATTTAAGCACACCTATAAATTTGGGAAAACTTTTTATGTGCCACACTGTTTTTGTGCTTCATTTTCACAGCTTCTCCAGTTGAGCCACCCTAATATACACACAGATGCCAAGACATGTGCAAAAAGTGACTGACAAGCCACAAGGATTGTCCACACGTACAATGCTGTAATTGTGAAGGATGCCATCAAGTGGGGCATCCGCATCCTCGTCCTCATCCCATCCTCCTTCTCATCCTCCTTCTCATCCTCCTTCTCATCCTCGTCCTCGTCCTCGTCCTCGGTTCGTCCTGCGGATGAACCCCTCCTCCTTTCCCCTTTCGCCTTCTCCATTCTGCGGCCCTGCATGTGTGCAGTGTATTTTAAGCCCGAGCACTTAAAGCCAAAGTGTTTAAGCCAAAAAAAAGATAGTAACAGCAGGCAGGAGGCCTCCCACTCATCCTCGGCCAAGTTTCCACGTCTCTGGTGACAGTTGACGGTCAAGTGGCCACTGGCAAGGACCCGAGACCATGTACCACGGTCCACGCCGCGTCCTTTGACATTGTGTGTCATCAATTTTGAATTAATTTTAGCAATTTTCGCAGTTTTCTATACGAAACTTTGCGCCCTCGCCGTTGGCAGGGAAACTTTGTTAAATGAACTTTTTCGCACTTGCCCTGCTGCCACGAGTTGTTAATATTTTACGTGCACTTGCCACTCAATCCGGGCCAGCAGAGGGTTAAGACAGCGCGGCGGGAGCGGAGGTGGGGGCGGGAGACAGACATTGAAATTTATGCGCCATTGAGTTGCTGTTGCTCAAACTGGCGAACGGCGAATGGCAAATGGCGAATGGCGAATGCTGAACGGCAAATGGCGAATGGCGCATTCAGCAACAAATTGCGCGAACATGCTCAAACTTGCACGCTCACGCGAACCAAAAAACACGAGCGAGACAATTTTCCAACTACTTTCAATGCGCACAATTAGAGTGACGGCCCCTGCAAAAACACCCACACCCCTCAACCACACCCACGACCCCTTTTGCCCGCGGCACTCGAGCAGCTTGAACACAAGTTGTCAGTTGTGAATGCATTTCTGTTGCTCGACAAACTCTCGCATAAAATGTGCCACAAAAGGAGGTTGCCGGTGCCAGCCAAAATATGCTAGATGTGGCAAAAGCGGAGCACAGATTGAATACAGTTGCGGGAAATCCAGCAAGTTTTCCTTTTGTTGCAGCAAATGCCGGATACATGGCCTTAAATGGCACTTGAGTTCATAAAGTCGGTGAAGAACAACTGGAGAGTACACCTGCAGATTGACAAATACTTAAGGATTTTCACTCACCACTGGATTGGAGCCCATCTTGACGTTCTTGGCCATGTCCATCATGTCGAGGGCCACCCGTGCCATGCACTTAGCGTGATCCTCACAGTGGTCGGGCAGCCCGGAAACGGCCATGTACTTATCGCCAACCGTTTCCACCTGAAAGCACAGACATGTCGATGAGTCCTTCAAGGTCTACATATGTATATAGAGTATATGTGTGTGGATGTGCGTGTGAGGGTGTGTGTGGGTGGGTGGGCTATTGGCCAAATTGAGAGGTGACCCGAAAAAGGGACGCAATTGCATCGCTTTTGTGGTCAGGTAAAAAGTGTAATTAAGTGGCCGATGCGGGCTGATGGCCCGCAACTGCGTGGCAGTTGCATTTGAACTCTGACCCACCTTGTACACGTTCAGGTTTCGCTTGGAGTCGGTGAGGGCATCGAAGACCGTGTAGAGCTCGTTCAGCATTTTCACGATTTTCATGGCCCCGTCGGGATCCGTGTTGGCCGCACAGTACTGGCCAAAGCCCACGATGCCGGAGAACATCAGCGTCACGGAGTCGTAGCTGCCAAGAGGAAGCGGAAGTGTGTTCGCGTAAATAAATGGCGAGTGGTTTGTATTTCTAGCATGGGGCCAAAAAAGAGCGCAGAGGAAAATCCAAACTCAGTCACAATATGTATATTTATTTACTTTCCAGGTTAACATTATACGTAAATATAATATACACTTATTATTATTTTTATCATTGATAACCTTGCAAACTGTTTTCGTTCACTTCCAAGCAAGTTGGCTACTCCCAACCACAATGATTTCCTCTCTGTGCACTTTGTCCCACTAGGAAACAGGGAAATTGACTTTTTCTTACCGTTTGGGCGGCACTGGACGCTGATGTCGTAACTCATTGGCCACCGACTTTGGCAGCACCGAATAGAGCAGCCTGTGCAGGACAGGACGAGCCAGGACGAAACGGGAGCAGAAGGCATGCAGAAACATGGAAAAGTAATTTCAATTTCGCGCCTGAGAGAATGGCGCGCCATTAAGGAGTCGGCGTCCTGTCATTTGTCATTTACCTGTCGGTTTTCTGCTTCTCGCTCTCCAGATCGCGGAAGGTCTGCTGCAGCTTGTCGGTGAGCATCTCCAGGTTCTTGGTGAGCTTGTACTCCGCCTCGAACTTCTCGGAGAGCAGGACCAAATCCCTGGCGGCGTCGTGCAGCGGCACATCCGAGATGTAGAGTCCTTTCCTGGAATAGAGGACACATTCCGCGTTCCGGTGAGTTCAGGGAGAGACGTGTGGGTGTCAGATGGAAAAATGACACGCATTTTGTTTTACTTAAGTCTTTTAGCAGGAAGTGGAAAACGGGGCTAAGCGAAATTCCGGGAGAATGAAAGAAGAAGTCGAAGCTCGAAAAACATTTTTAATGTCACCCATAAATTTAGCCAGCTGAAGGCGCATTTGTTTCAATTTGACTGTTCATAAAACCTTTACTGTGTTCCCTAATACTCGCATTTAAGAGCTAATGTCCTTAATATGGTTTTCTCAGATATAAATACAATATTATAGGGGGACCACTGAGAAAAAAACATGGTAAAATTGTTCATTCGGTTCTTTAGAACATCTTAAACTGAATTAATATTGCGAATCCTCTTAGAACTCATACTCACTTGGTCAGATCGTCCAGGTTCATGACACTGGGGTAGCACTGGAACAGGATCCGATCCGTTTCCGGAATGTACATCATTTGTCCCTACGGAGCAAGAAGCAGGAACAGATTATTTTCGGGGCGAACGGTGAGCCATGGCAATAAAATTGATTTTACGCCGTACTCTGTGGCAGGCCACGGCATTAAGTTTAACGCCCGAACGGCTGTGCGTAAGGGTCCATTTGCTTTCGGGCTTTTCATAACCGTTCCGACCACTTTGATGGCTCATTGGCCCTTGCTCACCTTCAGTCTCAGAAAGCGCTGCTCGTGCCGGCTGCTCATGGCCCCCTGACGAGTCTGCAGGACGTAGATGGTGTTTATGTGGGACAGGATGTTCTCGAAGTTGAGCTGCAGGTGCGGCCGGATGGCCTCCACCACCTCTATCAGGGAGCAGTTCTCCTCGGCGACTCTGCGAAAAGCAGAAAGCCATTTAAAACGGATGATAAAATGATTATAAATATTTAAAATAATTTAAAATTTAAATAAAATTTTAATAAAATGGTTTTTTATGTATAATAACAGTGGATGTTTTATTCACAAGCTTTGTTTTCTGTGTACCAACGACGACTGGGGAGAGGCAAATCCGAGCGACTCACTTAGTCGAATGGCCCCAGTTTAATGGTCACTAATCGCAATCAACGCCTCAAAAGTAAACTGCCATTGGAAGCCGGAAGAAAGGACTCACCTTGGAATAACACGAGAGACAGCTTTTCCGGCCTGAACGATTTTCATTTGCCTATCGAACATCAGATGGAAGGGGAAAACCTTGCAGAATGTGGCGGGCGATATAAGAGGCGCTATACATCGACGAACAGTACTGATTAGCCAGGCAATTAGCAAAAACAGAACACTCACCTTCGCAGAGGAACTCCATGTCGTCGGGCACCTCGTCCTTTTTGGCGTCCACCTGCGACTTGGCGGCCACGTTGATCTCGCGTATCAGGAACTGCACGTGGTCGTACCGCTCGATGTCGTCGCTCTTGTTCTTCAGCAGGCGCAGGCACTTCTGCTCCTTGTCGCCGTCGCAGTCGAAGCTGTCCTGGGCAATCGGACAAGTATTTAGGGCGGGCTCTGAGGAACATAAAGTTAAATAAACTTTTTAATCATATTGCACATAAATAATCAATTCGGAACAGTCTGTCATGCTATTCGTAAAGTCCGAGTCTCAAAAAAATACATTCTGCCAAAGCAAATTTGTACTGTGCGGTAAGCTATAAAAAACATAAAGTCATAAAATCATTTCATATTTAAGTCAGAGCTTGTCGCATGGTTTTTCCATCATTATACTTGTGGGTTGCACAAACAAATGAATAAATGAACGCCGGGCAGTCAATACAATTTACATTTATTGTCATTCCAGCTCCGTGAATGCGGCAATATGTTAATCGCGACGACTATTTTGTTTTATTTATTTCACCCTTGCATGGACTTCAGTTACCTGTCTCGCTGGCAATCTGCTGGCCGTCGTTGTTGTTGTTCACGTTGGCGTTGTTGCCGTTGTTGGCCATTCCGTTGTTGCTGCTGCCGTTGTGATTATTGTTTCGCTCGGCATCCGTCGAAGGAGCCAGGACAACCGTTGCCGATCCCGTCGTCGTCGTCGTGGCCATCGCGGCGTCGTCCTGCAGCTGCTGGTTTTCCCGGGCGATGGCCCGCTCCTTCTCGGCCTCGTCGATGGGCTCTCCCTTGCGCTTGACAATGTCGATTTCCACCTCGACGCCATGCAGCTTGGATGCAACGGCCTGTGCGGCAGAGCGAGATAAAAGATAAAGCCGGGCGGAGGCGTCAATGGGTGCCCCACAGGGAATCGGAATCGGGAGTGGGAATGGCCATGGCCATACCTCCAGATAAATATATATACGTATATATTGCTCACCTTGACGATGCCGATGACGATGTGCTCGAGGCCCGGCCGCTCCGAATAGTAATGGAGGAGCAGCTCGCCATCCTTCTCCGTGCAGCGGAAGGAGGGAGCCCGCATTCCGGGGTACAGAGTGCCCAGGTGGTCGTGCAGGGCATCCAGATTCTGAGTGATTCGGGGTCATAGTTGCACGGACAGAAAAAGAGCAAGAGAATGTGTATTAATAAATTTTAGAGAAGCCTTTAGAGAAGTAGCAGTTTTGCAGGATACATTTTAAATGCAAACAGATGAGGATTTTTATTATTAAATTCTTTATACTTTTATGAACTTTAAACTTTTTATAGCTTCTCACATTTAATAAAAATAAGGAATAAATTAAAGGTGCCTGAATGCTATTTGTACTTTTTCGGAAAAACCCATGCTGAGCAATTGAAAGCGATTGGTGGCCAATTTTTGCTCGCTGTGTGGCACGCTTGTTGTTCATGTTGCGGTGGTGCAGACGAAAAAATTCAATTTCATTTTTCATTATGACAAAGGATTCGAGAAGCATTTGCGGTGAAAAATGTGGAAAATTGAAAATAAATCGAATGTGAGTGCAACAAAAGGCGTCGAGGGAAATGGGCTCCGTTCGGAGTGGGCGATGTGTGCGCTCGAGCAAAATACTTAATGCTTATCAATGATGGCGAATGTCGAGCTCGACGACTGAGACTGAGACCGAGGAGCTGCCAAGGGAGCAGCATGAAAAATGACTCGGGACAGGAGTCGATTGGCCGATGCAATTGGGCCGCAGATGCATGGGAGGCGGGTGAGGTGGGCGTGAAATGGCCTTCGATTAAATTAACTGCCTCTGCGACTTTGCGAAGTGAAGAAGCCAAACAAACCTGGAGGAAATCCCGCGGCGTGGCGCCCAGCACTTGTAGGATCTTGTCGTAGCCCGAGTCCTGGCAGAATTCGAAGAAGGTCTTGCCGAAGAGCTCCAGGATGTCATCAGCGGGAATGTCTGCGAGGAGGAGAAGGGGAGAGACGTTAACGAGCAGGTCCTTTATGGTCCACATATGCTCGAGCACAAGGACAAAGGCAAAACAGTATCGGCTAACTACTTACTGAGTATCTCGACAGCTGCTCCAATTAGATTGTATGTTATTTCGTCGTCGTAAATCTGTCGCACCAGAAACTGCCCCTCCATGCTGACCATGGCCTTTTTCCTGAATTCCAGCCCGGCCAGAAATAAGCAGCCATCAAAATCGAGTCGGGCGAAGCCGCAGGATGAAATGACAGAGAAGGGTTTTCCCCGCAAGGGGAAAGAAGAGTGGCAAATACATTAATTTTAATTAAATTGCTTCTGTGCTCGTGAATTTATGAGTGAGTGGCGAGTGGCCGGCATTCCTCCCTTCTGTGTGTTGTTGTCTATTTTCGGCGGGCTGCTGCCCATATGGCGGTCACTTTATATGCTCTTTCATATTTATGTTTTTAATTAAGCAATGAAGACAGAATAAAGCCCTTCAAATGAGAATTCTCGGTCAGCCCTAAAATGTGGCTGGGTTTCTGCTCTCTTTTCTTGTTTTGGGATTTTTAAATTGCGTCGCTTCTTTTATTTTCTTAGCTCTTTGTGGAAATTTTACATAAATGACAACTCTTTGTTGAGCCCTAGCTGTTATTCATTTTCTTAAAAGGAGTTTGTAAGTATAATTGGTTCTGTGAGCCCAGAAGTAGGGACTAATTAAAAACGTCTCTCTAATGATTTCCTTATAAATATCCTAAAAGAAATGAATTGTTGCATCAGTTCGCAAGCGGAAAATCAGTTCCTGCTTCCGTAATAAACTATTTGTTCTTTTCCAGCTTAATACTGAAAGTTGAGTCTGTTTTCAGCCATAAGCTACTTTAAATTCGCTCAAAAGTTAAAAGGATTTCGGGGTAAAGACTTTATATTCCTCAGAAGCAGAAACTTTGCCGTTATTTGCATTGAATAACAATAATAGAGAAAAGAAAGGCCTTCGGGGGCTCCATGCCATTTCCCCTTTGTGAACATCGTGCAAATCGACTTTATTATTTAATAGAACTTGTGCCAAGCTGTTGCCAAAACAAATTGAATACAACGTGCCGGCACAGTGAAAGTAACTTGGGAAAAGTCGGGGAAAAGCGGGAAAACGCCAACGTTGCAGAATCGGACACGAAAATCGCGTGGGCGGTTGGACGGACGGGTGAAATAGCGGAGAAGAAAGTAATAGAAAAGTAGATTTTGTACGTGCGAAAGTTTTTCCATTTTCGCTACGCAAAACTTCTGATTTGTCGAGCCAAAGTGGGCGTGGCATCGCAGGTGAGCGAAGGCGAACTGTGGCATTTCATTATTGCTCATTTCGGATGCGAAATGCCGCTGGATTGCAGAATGTGTCAGCAGCTGTCGCTGAAACGTGAGAAGTATTTGCACCTCTGTCAAGATTGAGATGTTGCACTGTACACTGCACAGTGTACTCGTACACACACTCGATATTGCAGCTCCTGAGTCGCAGTGGCTCACATGTACCTATTTTATTGTGGAAGCTGATTTTTAATTTCCTGCACTGCCAGCGGACGTTGAGTGGGAAACAGGAACCGAAGGAGCTTGGCACCAAGAAAGCCGAGGGAAATTCCTGCATATTACACACCGAAATGGAAATTGATTTTCGCCCTGCCATTTATTATTCTATGAAATATATGGCCTGCGGTTGGGCAAGGTGGCTCGAAATTAAACCATGATTTATTGGAGGTGCACACACATTTTCCGACTACGGGCTTAAAGCCCTTAAAATGGCCAGTGGACTGGAAGCGGAGATTGCAGCCAGTTTATTTTATAAGCTCTGCTCTCATTTAATTGCTCATCTGAGGTGAGAAGCTTTCAAAATCATCTGCAGGCGGCACTTGAATGCTCCTATCTGTCCCGATTTAATTTCATAAAGTCCACACTCACCGGCAAAATGTCTATCATTTTTATTGTGCCAGCAAGGCAACATTTGGGCCGTAAATTAAATTATGCTGCACGTTTTGGCCCGGCTTACCTGGCACCCAACACTGCGTATGATTGATTTTTATTGATTTAAATGTGCGTGTCTTGTGTCAGCGAGTGTGTGGAGCTGTCTGTCTGTACTCCGTCGGCTTCGCCTTTTGATCGACAACTTAATTGAAAAAGTTAATGTGCGTGGAGAAGGCGAAATCCGTCCCTTGGACTGAGCACGTTCTCTGGATTTTTGTTTTTTGCTCTTCTCCTAATGCAATTTGTCATTAATTCCCGGCACACACTCAGTAAAAAGTTCGCCATTAAATTTAGCACATTTGCGGCAGCATAAGCGCCAATTAATGCGAGCTGTAAAAATTAATTACGCACACACGCGGCCAATTTATGAAGCCCTGTTCTTCTGCTTCTTCGCCTGAAAGAAGTTCGAGTATTAGCCTCGTTGGCCGGAAAGTGCAGGGCGGCTCTCAGTAGCCTCCTCCCATCGCTTTCATTACAAATTCAATTTCCGCTCGCCGCGGCGACGCCCTTTAAACTCATTTAAATATTGTTTACTCAGTGACAGCGACAAGCGGCCAAAACTAAGTGGCTTAATCTGCCAAGCGGCCAAGGAGCCGCCTAAGCAATATGAAAACATTTCGCGCCTAAAGAGCTTAGGCCAACGCCCAAGTGTTTTTGTTTTCCTTCGCGATTGTTGGTTTAAGTTTCGCGCGCATTGCCTTTTCGGGATCGAAAGTGTATATATACTGTGTATACTGGTGTCCTGTGTACATAGCCCCTCGCAGGCCACCGCTACGGTTTTGGTGGCTCTCGCGGGTAAATATTATTATTTAATATGCCAATCGCAGAGCCATTCGCAGCCACGTTCCGAATGGATGGGGACGAAAAATCCCCGGCCGGATTGCTCAACCCGTGGAATTTACGCGCCACTGACACGCTCTCTAACTCCCTTTTCCCTGTCCCCGATTTTCCCCACTTTCCCGGCTTTCCCACGCAGGTCCCCACATGACTCTCGCTTTTTATGGCCGGGCATTAAATCGCTTTATTATGAACTACTTGTTGACTTCTGGCAGCTGAAACTTTAAGTTGGCTCAGCCACCGGGAGAGTGGGCCTCCGGGCAAACCGCAGAGCGTGTAAAATTCATAATCAATCAGCTAATTTGAGTCTTTGCCTGACTTTTGTGCGGTCGGATGAAGGCTCCCTAGAGGGTTCGTTTCGGGATGAGCAAGCATTTAATTGTGGTTCCCGTTTTGCCATCTCCGACTTAACAAATCAGCCGGCAGCTGTTTCTGACATGCACCACAAAAGTTTGCCAGGATGTGGGAAACACATGCAACTGTCGTACAGTCGGGGTTAAAATTATAGTAGCTGGTGGGGAAAAAAATAACATTAGATAATCTCAATCAAACAATGGCTTGAGTTATGTCCGTCCACACCGCTACCATTCTGTTTTATGTAACATTTTCTTTGATTTAAGAAACCCATTTACTATTCTCCTACCCTCCACTGTACCTCTGCAGCACTTTCGCCCACTGCCTTTCACACACATCTGCGAACCTAAACTAACCGACATTAGTGCATTTTCTTGGCAGGCACTTAGCCAACGAGCAAATGGCCAGGAGTAGCACAAACTCGTCCAGTTCGTCCTTGCTGCGAGGTGAGAAAGGATTCCCGGCGTAATGTGCTTACTTGGTTTAATGATGCCAGCTAAATGCCGGCACTCATTCGAGTAGGGTATACCGCAGTCAGCTTCTAGACAAGCGAACTTGCATTTGAAATTCGCCAAGTGGCTGCAACGACCCCCAAGAAAAAGAACAAGAGCCAGAGTAGAGCAGCCCAGAAACGGAAGCGAAATAAGGTTAAAAGCCACTTAAGACTCGGGCAAGTTAATGTGGCACATAACTCAAGTGAGTCACATGTTTTATTGTGCTCGCATGGGGATGCAGGCCAAGTTGGTCCAGGGTCGCCTCGAATTAGCCAAGCACATCGCTTTAATCGAATGCTAGAGGCGGGAAATTAACATCGAAATTACAGTCATTACACAAGGGACAAACCCAAGCACAATGGCATTGTTAGCTAAAACAAAAAGAATTCCTGTTTTTAAATAAGAACTCTAACCATAACTTGATTTAAAATACTGCTAGAAATTCAAATCAGAGAATTCAATTAAACCTAATTAAAGTCGATAAACAATATTTTGTATTTTCTCGTCGGCTCAAATTAAATTATGTTGCCTATATCAGAATCATTTTTTAGTAACTGATTCGGTTATGGGTTATTTTTTGTTGGCAAATATACCCAGTTGTTGACCCACTTAGGCCATGTTTTTTCCTGTGTGCCTAGGCCAGTGTGTGTTTGTGGTAATCCCCGAGGCGTGTTATGTAAATCAGGAAGGAAGGCAGCGAGAGCCAATTCCCTAGTTTTGCTGCCACTCCCACTCTCGCTCAGTTTTTCCAGGGGGTCCTGTCTGCTGTCTTGTGTGTATTTGTATGCGATTAGCGTTAAACCGCTGCCAGCAATTCGCATGCAGACGTGATGTACGCCGTTAATGATGGAGGACGCAGGCTCATCACGGCCATCAACATTGTCACTGCCAATGGCACTGGCTTCGTCGAGTCGATTTTGCTGGGGATTAGCATTTTTCTGTCGACGAGCCGAGGCGGTGGCCATGGGGCGTATGATTAACCTTTAATGCGGACTCGAGTGTGTCGCACACCTAGTGACAAAGCACCGGAAACAAAGGAGCGGCCGAGATGGCCGGCAAAATGAATGAATCGCACTCTTGGCCGGGTCATTAATAACTGTCCATATGCAAGAACAAACCGCCCACTACTTCTTCTCTTTTTTCGTCTTTCGCCGGGTCATTTATTACTGCCCGCCATCGATTGACTCGATTTCGCCCGCCCCTCGACATTTCTTATCTACGCATGCACTGTGACATCTCGAAATTAGGACATCATTAGCAACTGTCGATGCCGCCGAAGAAGCGCCCAGATAAATGTTGAACAGCCCCGCTGAGTCCATCCCCAGTGGGAATTTGCGGTCGACCAACGCCCCACTGCGCGGGGTCCTCCGATTTTGGTGTGGTTTCGCCGGCCCAGACAAAAAGTTAAGCCGCCGGCGAGCCGTTAACACAATTAGTTTTTAAAGCTGCCTAAAGGAGGCATTACGGGAAATTAACGTTATTGTGTCGGCCTGATTTTCGTTTAACGTAC